CCGGTCATAAAAATATATTATTGTCTTTTCAATAATATATATTATATATTATTTTCTAATTCCCTCTTCAAATTTTTTCTTTACTACGTAACTCAAGATATGGATAATATTTATCCATATGGATCATATTTATCCATTACAACTTACCTTATTGGGAAATACAAAATGTGCATGAAAAATCATTCATCCTTCCTCATTAACATTTGAAACCATACTGAAATATCAAAGTATATCTACTAACAAGTAGTTCGACTCTCCGTTTACATTACACTAATGCAATCACTCACCAATATTTGTATACAAAAAATTCCCTTAGTTAAAAGAGTTAAGCAGTATACCTTCTTATTTTCATTTTTATACACATAAGAATTTTTGGGTGAGGGAAAGAGTACGCAATAGATGTCAACCTGTTTTTTATAATGTATTTTGAAAGGCGACACTTTATTATTTGCTCGTATATAAAGTATAGGGAAAAATATTAAGAATTTTAAAAGCGACGCAAAAAAAGTGTTTAATATCCAAGAGTTCGGATGTAATAGGCTGACGGATTTAGAAACGAATTAATTGTAAATAGCTAATCGAGAAAAAAAAATTTCAAGTAAAGCAATATCACACACTTTAATGGCAGAAATCAGTGGCGTACAGCAGGTAGCCTGCATGCCGGATGCGACCCGTTTGCAAATTTCCGCCCAAGACACTCATTGAAAATGCTTTATTATGAAAAGATGAAGATGAATTAAATATTTTTTTTAATTGTTTTTTTTTAAACAATTAGAAATAAAAGTGAATTGTTTGGATTTATTTTTTATTGACCTCCAAAAATTTCAGGATAAAAACTAGCCCTTGACTTTTTTATAGTTGGACATCACTAACTTAAATAAACCTTAAATACCGGAAAATAACGAAAAAAGAGTGCGTTAAGATTTTTATAAAAAATGTAGTTTCAAAAGGGAAAAAACAAGTGGTATTGTATTTCAAAAGTAATTAAAATACATACATACATGTGTACATACAAAACCGAGTAATATGTAATGTTAGTTTCAGCCCATTTATGTTTTACAAAAATTTTTCGCAGCTGCTACAGTAAAAGCATGTGAGCAAGAAAAAATTATCAAATGTTCTTCAAATTAATATTTTTATATAAGTGTTGTGGCAAAGTGTCCAGCTTAGGAAAAAAATGAGGCCGCTGGTATATAAATTTCTGAAACATGAAATGCCGACTTTCGTTAGAAAGTGTAGGCTACCCTAATCAAAAATGAGATCACTAAAGATATGTAAGAATATCCATATGAAGATCGTAAAATCAAAACCCATATACATATGTACATATTTGCAAAATTTAAAAAATTAAACTAATGATAAGGCTTTATCCCTCTTGGGAAAATATACATACATATGTGTGTATGTACATATGTACATTATCATAAACATGTTATTTCACTGAAAAGAAAAACCAGATTAAAAACTAGTAGTAGAATCGAAGTCTTACATTTTTATTTAGATAAATGAAGCAATACAAAAACTAAATCCCATTATTATAAAAATAATTCAAAAATATAATTTTTTATAACTAAATCCCATGTTTGCTTGGATTGTCGCATTATTAGCCGAAAAAGTTTTTTCAAAATACATCATTTGCAAAAGTTTGACTTTATACACAAAATATAAAAAAAGTCTTTTCAAAATGAAAAAATTTGCTTTAATAAGTTGCATGGCATGCATTGATTTTGATTTTTTTTGGAAATGTCAGTTATTACTCCTTTATAGAATATAATTGTAATGTCTTTATATCTAACAAGTCCCAATGCTCAGAGAGAAACTTGAAAGCACGACCTTATTTTATATGGCCTTTTTTAAATCGAAGTGGCTTTTTTTTGAGAAGAAATATTAAAATAAATTCACACTTATTATAAAGCAGGTAAAATTTAGAACATATATTTGAAAAATCAAAAAAATATATTAATACTTTCATTGATAATTATTTTAAAATTTTAAAAGCGGAAAAACAACAAACACAACCTTCGCCTTCAACGTTTTATATGTTACTGAAAGCATTTCATTATTTTTAAGTGAACAGCTTTTTTTTCTCATAGGGTAAGTTAACTCAAGATATGGGAAGTACCTGGGGTGTCAAGTTGAAAATATAATTAATGAAAGATAATTATTAAATATTGATATAAATACGTAGTAAAGAAAAAATTTGAAGAGGGAATTAGAAAATAATATCTAAAATACAATCAAATATTAATTGTTAAATACAAATTTTATATAAACTTCAAAATTTTACCTCTATTTTTATTTGAAAAAATATTAAAAACTTACTATCATTTATATCAATTACCTGAGAAAAAAAATATTTAAAATGTTTGGAAAAAACAATCATATATTTTTATGACCGGATTTGAATATTTTTCTATTTTGGAAATAAATGATATTTTACCAAATGACTCAAAAATTCCGACTGTAAAATAACAGAAATAGATTGCTCTTGTTTACCTGCTAATAAAATATGAAAAAGAACACAGCAAAATTTTTGAAAAACTCAATATAACATGTTTGAAATAGTTTTAAAATAATTATTTAAAAAAAAATTTATTGGAAGTAGGTACATACATATTTATTTTTAATAACTTAAAAACTAACTTAAATTATTTGAAACAATTTTATAAGTAACGTATAAATAACTGAAATGAGATAATTCAAATTGTTGAAATGTGTCAACCTATATTACTTTTAATAACATTTTTGTTAGCCGACACTACTCAACTTACCTTATTGTGAAATACAAAATTTGCATGAAAAATCATACATCCTTCCTCATTAACATTTGAAACCATACTGAAATATGAATTTGCAATTTTTTTTCATTTTTTCTTTCCTCCTACCTTTCTTTCTTTTTCGTGCAATAGAATTTCAATGGGAAGCTTTTTAAAAAATGTGTATAATATAATATCCTGAGATTTTTTAAAATAAACTCTTTTTTACTTAAAAAAAAAGAAAAAACTAATAAAAAATATGACACGATCAGTGGCATTTAAAGAAAAAACCAGCAACGAAGCCAAAAATTCGTAATATTTCGTAAAAAAAATTGAGTATTGGGACTTGTTAGATAAAAAGACATTAATAATTGCGTTAAAATAATTTTTCTAATGAGGAAGCCACAAAAGAAAAGGGACAAAAACAAAGTTCGATAAATTGCAATGTAAACAAAGTCTTTTCAAAATTAGTTTTTTAAATCAAATATTACGCAAAAAAATAAAATGCAGTACAATTGTTAAATTTAATACTTTACGTGGTAGCCCGTAGATTTGGAACAGCCGTTTCATAGAAGTAGTCAATTTTTCCATATCAATCTAGTCCGAAATTGTGGACAATTCTTCTATTATATGTTTTATAAGGTCACTTTTGGATTTTAGTACCCTTTTCGCCACACTTTTCTTCAAGTGGGCCCAGAAATTCTCAATTGGATTGAAGTCTGACCTTATAAAAGAAGACCAAATTTTTCGACTTTGTTTACCAGGTTCGTTTTTAAAATGTCTAGATATTGTTGCTTATCTATACGACCATCTTTAAAAAACAAGTGTAACACCCCGTGACAACATATACAACTCCAAAACATTACAGATAATTTTCCAAATTTAACGATTGGTATATTTGTTTTGCCGAAACTTATAAGGATAAACCAGAAGGTTACTGCAACGATGTTATATTCTGTTATTAAATTAAAATTATGCTATATTACAACTAAGGATCAACTAGTGTGAAGAAATCCGTTACAGGTTCCAAATAACAAAAATATTTATTTAATTTAATCAATATTTTTGAAGTTATTGTACTAACTGGAGAAATAAATCTTGAAACGAAATGGAATCAGAATGCCCTATTTACGTTCCACTTACATTCAATTAGTTTAGTTCCTTAGATGTGTTTGAAGTTTGATTTGTTTTCGGAAGCCTATCAATAGCTAAATAAAAGTTAAATAAATACGAAAATCATAATCATAAATGTACATAAAATACGAAATAAAGTTCTATGTCAGTTTCAATTTTTTATTATTTATTTTGCTGGAAGATCTTATCTGCTTGCTACTGAGTTCCCTAAAGTACTCAATACTGAATGAGCCTGTAGCAAAGCATTGTAGACTTAAAAAAACTTTCAAAATTATAATATTTTTCATGTAACGTTGTAGTACTTTCAAAAGTTTTCGATTATGTTGTAAACTAAACTATTTAGCTCAGTTAAACAGAAAATTTACTTATTTATTATAAAACTACTTAACCAAATATTGTTATACCGACATTTAAAATAATTTACTTATACTTAAAAAACAGATTTCTTATAAAACAAGTTCAGCACAAATTTATAATCTCTTATAATAATTGAAAAAGTTACAATTCTTTACATTTTTTACATAACACAGCCCCATTTTATTTTTTATTATTGCTCAATTTAAATGAAATTGAATAAAATTTAGGTGAAAAATTTTTGCTTTTGTGTTTGATCAAAATCATACTAACAAAAACTGTTATTTACGATTTTAATTGCAAAAAAACCTCACATTTGCATTCACAAACTACGTTTTTTGCTCAAAATATCTTGTTTATCTTTAATATTTCTTTACAAAAAGTCATAAGCTCATTTTTTGCACGACTATAAATAATATAATTTGGAATATGAGTGCTGAGATATTCACAATTCGGTTTTTTATTTTATCCAAAACTAATTAATCTGCAAATATAATGTGTTTTGATTCTACAATCCTCATATAATGTATAAGTATATATACATAAGTATATTGCATATAACTATGGTAAATTTTTGACTTTATCATGACTTCAGTCAAAATAAGTTTGCAAATCAAATAAAAATTTATCCTAGTGCTAAATTTGTTTTCATAAAAAATTTCTAGAAATTTTTATTGGCGAAAATTTAGAAATGAAAGTTATTTTGTTTGAATAATAACATATTTTATTCATATCTATTGTTAAATTGTACTCGCATCTTAAGAAATGAAAAATATGTACAGTAAGTAATAGAAATTGAATATAAGTATAAAGATGTTATGTACAAAAATACATTATGTGATTCACATTGATATATATATGCGTGTATATAATATGCATTTTATAAATTTACTAATTTATATTTTACTCTAGGTATGGTAATAGAAAAATTTATACATATTGTAAAGAAAACTTAAAATCTATAGTATTTATATCGTCAACTTTCAAAAGATGAAAACCTATTGAAGAGCTCCTTGAATTTTTTCGATCCACTCTTGAGCCATTAGTGCACTCGATGCATAAAAATTGTATGTCCGACGATTTGTTTTTAACTACAGAAAAAAATATATATATATATTATAATTATTAAATACTCAAATCACAATATTTAAAACTCACATCGAAAAATGCCTTTTCATCCACTTTTTTCGTGCCAATTGCAGAGGGAAGTGCAGGACCAACAAACTGTACCTCCGCAAGATCTTGAATAAGTAAGAGAAAATCAAAACATGAGTAATCAAAATTATGTAAAAAAAAAGAACAATCTCATGGATGTCTACCTTTTAACAACAACCTTTCTAAATATTGAACTTACCGATAAATCCTTTACAATTAGAGTCTTCTACGGCGTCGTAATATCTTAGTTGGTGTTTCATGCAGTCCAAAACAAACCAACGCTGTTTCCACCCTTTTAGTAATGCACCTCTTTTGTACAAATGCCTAAAAATTAAGTAGTATGTTATAATTTTATAAATTAGTTAAACGGAAATATACCCTTCGTGCGTTCTGTTTTCAGTTACGTTACTACAAAACTGATCATAAAATTGTTGACTAGAATGTTGCCCCGTAGTTGCACTAGAAGCAATACTGCCGTTATCTCCTTGTGATCTAGAGAGAGATGGTGTAACTCTTTCAACAGCTTTATACTTTGTACAATTTTTGGGAACGGAATCTGCGCATTTCTCGTGATAAGAATTTCCACAGTCCATACAACGTATTCCTATTGGTCCCCAAAGCAATTTGTCGCAGTGATTGCAGTTAGTTGGTGTTGTAAACGGGTGTTTTTCAAAACGATGAGGATGTGAAAACGTTTCCTGATGATTTCCAGACAGCTTACCTAGCATCAAAATTTCCAAAGTTGTTTTTTTATGTAAAAATCGACTATGTGAACGAACTAAAGCACTGGTAAATGAACTTTTGCGAACCAAATAATTTGAATGTGGTGGTTCAAGTTTATCCCAAACTTGGCGCCATTTTTGTGGAAGTAAACCTCTCTCAGCTTCTGCTTGTTTTAACTCGTCTAATAATCTCGAAAAAGAATTTGTATCATATTTTTCTATACTATCATAGCCTCCAGTTATTATTTTCCTTTTAGACGGCTTCTCAGAAGAATCATTTCCATCATCCAAATCTGATAATAACAGTTCAGGATCATATGGGGGACCTTGGCCAAGCTCTTCTTCAATATAATAACTAAAAAAACGTTGAAATAACTACCCGACTGGAAATTACTTAAATTTATAAATAATTTACCTCCATAAATCCAGGACCGCTACGGAACTCAGCGGCCTCAAAACTGTTTTGTCTGGATCAGGAGTATACATAAAATTGAAAAAAATTGGATTTTTTGCATTATATTTCTCAATGTATTCAAAAACCGAGTGACCAATTTTATGAGAATTCAAAGTGGAGGTTTTTAGACTTCCAGAATAAATACTATCGTCATCAGAACCTGTCCCGGTTTCAATAACATGCTTGGACATTAGTAAACCTTTTTTATCTTCAATAGAAGCTATTCCCAAATCAAATCTTTCCATTTCACAATCAAATAAAAACGTTCTAAAGCGGCAGGATACTGAATGATATGCAAGAAATTTTAAATAAAAACCATTGAATTCAAATTCTAATGGAAATTGATTTTGGATTTGAAACACGCAATCCAAAAACTGTAGAAATGTTGGAGCGAAAGGAGAACTAGAACTGGAGTTTGATTTCAAATTACTACGATTCGCAAAACGGTGTCCAAATGCTAACCATTCTTTTTCTACTAATATGCGAAAACCTTCTATAGTTCTGTAAAATGGATCTAAGCACAATTGTGCTAAAGATGATATTTGAGCAGTCACGTCCCAACCATCTTCAAGACCTAAAGTTACGCTGGAACCTTGTATATCAATCAAATCGACCATAGCTCCAGATAGTTGTAATAGTCCTCTTATTTGTTGTAACCACTCCGATTGTTCTAGCAATTTGGCAAAACTTTGATCCGGTTCATTCGATGCGGAGGATGGTAAGCATGCTCTCATCAATTTTTTAAAAGCGATTCTTGAATGTCTTATATCAGTATAATCCACTGGAACAAAATCTGCGCACATTTCTGACAGGCGTGCAGATTTTGATTGGCTTTTTTCACCTATTACATATAAAGGAACACGACAAAATACTAAATGCTTCTGCTGATATAGTGAATCGTCATTCTTAATATAGCTTGTTGGTTTTAATGAATCTCTTTTATTATTACTCGTCACAACGGCACGATTTCCGCTTTCTAAACCAAGGTTTGAAAAAGAACGAACAGTTTGAAATGTATTCCGGTTCGTATTCATTTTTCGAATCACATCAGGGGTCAAAATCGTTGTTATTTCGGATCTATTCCCCGTTGAATTTATATGCCTATCGTCAGCAGCCAAAAGTAAAGAATTAAGTGATATATTCGAATCGGATAACCCAAAAGGGTGTCTTAATGTCATTGTATTTGGCATATTGTCGATCACAGCTTTAAAATACCGATCCTGTTCATGATATCTAATTCAAAAAGTACTTTGATTATTGTAATAATATTTCAATCTAATCTAGGTACTTACCCTGTTGTATCATTTGAAGGGTTGGCAGGGTGAGGATGGCTTTTAAGCATTCCAATAACTGATTTACTGTGAGGTATAGCTCCGCGAAATAATACAGCCCCATTTCTATGTCTCCAGCTGGCTAATGGAATCCTTTGATTTTTATAACAACGTGCTAAATTTCTTAATTGTTCATCAGAAATTGAATTAGGTGAAATAATTATTGCTGGATAACTTCGACATAAACTATAATTACAATTGATCGCCGATATTCTATAACCTGATTGTGGCTCTGCAAATCCTAATCTTTCCCAGTCTTTCACATAGCTACGTTGTTTCAGTTTTTCTACATCTTTCATTGTTACACGAGGTATTATTTCATTATTGTCATCAGATCCATCATCATCTTCGTCTACGTCATTGAATTCATCAAACTCAAGTTCTGGTAAAACATATTTCCTTTTAGTATTTGATTTTTGCTTGAATCCTGCTTTTTTAGCAGTTCTTAACAAAGTTCTTTTAGCAAATCCTTTTAAAGTAGCATTTTTTTCTTTAACTTTGTGATGAGGTGTATGAGATATTATTTTACAAGATGAAAAAGCAAAATGACCGAATTCATTTGGTGGGTTTCTAGTTTTGTTTAAAAGTTTTCGAAAACAATCTATTGTTTCCGGTGTTATTTCAGTCTCGAAAGCTATTTTAAGTAACTGAAAAGTGCAAGATCTCATCTGCAAACCCTCCGGCAAAACTTGATCAAGAGGCGATAAATCAATTACAGAAACCCGCTTTTCTTTGGTCATGGATGCAATAGGAAAAGCACGAACAATGCTTTGTTCACATGCCAATTGATCACATGGAGAACCACGAAATATTACACGGTAATTAGTCAAAAATAACGCCCCTTCAGCTGGTAAAAATGTGGAAACTTCACAATCACGGCCATCGGGCACTAAATATGCTCGTAAGGGCTCAGTTAAAATTTTTTCCCCCGTTAACAATGAAGGAATTTGTATCTTTTGTTTTTGAATAGGTGCATGGCGTTTTGATTCTCTATAAACAGCTTCCAGCGTTTCGATATGCATATGAACTACACCTGGCACCATGGCATGTAAATTGCGTACATGTTCCGGCGTGACACCCCCCTCAGTACAAACTCTATCAATAAAACGGGATACTATCTTGGTTACAGAATTTTCAACGTCACATGGATCAGCTTCGTCGAAACCTTCGTCTGAATGTTCGCTTCGACTTCTAGACTCGATAACACTAAAATAAACAAAAGACATTATGATAAATAGAAAAATTTATTCTAAGAATTGTACAGCAAACCTATTGGAAACGCTGGTATCATCTTCGTGATGATGATCAAGCTTTTGAGGTTTATTACGAACATTTACTTCTAATGGAATTAGTAAAGCCACCATACGATTTGCGTAATGTATTGCTTGACTATATAATGTTGATTCCTCACACTGTATCAGTTCCTTTAATACATGTTAATTTAAATTAAAGTAAAAATAAATACATATTAATGTGATTGAGACATTTGTAAAATTGAAGAGATCTTACAAGCCCTAATGTATATAAATATTATTAATTAATTGATAGCGGCGGTATAAAAACCATACCATCTATGTTTTCTCGGACCGAATGGCGGAATTGTTGGCACTTACTCAGGTTACATCCAATCTGGTCTGGGGCCGCCTTACTGTACTTGTGGAATTAGCATCGGTGAACAGATTCACGCTCATTTGGGTGTCGGCCCAGAGTGGTCATGCGGGCAACGAGATCGCCGATAGACTGGCGCGGAGGGGATTCGAGGTTGACTTTGTGCTCGCGGCGAAATGCGGCCTTCACTGGTGGAACACGAAGTGGTGTCGTCATGCGATGGTGTTTCTTTCTTCGTGCTCCGGCGGATTTACAGCAGAGTTGTTGAAGATGAACAAGAGCTGGGTTCGCGCTATTACGAATTTTTTCACAGGGCACTGCCCAATGAAATATCTCCTGCATAGGTTGGGGAATTCGGGCTCCCTCCTGTGCATATTTTTGGGCGCAGTGACGAGACCGCCGTGCACATCCTTTGCGACTGTTCGGCGCCGCAATTGTTTTGAACAAGGATTTCTAAGCGTTCGGGAACTGCTGTCCAACTCCCTTACGGATATCTCCGGCTTTATAGTTGGGACAGGGATATTATAGGTGGGAGCATATGGAGGCTACAATAAGTCAGGAATGGCTGCGTATTTATTTTTTTTTTGCACACATGTAATAAATCGTCTAGGGGTAATTTTTAATCAATAATTAATGTATTTCTTAATGCTTATTATTACGATGAAAGTACCTAAATTTATTCATGACATTCTTCTTAAATTTAACAAAATATTAAATTTTATTTTTTCTTTGCATAAAAAAACATAAAATATTGCGACAATATCTCTCAATACAATATCTCTCTAAGTCGTATTTACACTAATTCCTGTTATGGATTCCAGTGCTCTAAGAATAAAGAAAAATAAAAGTATTTCAGAAAATAATGTACGAATTTTGTATTTGTAACATTTCAAAGTATTGTGGAATATAATTGGGCATGCAAAATTAAAGAATTTAGAATAGAACCTACTTTAATTCTAATTAAAATAAATGTGATTTGCAATAAGAAATAATATTATTTGCATTATTTATTTGCGATTTTGATTTATTAATATATTCTAAGAATTCAGTATGGCAGACCTAAAATAAGTCTCATAAATTAAAACAAATTACCAAAATTATAATATTGAAAATCTGAAAGTTTACAATTTTTACTTCAACAAACGACAAAATATAAAGCCATGCAAAGAATTTTCGAACAAAAGTTTTGAATAAGCTAATTTTACTATTGTGTCATATTCATCATTATAATATTGGTATAACTAACCTTTAAATTTTTATTATTTGCATAAAGCCATACCTATTTAGATTTTATGTTTTTGGTAAAAGTAATGTTTATAACCATGTGAAGTGGACCAGAACAAATTCAATTGTATTAATAAATGTGTACACATAGTTTATTCACAATTTTTAAATATATATGGTTTATATAAAATTGATTCAAATCGAACTCATTTGAAAATTAAAATGAACTTTCATTAAAAAACTAGTTTGTTTGGCGAAATTGATCTAAAAAGATCGTGCATGGTATCTCATAATATATGTATCTCTTATTTTTTTTTAAAGCTCAAAATATAATGACAATTGGTGTCCTCAATTACAATTAACTTTAATTACCTAAACAAAATTTAAACCTAAAATAAATCAATTTTGTTTCTAAATATGAATTAAATACTAGTTATAAAACCAATATGTGTGTTTAAAACACACATTAACTTATATTGCAGTCTATATTTAAATATTTTTATTTTATATTCCCAAACTCTCTGCTTTAAAATCTATAATTACGTCAATTATAAAATAATTCTAAAATTGCCTTAGTAAATTTTTACTACATGAATATAATGTAAGATAAATTATAATTGGCATTTCTACAGTTTTACAAAGACGAAGAAAACGTTAATTTGATTGCTTTAGTCATTTTTAAACTTTGATGTTTTTGTTTCCAAAATATTTTAAATACCTCTTCAATTTCATTTTAAAAACTAGATTAGTTCGAATAACCGTTAAATAAAATATATATTTCGGTAATTAAAAAATTTCATACTGAAAACTGAAAATGTTTAAATTTATTTTTCTTTCGATGTTCTTGTCATTAACGCAGGGTAGTTATCCCCGTTATCGTGAATTCTGGCGACCAGATGTAAGTTTTTGTACAGTATGTGTGTATAATAAGAAAGTGTATAAGTCGTATTTAAATTAGGGAACGAGATCAGATGTATATAAAATCGATCCACAATTAAAGCCTGGTGATGTAATACTTCTCAATCAACATATGGGACTACTTCATGGATCTAGAATTCAATATTTTTTTCAAGAATGTAATTGTACATTTGTTGGATGCTGTAATATTTTATTTTATATAGATTTACAAGCAACAAATTCAGTTTTACGAATAAATTCTTTTGAAAATGGTATTTGGGGTTACGAGATTCGTGATGATTATAGGGTTCTATTTTGGCCTGGAGAATATTTTAGAATTCGCATAAATGTTGGAACGGAATATTTTGAAATTTATGTTAACGGGAAATATGTAACACAATTTCGTTATCCGGGTGGATTAGAAAGTTTATGTCAAATGAAATATTTATGGATTGATCAAGTTCATAAAATGGAATGGTATTAAACGAAAATTTATATTTAAAAATCAAAAAAAAAAAATGGAGTGAATAAAAATATGTATTTAATTTTTTTTTTCTTTTAAAGTTAATAAAAAATAGCACTTGAAAGTATTTGTTTCTAAAATTCAATTCAATTAAGAGAATATTGCCAAAGTATAATTTATCTGAAATTCAATTAAGAGTCATTATTCAGAGAGAGAGAGATACTTACACGTCGCATTTGAATATTATATTACATACATACGAATTCTTTTCATCGATTAAGTTTTGTTCTATATTTTAGTATTTTAAAAAATTAAAAAAAAAAATTTAGAATGTTTTAAACGTAAATTGATGGTTTCCAATGGAATCATATGGATCATAATTCATAAATCAAAAAATTTAAAAAAAATAGCCTGTAAGAACTAAATAAAAATAATTGAAATTAATTAACTTTAAAAAGATTCAAATGAATTTGTCCTATTACCAACATTGTACAATTGTTTGAGGTTTTTAACTCCAATTTCATATTATAGATTTTATATAAAAAATTTTGACCGGAAAATAAAATCGAACTTAGTGGCTTTAGTTACTGAGACTTTAATAAAAAAAATTGGAGAATTAACTGGTGAGATAAAATTAAATTAAAAAAAAAAAGTACGATTTAAAATACAATAATCGGAATTAAGAAAATTTAAACTATCGCTTATAACTATCATTAATATGAATGATGTTCGAAAAAAATTCTATATGTAAGTACTTATGTAAATAAAAATTCCTTTCAAATTAATTTTAATTAAAATTTAAATGAAATTCTTGGTAATGTAAATATTTTAATCACTATGTCGAAAATGTTTCTTTAATAAAAATTATTTATACTTAGATTTAACTCTTCTAGCCTCTACTTCTGTTACTAACAACATGATATATGGTCTATAAAACCATATAATTAAAAACTTTTGAACCTTAATTAGTTATTGTAATATATAAATTTTTATAATATACATATATATGTAATACATATGTATGTAATTTCAGCATACAAATTTACATAAATTTTGATTATTTTCTAATAGCTAAATAAATATGAAATAAGAAAAAAATTTAAAATACCAATGTAAAGAAAATGGGAACAATTTATTTTATTTATGGCAATGTTTTATTTATATAGTTAAAAAGTTAAAAAAAATTAGTATTTAAATTCAAGGAAAATAGAACACAATATAGTAAGAGTTATAGTATTAACTATAATTAAACTGAATACAAAATATACATACAATAGTGAATGTACATATAAAACGAAATGTTTAATGATAATACAATTATGTATATGTACATAATGTAAATATGTAAAATTTTTAAGGTAGGTTTAATTTTTAATTGACATTATTTAATTTTGAGAAAAAAATGCTGAACCTTTCTTAATACTAAATTAATTGAAACTATGAATTTAAAAATAAAATAAAATAATTTTAATACATAACATGTGTATACATATGTGTAATTGCATACATAATTGCAAATACATTACACATACGTGTTACAGTTCCCTTTACGTATCATTTTGTACTTATTTTTTTACGTTTAAAAGAGATTTTCTTTACGAGTATTTAGTTAGCACGCAGAATATGTATTCAGCCCTTTGAAAGTTGTTTTAAAATATTTTTTATTTATTTGATTTGATCTCTTTGGACCATCATAACACTATCAAAAAATTAAAAGGTAATTACCTCAATTCCGACTTCATTTAAGAAAAAGATAGTAAAGTTAATTGTTTTGAATTTAAAACAAATTACTTTCAAAAATGTTTTTTAAGCTTCAGCTCAATATTTAAAATATCTGCTTATAAACTTTTAATATTAGAGAACTGACAAAAAAAGGTTTCGCATAAAAAACAAAAAATTAGATAAAACGTTATTTGTCGTTCGATACTTGATTAATTATATAATTTTAAGTGATATTATGCATTCAACATTGAATATTCATTTGCATTTGTTTTTTTTTTCATTTTTTTTGTTGAGTGTTTAAACAACGTCGAAAAAACTGAAAATGGAAATAGATCAGTTATAATTTAAGTGTTCTTCGAGCATTTTTTCCTTAAATCTTCATAGATTAATTAAAACCAAAATAAAATTAACAAAAAATTTATTTATGGTTTTGAGATAGAAATACTTTGTGTAAGTATCTATATTATACGAATTATACCGCTTATTATGAATTGACTAATTGATTGGCAGATAAGGACCATTAAAACATTAATCGCATAATAATTTGAATAAAAACATTCAATTATAATTTTAAAATTTAAAATTTTGCTTATACATGCGACAATAATATGTTTTTATTCACGTCCAAATCTAAAGAATTATGAAAATAAACGAAGAGATGCAAAGAATATTATTAGAAATAAAAAAAGAAAGTATGTATGTATATGAAATTGAAAGTGGAAACTATTGAAAACGAATACGCCCAAAACAATATAAGAAACATGTATCAAAGAATAAAACACAAGACAAGAAAGCTTCAGTCTAGAATAAATATATGTAAAGATGAAAATGGAAAGATAATTAACGAAAAACAGGAAATCGTTAAAAGGTGGAAAAATTTCTTTAATAGCCTTTTAAACCATACACCAGTCATCAATTACAATGAAAATGAGCAAAAACAAATAAGTCGCGCTGAAAATCATACAGAGTTGCCAAATATATATGAAGTACGTAACGCTATAAAAAAAAATTAAAAAATAATAAATTAGGCGGAGAAGACTCGATCCCACCTGAATTCCTTAAACACGGGGCCAATGAACTGGAAAACAAGTTAACAAGAAAAAATATTGAAACAAGAAAATCCACAAAAATGGTGATAAAACCATGTGTGAAAATTACAGGGGAATATCGCTCCTTAATGCTGCATACAAGGTTTTCACAAATATTTTATATGAAAGGCTAAGTATTTATGCTGAAGAATATATAGGAAATTACCAATGCGGTTTAAGAAAAAATAGATCAACAACTGACCAATGTTTTATAATAAATCAAATATTCGAAAAGTTTTATGAATACTCAGTTGACATACATTGGCTGTTCATTGACTTCAAGCAAGCGCTTGAGAGCATAGATAGATCAAAGGTAGAATTCACACTGCAAATGATTGGCATACCTGAAAAGCTTACTAGATTGATGAAAACTGCAATCACAGACACGAAGGCTAGGGTACTCATTCAGGGTGAACTGTCTAAACCTTTCAGGTTCGTATCGGGGGTTAAGTAAGGTGATTTAATCTGGTATTGCACGTGATTCTAAAAGTTGTAGATCTCAGGGGATCAATATTTAATAAATCTACTCAAAAATGTGCGTATGCGGATGATAATATCAAGATGTAATAATATCAAGAAATATGAGTCCATTGAAAGACACTTTTCAAATTTAGAACGACATGCATATGCAGCTGGTCTGGAGGTAAATAGTGATAAATCTAAGTAGATGCTGCGCATGGGAAAATCATGGCTGCCACAGTTAATAATCACACACTTGAGACTGTAATTTATTTCTAAACATTTAAGAAATTCTTAAAATATTTTACATTGTAAAATTACAATATTTTCCTTTTTATTAACATATGTCTAACGTGTTATCTAAGATTATTTTTAATCGAATTATGCACTTGTATTATGTATTATATTGATTTATAGTCAGCCACGATTACTTAATTGTGTAAGACCCAAAATTTTTTTGGAACTTGTTCGATTTAATGAAGTATTTTTAGTTAAAACCAAAGCAACTTTTTACTACTATAACTTTTTACAACTTAAGAAAAAAACAAAAAAACACGCGATGTACATGATGCAATTTCATAAATTTGAACAAAAAATTTGAAAAGAAAAATTAATTTTGTGGATAGTTTATTCTATTTAACTCAGTTTATTATATAAACTCAGTTTTTCTTGATTGGGAGTATTGGCAAATAGTTACCGAGTAAAAATTTGCAAAAATATAAAAATATAACGTTGCATCAAAAAATCACAATTGCGTCCCCAAATTTAGAATTCCCATTTTTTCTATTAATTTTTGAATTTCACATTTTTCTAAAAACTTTTACAATGTAGAAACCTTTTTTGTTCGTATTTCGCAAAAGGTATTCATGACACTATTTATGAACAACAAATTTTATTTACCTTCTGTTTCAATGGTTCCATATTACTACTTAGTCTAGTCTGCTCAGCAGCAATTTCTAATGCAGAAGGTTCTTGAACTTTGGATATAACAAAAGAAGTATAATTACTTAAATCAAGACTTGATGTTGGACTGCGTGAATCTTTATATCTAGAACTTGAATTATGTTCAAATTGTATTTTTGGTAAATATAAAGCCTTAATTTGCGTTTGAACATCCTGGTAAAATGCTGCCTCCCAAAATTGTAAATTTTTCCATACTGGATGATCTTGAATGCAAGTGTAAGCAAACTGCATAACTCCCGTACATAATTTTCGACAAAATATATTTGAAAGAGGTAAAAGTTGAGCAGCAACACCGTGTTCGTCTAAATTCGTTTCTTCAGAAAGTGCTTTATTCATTAACTTAACAATTAAATCAAATTGCTGACTATCCAAAACTGCTTTATTTCCATGAATAGTTCTGCTTAACTCCCGACATAATGTTAATCTAGCATCTCTCTGTTTTAGCGTTCTCATAACAGCCGGGAAAATTTTTCTTGCATCTGAAATTTTATTTTCAAAAATATAGTTAATACATGTACGTAATACTTCGAGACGTCTAGTAGTATTTAAAACAACGGAATGTGCATCTGAAATGCTTTGTAAATTTGGTCCTATAGGTACTATTCGAGGAGGATTTCGTAAAGTTTGTAATCTTGACTGAAGATTATTTTTTGCCATTCCCTCTGATATGATAGACTCAACTTGTTCTGACGCAATGTTTGGCATGGGAGGCTGATGAATTCGTGCGAATGCACCTTCTGGAGGTTTTAATACTTTCTGCGGATATATTTGTGAATTTGGATTTTCGTTTGTGTATAATATTTGTGCTAACTCTTGTACATGGCTAAATATCTTTAATTAAAAAAAAAATTTAATAAAATATTTTAAAAATACTCCATAAACTTACCAAGTCATGATCATTCGCTTCAGATTTTATCAAATCGCTCATTGAACTGTAAAGTTCGTCCCATGCATCACATGTTCTCCACGGTGGTCCCCTTTCATTTACAAAACCAGTAAAAAACATACTATCTAAAACTTTCGATAAAAAATCGCATTCTGTAAAATTTCGCCCAGCTAAAAATCCTGCTTTGTGAAAAGTAATTACAGGTTTTGGATGAATTCGGATAATAGTTAAGCATGATCGGTATCTATGAAATAAAAAATTTATAGAACAGTAAGTTTGCAATGAAAACCAGTTCATTATTTGAAATTTGCAAGAAGTTATTTAAAAATTATTGAATTTAAGAAAAATTTAACATTCAATATAAAAAAACTTAATAACTTACACGATTTCTTTTATTATTTTCAAAAAATTACAAAATGTTTATTACCCTTGCAGAAGTTGAGCGAAAAATCTCATGAAGACCGCTCTAATTTTTTTATCTAACATGATATGATTTGGTACATCTTTATTTAAATTTACAAAAGACGAGTTGAATGCCAAATCTGCTTGAGCAAGCTCTGGCTGCAATACAAATGTTAATGCTTGTTGTGTTGTTTCCCATAATAACGATGAAAATGTAGAACTAGGTGGGGCCAAAGATTCCGGTACAAAAATGGAGCCTCCGTCTAAGTCAGCCACAATAATATCCAATAAATCTTCAATTTCGTTTTGGAGAGAGCTGTGAACACCCATTATAAATGGAGTTGGAGTTGATAAAACCTCTATTAAAGATGCTGGCAAAATTGGAATATACACGTGACTGTATCTGTTAATGAAAAAGAAAAATGGTAAAACAAAAATTTATTAATTTATTTTATTTACGCAAATTTGTTTCAAAATATAAAAAACAGAGCAAGACAATAATTTTGGTTCACTCTTTATAAATATAGGTAAATTCAATTCTGACAATTATTTTTAAGTAGACCATTTCATTTAACCTTTTGCAAGCTCCTTGCCACCCATCACATGGATAAATAAAAAAAACCCCCAATGTATGTAGGTACATAAATGAAAAAAAAAATCCAACTTTAAGATATTAAGATATCCTTTAAACCGCAGGCAACAATATTAGGTTAGATGAAATCAAGAATTTTCAAAAGTACATTTCGAAGTTTAAACTATTCAAAAGAGCTAGTCTCTATTAAAAATTTTATGAATTTTCTAAAGATGCATGGGCATATATTTTTATCTCCTAATATTGGTATTGTTGCGATATTTCTAGTAAGTGCTTATATTTGAATTTGACATACTGGCATTTTTTTTTTAATTTTTTTTGCAAATTAGTCTAATGAAAAATTTATATTTCAATATAGGCCTTTATTCGAGAAATGTAAAAGCTCTTCATAAAGCCAACAAGAATAGTTAATGAAAACAAGTATTCTTTGTAAAAAAAAGGTAAATACAATTAATTCAAGAAGGTTGAATTTAACAATTCTTTCATAATTTTAGACTTCACAGGTTATTATTGAATTTATGTGTAATATATTATATTAAACTTGAATATAATATATAATATATTAATATGTTATATATTAATATTAGTATGAATGAATGTATTACGAACAAGAAATTTTCCTTTCTTTTAGTATTTCTTCTTTAATTTATAAATCTGTCGATTTTTTGCATAGCCATGTAAACAGTTGAAAGTATGAAAATTGAAAATATTACGTAGTGTCAAAAATGTTAATGCTTTCAAAAATTATGTCTTACCGAAACGGATATATTAGAGCGGATAATCCTCTGCAGCTCTCTGTTAGTCGTGAAAAACTTTTGGAGTGAAATAAAATTTTATGTTCTGTCATAACAGCCCAAAATAATACTAGAACATTTGTAATTCCAAGTTGCTTGAACAAAAAGCTAACACATGTTCCTGTTACAGGTAAAGTATTTGACAGCGGTGGCTGCAAAGCCTGTTTATCTCCTGCACCTATTGAAAAACGTACTTGCGGTCCTCCTGGCGATGGAACTTTTATACATCCAAGGATATTGCCGATAAGTGTTTCTAAAGAAAATGGCAAGTTTTCTATATAAACAGTATAAATAGTGCCAAGACAATTCTACAAAAAATAATATGAAAAAATATTAAATTCATTTACATACATACATATGTGTTCATGTAATTTAAAAATGTTTACCCGAAATGTTTCTGTATAATCAAGTCTCGATACCAAAACCAAACATTTTGGGGCATACATAACACTATGATGGCTAATTGTAGCTGTTGCTCCCAACACAAGCAAGTGCGCCGATGAAATACTTTCTTCTTCTTCATCAACTGGTTTGTTAGGCTTTATAGCGACAGTTTCATTAAAACATAAGCAAGCACAATAATGCCGATTAGCATCAATATCAGTTAAAACCGAAACAAAAAATCTGGGTTCCTGTCGTTCTGTTGATAAACTCCATCCTAACGGTTGGCAAAACTATTTATATAAATTGTTGAAATTTTTATAAATGAATTATTAACATAGGTTTAATAAACGATAATTTTTAAGAAGACTCAATATAAATAGCCAATTGAATTTTTTACAAATATCTTAATTCTAATTTTGACTAAAATTAATCATGGCATAAGAATAATAATAAAGGAAATTATTCTTATTTTCATATACGAATAATTTACAAAAGAAAAAAATAATTAAAAAAAAACCACACGGAACGGTTCCGAGCAAATAAAAAATTTTGTTTATTATTCTACTGTAAATATCTTTATTTTCAGCAAGTGAAAGTTGATATGAAATTTACAACATTAATGAATGTATTTCTCACAAAAAAAATTAAAATTCGAATTCAGTGAAAATTGTTGTGCTACTTAAATTTATTACAAAAAATAACTTTAAATTCTAATTAGGCACTCTTCTTTAATCGCCCTAATTTCGGAAATATTCGTATTCAAAGGATTTATAAAAAAAGAAGCAAAATCTACATTCAAAATATAATTCAAGAGTGCCTGGCAGTCTTAAACTGATTTTAAAATTTTATAAATAAATACAATAATTTTATTCAAATTACAATACAAAACCGCAATTTTATAAAAAAAAAATCCATAAAAATTTCGTTTACGTGTACAATATAAGAATTTACCCATTCGATGCCCTGAATAAATGGTGTATCTGACCAATCTTTTTTTGGAAATCTTTGCAATATTTTTCCATTACTAGCTCCGCTTCCTATAAAATGCAAAATTAACGCACAGTTTTTATTTAAATGTAACAAAACCTACTTTCTTTTTCGTGATCGTAACCAACAATTACAAAATAATCTGCTAACCGTGACATTGCGATTTGTATACAAATCAGCAGAAAATTAGAACTATGGGTTTTTATATATTTAAACAAGATTTTAAATACTTTTTAAAACTGCAATTTTTGTAATTATATTTTTAGCCATTTTATATTCAGTGAACCGCTGGAAGACAGATAATTTTTTGATGTATAACTTCCACAACAGCAAGTTGGTCAAATTATTTGTTTTGCACAAAATCACATTAAAATATCTTATACACTTCCAAATAAATTTACAATAAATGCTGAAAATTCACAACAAACGATTTCAATCAATTTAACTAGTCAATATTTTATATAAATTAGAAAAATAATATTTTCTAGGTTTTAAAACTGTTTTACCTACAGAACAAAAACATAGAAATACTTGGGAACCACAATTGTGTCAAATTTTGACATTTAAGTTTGAGCCATGCCAACATATCTGATTCTGTAGTATTTTGGCTAGTTAAATTTATTCAAAAATTTGTTCAAACGTATTGCAAAAACAAAACCAAAGCAGTGAACGGCAACTATGCAAGATTTCCGTACACAAAACGGCAGCGGGATGGAAAAATCGAATGTAAATAAATAGTACAATATTTTGTTAAACACATCGAAACAAATTTAAAAAGCTTCTAACTATATTTTATAAGGCTATTTTACCGTCTTCGGTTAAATTTGCGGCGGAAATTTCGCTTCGTTCTCGGAAAAAAATGCACATGCATAATATGAATAGAAAATATATAACATAAATGGAGAAATGAAACATGATGATATCACAAAAATTATGAATTAAGCGTTTTTCAAAATAATGTCAACACACAAATGTTCGTTTATATTTCATATTAAAATTACTTATTTTTGTGCCTAATAAATCAAAAAATAAACAAATATTGTAAAAATAAAAATGTGCACCTATTAACAAATAAGTCCCAGATTTTAGAAATGCTGTACCATTTTAATGAACTTTTAAATAAAAATGTAGATGTACATCCCGTAGTAAATATTCAAAAAAATTCAACAGAAAACGTAAGTGAAATTGAACCACCGACACTAGAGGTCGCTATAAAAAAAAACTTCATAGGAACAAATCCCCGGGTTTAGCTGAAATGCCTGCTGAGTTTTATAAGAATATAGAAGGAGATTTTCTATAAAGTGTATATCGTCTCATTCTGAAAAATGGAGCAATGAGATCATACCAGATTATGCTCACTCCATAAAAAAGGAGAACAATTAAACTGCGACAATTACAGGGGCATAACAGTTTTAAATGTGGGTTGTAAATTTCTTTCAAACATTCTTAAAAACTGCGCCCATTTGCTGAGAAACTTATAGGCAGTTAACAAGCTGGCTTCCAATCTGTAAGGTCAACATCGGATTTATCTTGCGTCAAGTACTTGGAAAAACTCGAGAACATAACATCTACACATACCATATGTTCATAGACTTTAAATCTGCATATGATTACATAATAAAAACGTCTCTATGCAACAATAAGAGAATTCAATATTTCTGCAAAGCTTATACGTTAAGTAAAGTACACCATGGCCAAATGAACGAAATAGAATCAAGATACAAAATGACATATCTCAAAAATTTGAAACATTAAAGTTAAGGTAAGGAGATGGTCTATCTTGCATGCTCTTTAATCTCGCCTTGGAAAGAGTTATACGAGATCCAAAAATAAATGTGAAAGGGACAATTCTTTATAAATCAGTACATGTTCTAGCATACGCTGATGATGTTGACATAGAAACAAAATCTATTGTAGAGTTAAAAAGCAGCTTCATTAACAACGATAAGGCGGCTAAAAATATGGATTTAATGAAAGCTAAAAGAAAATTTTGGTAACAACATGCAGAGAATGTGGAGTTCGTGGTCTAGGTCAGATCCTTACAATTGGGGAACATAATTTCGAAATTTTCAAAAATTTTCAATATCTAGGCGTCGATATTAATAGTAAAAAAACCGTAAGCACCACATCCACGTAGAGGACTGTGGCAGCAAGTAGGTGTTATTATGGTCTATGGTAAATTTTGAAAAGCAATGTTATCGATCGAAAAACAAAACTACAGATCTATCGAACACTTATAATACCAGCGCTGACGTACGCCAATGAGACATCGACAATGAGTAGATGAAATCAAACTTGAAGTTTTTGAAAGAAATATTCTTAGAAAAAGTTTTGGGGCAGTAAATGAGAACGATATATGGAGAATACGGTACAATAAAGAACTGTACGACATGTATGACCATAGCGACATAGTCCAAGCAATAAAGATCGATAGATAACGATGGGCGAGCCACATAGAACGAGCTACCAACAAGTACCCACCAAAACAAATAGTGTATAGAAAATGCGATTTGAAAAAAAAGGAGCCGTAATAAATTAAGATGGATAGGCGGTATACAAAAAGATGCAGAAACAAACTGTGTGCGAAATTGGCGAATCTTAGCAAAGAACAGATCGGCATGGAAGCAAAAATTGCAGCAGTTGAAGACCAAAACAGGGTTGTCCAGCCATTGATGATGATTATATTTTTAAATATTTAGTTATTTTAGGGTCAAGTTTCTGAATCTAGAATGATCTAAATTTTAGCTTAGATCCGTTTTTAGTTACGGTAAAAATAAAAAACGTTTTACAATTTTGCATTATTTAATTTTTTACTTTGACGATACAAAAGATAATTCTGTTATTTATTCAAATCATTTTAAAACTAACATACTTTTATATAAATGACAATCAGTTATGTTTCATCGAGTTTTTTATTTGAAAGTTTCGCAAATTTTTAACATAACACTTGCTTTTGTAACTTTTTTAATGGACCATAACATTTTCTGTTTGTTGAACCAAGAATAATGCGTAAATTACACATTTTGTAAAAAGATGTTTGCACTTTTTTTTAATCTGTTTGGCAATAATTAAGATTAAAGTTTTATTGTAACTGCGACTTTTACATTAATGGCTGAGATACGTTTTTCCCTCTGAAGGAAAACCCACTGTTTCTTTTTTTACTGTAGGTAAATAATTTTTTTTAAGCGAACACCTATCATCATACCAACTCATAATTCAGAATACAAGAAACAATCAGAAGCTTTCAATTTAAAAATTAGCATTTTGTCTTTCAATACTTTACAGTTGGAGAAAGAAATGTATTTATATTTCAGCAAAATTTTCAAAGGCACTATTTTGGCAAATGGATACAAACGCAAACATGTGGGAACCCTAGGTCTAGCGATAAATTAAGTATGGCATTATGTTAACCGATACAAAAGTCGTCGTGCTAACAGGTATGCTTTAGTCAACCCTGACAACCGGCAATCTTGTTAAATCAAACGACACGTGTATTTATTATTTATAAATTTTCGGAAAAAAACAAATTGGTATTAAGCATATGTATTACATTAAATTCTTTAAATAATTAAAAATTATTATTTGTATTTTGTAAAAAATGACAGAAATCGGTAAGTAAAACTGCATGAAGTGTAGAAAAAAATTAAAATGTTTAAATATATTTTGAAGAAAACGCGGACTATCAAGATACTAGCAGTGAAGACGATGAACTTTTAGACGAAGACACTACAGTTTGTCTTTTTTGTGAGACTGCCCTACAAAATGTGGATGAGGGCATTGTCCATTTAAGAATTGAACATGGCCTTGATTTAGTTAAGTTAAAGCAAAAATTTAAAATGGATCAATACTCATATATCAAATTGGTAAATTATATTAGAAAACAGAAAGTAGACGCAAGTGTAATAGATAAATCAGAAAATGTGCTGTGGAATGATGAAAAATACCTCACACCCCAGAAATATGAAACATGGCTAACTTACGGTATTAGCATATGGAAAATATATCTTTAATTTTTATTCCAATATCATTAAATATTCAGATTTTGAACAGCTTAATAGTCTGGATGGTAAACAACTGGTGCTCACAAAAGACGAAATGATAGAGCAAATGTCTAAAGAAGTATTTAAAAATGTTTTTCAAGATTATAAAATAAGTACTACGTATAAAAACATTTTGACTTGTTATTTCAGATTGAAGCGAAAAATGTCCTTTTAAAACAAGCGTCTGAAGACATGCATAAGATAAGGACCGGATTTCGAAGAATATTAAACGATTCCATAAGCAATAGCTCTACATCGGATAATTCGAAAAATGCTAAAATGAATAATTCATGTGAAGAAAGTTACTTCGATAGTTACGCACATTTCAATATTCATCATGAGATGCTTTCCGTAAATAATAGCTAAATTTTACATGGAATATTAAAATTATTAAATTTTTTACAGGATACAGTTCGTACAGAAGCTTATCGTAACGCATTTTTAATGAACAAATCTTCCATAAAAGATAAAATTGTTTTAGATATTGGATGTGGAACTGCAATTCTTTCCATGTTCGCTTCGTTAGCTGGAGCAAAAAATGTCGTTGGAATAGATAACTCAGAAATAATATATCACGCTATGGGCATAATAAAGTTGAATTAAAACTAATTTTATATGTAGGCTATTTAATTAATATAGTATATCAATTTTAGGGAAAATAATTTTCAAAATATTTCACTAATTAAGGGCAAAATTGAAGATACAGTGCTACCAGAGCCAAAATATGATATCATAGTGTCAGAGTGGATGGGATATTTTCTCTTTTTTGAAGGAATGCTTGATTCTATCATATATGGAAGGGATAAATATTTAAAACCTAATGGAATATTAATGCCAAATAAATGCACTATAAGTTTATTAGGATATGGAAATGAAAACCGCTATGACAACTATATTACATTTTGGGATTCTGTTTATGGATTTAATATGTCTTGCTTAAAAGCTGAAGTAATTCAAGAACCTTCGTTCGAAATTTGTGATCCTGACTATATTCTCACTGAAGAAAACTGCATTGTCAATTACGATTTGAACACAGTTTCTCTAAACTACTCCAATTTTGATTATAATTTTAACTTGAAATGTATAAAGAACGGTGTTTTAACTTCCTTTGTAGGTTTTTTTGATACATTTTTTGAATTTCCTGTCCCCATAACACTTTCCACGTCACCCAAGTGTAAACCGACACATTGGAAGCAATCAGTTTTTTACTTAGATACAAAAGTAAATGTGACCAAAGGAGAAATCATTTCAGGAAAAATAAGTTGTCGTAGGAACTTAAAAAGTGTGAGATCACTAAATGTCAAAATTGAAGTTTTTGGAAAAATATTAAGTTATCATATAGATTAATAAAAGATTATAATTTTCTTTACTTAATTTTAATTATTACTATTATCATAAAAAAATACAGCTAAAATATAAATTATTTTCGAAAAGTTATGTTTTAATACGAATAAGCATGTTCATTTAGAATATTACGGCATACATTTTTGATACTTTCAATCAAACTATTAAACAATAGCGTATTGCTGATATAAAAGGTCTCTTATTTTATAATAATCCTCACACAAACAGCCTTCAACAGCAACTCGTCCGGCGTCCAATCTTCTTATAGCTATATTTCCATTGTTACACCACAAAACACCACTAGAAAATTCTGAATTGATATTATTTTTTAGAAGAACCTGTTTAAAATCAAAAAGCCTAAGCTCATTAATGAAAACTGCATTATGTATAGGTATTTCATCAGCTTCCAAAGGGTCTAAAGTTAAAATATTTTTATTTCCATCTGTTTGCTCTATTTGCATATCATTGTCATCATTTTCAACAGGCAATTCTTCTACAAATTTTTTACGAACCCCGATCTCAGCATCTAGCCAAGCTACCTCTGCGTCCTTTGCTTTTTGAAATTGTAATCGAGATACAAGGTTTTCTGTCAAACGAATTTGGTAAATATATGCCTCAGTAGTGGCATCCACCATTTCTCCTTTTCTTGGGGCAAACACCTTTGCACCTATGTTTATTTCACAATGTTTTAATATTGTTTCAACACTTTGTTTCATTCCCCTTACAATTATGACACGTCGAGGTCTAAGTTGTGAGAGAATTTTGAGAATGGACTCACCATCTGAACGACCTTCAAAATCTATGTATTGAATCTGTGCATTAACTTCAATTAATTTTCTGCTGCTTACACATTTTGTTGGTTTTTCATGATTAACATTATCTAAAAAATTTGTCTATAGGTTTTTATTGAACAAATTTGTTTTAATTTTCTTACAATCTTCGCCCTTCTCCATACTTTCCGATACTTCATTTGTAAAAGTTTGTGGATTTTCGGTAGGAGGTTCAGTTGAAATATCAACAATTCTATATTCATCCAAGTTAATTATTTCACCATACTCATCTGATTTAAACTTTTCTTCCAAAAACGGAAAAACAACGTGTTTTCTATTCGATTTGAAAAATCCCAAAGGAGCTTTTGTGTCTGGTTTCAAAACAATATCGTGTTTTCCTGTTATAACATTCATTTCTAAATCATATTCCGAATCTGAAGAGTCTTCTAGTGCGTCATTTTTATCTGGTTGATTTAGTTTATTTCCTCTTGTTTGCAAGTATTCTTCTAGTTCTATACCTTCCAGCTCTACACGTTTGCGAACATCAACCTCAATTTTGCGTCCATTACCTCCATTTTCTATTAAATCTCTTGCTAGAGTGCCTGGTGAAGGTCTATAAATTTCAATTATAAAAAAAATCATTTTGGCTTCACTTTTAGACGCACTCAAATTACCTTGTAGTGAAAATTATACTATTGTTGGGATTGCCTGACCATTGCACAAACAATTCTCTTGCGAATCCGCTCTCTAAATCCGGCATACTAGCTAAAACTACTTTTGGACTCGGAACTTTGGTTAAGTCAGTCAAATTATGACACAGATTTATATGTTTGAATTGAAAAGGATTATTCCGTGCTCCTTCAAAATTTTTCATTAATTTGTCACTCATCCATTCAATTTGAGATTTGGCAAATTCTACTGTGTTGTAACTAACATTTGTTAAAAAAGCTAACGAATATGCTATTAAACCGGAATCCTTATTTTTCCAAAGTTGATCTAACATATGAGCAATCTCCAATATACGTCCAGCTGTATCGACAGCTACCAGCACATTTCCACTATTTCTCATAGTTTGTAAGATGTTGGTCATTAATTTTTCATCTCTTGCACGTCGTCTAGCTTGTTGATATTTTACGTTAAAACAATCAGTTATTAATAATGAAGGTCTTTGTAATTTTTCAAGTTCGCAACCATTCAAATGGCGTTCTTTTTTATGATTGAAATCGACAGCATATATTATATCTTCTTCACCAATCTTGACAATTTTCCAAATAGTTCCACCAATCATATGACCCGCTGGTAAGGGAGTTATTGTAATACCATAACCTTTGCCTAAATATCATTTGTTTTATAAAACTTAGTCGAAATAATGTTTAAGCTATGTAGGTACCTTTCATAGAAACTGTCTGGTTATATTTTAATTGTACAATTTTATCAAAAGCCGCATCAACATCATCCAACGAAAACAAGTTAAAATCATACATGTTATAGTGCGATAAATATAAATCATACATAAACATTTGTCCCATTTTGTACACCGGTATGGTAGCATAAATAGGGCAATTAAGACCTAATTTTCCAACGATGTAAGGAAGGGCCCCTAAATGAGATACATCTGGATAAGATAACAACACAGCATCAATTGAATTAACATGCCTGTAAATTAGAATATATAAAATTATGCGATTAGATGTAAAAAAAAAAAAACAAAAACCTTTTCAGTTCTTTAATAAAATTCGGATCAAACTTTTCATCCCAACCACAATCTAATAGAATGCGAACTTCATCTACTTGTAAAATGTAGCATGGGGGAGATTCATCCATGGCCCCAGAGAGGACTTGCAACTTTATGATTGAAGTCATTTAAAGAAAATTTATTTTAAAATGTTGGCCCAGATCACAGTTTTATAAGATGATAATTTTATATTAAATATAAACTAAGCTTTTAACCTAAATTCTGAACTGAATTAAACTATTTTCTTATAGACTTTTTTTCTGTGATTTTCCGATTCACATATGTATATTTCCTATATATTGCTGTAGAGCAGCTGCGGAGGACTAATGATTAAAGCATTTAAAACATAAAACTATAGAAACTCACTTATCAACGTTTGACACCAGTCTCTCATGGGTTTCTATTTATTTCAAACAATCATGTGTTTACGATATGTGGATTTTCCTCTGCTTGACGTCAATGCATGTATTGTATGAACTATCACTGTATAATCAAATCAAGTACAATTTATAATATAAATCGAGGTTAATGTTCACTTCCCACAAAAGGTTTTGCGGTTTTTTCTTACAAAAATGCCTCTAAAATCAAACCCATTTCTTGCAAACAAGCCTTTATAATTAAATGAGCTAAATGAAGGTTTTTTGCGAAGGAAAGATTACTGCCAACCACAAGAACCATTTTTTGTCCAAGACAAAAATAATCGAACCTTAAGAGTGGGAGAACATGGATTGTTTGAGCGTCACTTTTGCAGAAAAAAAACATTCAGCCCAACTTTTAAAATCGAATATATTGTCCTTTTGGTTCTGCGAGAGCATTAACCTTCAAAACTGGTTAACAGTTACTTCAGTTTACGATCTGCTCGCTCAAAAAGGCTATTCTAATTGATTTTGATGCGCTGAATGGTGTTTTTGCAGAAGGTGACAGTCAGCTGATTGTATAAACGTAGCTTAATGTAAAGATGAAAACGTCAAATATTATTGAAAAAAAAAATTAGAGAAATAAAAACAAGAGATGTCATATTGCTATAACATCCAGGAAATATTTGCACGGATATTTTTATAAAAAGATTATTATTTTTACTATAAGTTTATCAATTGTTTTTCTAATTTGTAATTCTTGCTCTGTACATTTCCAAAAAAATGCTGCGCAGCAGAAGTTGGTTTGGGACTAACTGGTATGATCAACAAATTACTCTTAATTAGACTAATTATTTTATATTAAAGGAATCGTCCAAAAAACCGTCTGTCCTTAGATCACCTAAAATATTTGTATAGCGTTTTAGAAAGAAATGCAATGGTTTCTGAAAACAATCGTGGTCTACTTGTGGAATCTTTAAGATGTATAGCCGAAATATTAATTTGGGGAGATCAACATGATTCCTCTGTATTTGAGTAAGTTTTCCTATTTTTGTCCAGGAATAATATGTATGTAGGTGTTAAAAAACTAAATAAAAAAATATTTCAGTTTTTTCTTAGAGAAAAATATGCTCTCATATTTTTTACACATAATGAGGCAAAAAAATGGTGGGTCAAGCTTTGTTTGCGTTCAATTATTGCAAACCTTAAACATACTTTTTGAAAATATAAGGAACGAGACATCACTATGTGAGTTAAATAAATGATTATAATTTTTTTTTTAATAATTTTTTTTTATTACTACTTCAATGAATTTATAGATTATTTGCTTAGTAATAATCATGTAAATTCCATAATTGTTCATAAGTTTGATTTCTCTGACGAAGACGTGATGGGTTATTACATACTTTTTTTGAAAACTTTAAGCTTGAAACTAAATATTCATACGATACACTTCTTTTTCAATGAGGTAATGTTTTGAAACACAATAAATCATTAACTTTTATCATAATTATTTAAATTAATGTTTAGCACACAAATGATTTTCCGTTATATACCGAAGCTATCAAATTTTTTAATCACCCCGAATCAATGGTCAGAATAGCCGTAAGAACAATCACTCTTAATGTGTATAGAATACAAAATACGAGTATGCTCCAGTTTATAAGAGACAAGTAAGTAGAAAAAAAATACACATGCAAAATAAAAAAAAACTAATGAATAATGTTTCTAGAACTGCTGCTCCTTATTTTAGTAACTTAGTTTGGTTTATTGGAAAACATATCGTAGAATTAGATTGTTGTGTAAAAAACATTGGCGAGTAAGCTATTTCCAAAAAAATTAAACTACTTAAGCACTAAGCATTTTTATTTTTTGTAGTCAACAAATGCAACGGAAACTGTCAAATTTGGTTGCGGAGCATTTGGATCACTTACATTATCTAAACGATATTCTTCATTTAGAAATTACCGATTTAAATGCTGTTTTAACAGCTCACTTATTACATAAGTTATTCGTCCCACTTTATATATTTTCTCTGACGCCTGCGGTAGACAAGTCAATCGCAGAAGTTACAAAAAATTTAGCAACAATTCTTAAAAAGGAAGTTAATATTGATGCCCAAGAAGCTGAAAATCCCAGAATATCTCCTGTAGTTTCAATTTATTTGTTATCATTGGTATTTTTAGTAATAACCCACGCCCCATTGGTACATTCATTAGCTTGGCTTTTGTTAAATGGTGATTACGATTTGTTTAAAGACGGATCCTCCAAAATTTTAAATATGTCATTTAACAAAAAGGAAAATGTCGCTTCAGGCTTCTCGCAACAACAAGAAAGTTTTGAAAGAGAATTTGAAACAGCTATTTTCCCGTGTAACTTTGAAAACCCCAGCCGTATAAATAAATCAGAATACTCTTTTGATATTCAAAAGATTAATATTACAGATGAAGAAAAGCAAAAAATTAAAACTACGTCAAGTGATATACATGTGGACAAGCAACGCCCTTACTTGGATTTAGTTTTATCTTCTTTAAATTGTACAGAAAACGATTATTTAGCTCTCATGAGCTTGTGCTTACTTTACGCTTTGGCTTATAATAAAGGTTTGTAGCAAATATATTTCATCCATATATTGCCATATTATTTTATTTAAAGCAAATTTTCGGTTAAAGCGTTTTTAAAAACCTATTTCATTCATATTCATGAATTATCTACATTTTAGTTTTAATGTAACAGCATAATAAAATAGAAAAACAATAGTCCTCGACAATTTAAATAACTTAAGTTCTTGTAACATAATTCAAATGTGTATTATGATATTTTTTATGGCGTCTTTCTTTTTAGGTGGCAGTGTTGATTTATTGGAAGATGCTTTGAGTAAAAACGAACAAAACAATTCAACTAATTATAAAACGACATTGATTGATAAGCTTCTCCATATCATTATCCTTTCTAGCAAACAATGTATGATTTTTTTAATTTATAACCAAAATTTTCTAATAATTACATTCCTTCTTTTCAGCAAATCGTGTTCGTTTAATAACTCTAGAAATTTCATTGAATTTACTTCTTTATTTAACTAAACCATTTACAAAAGATCATTGCATAAATAATAATCAGCAATCATCTTTAATATCGGCCAAAAATCAATCCATGAAAATACTTTACAATTTTTATAAATCCGAGGATATATTTTTAGATCTTTTTGAGAACGAATATAATGATATTAAAAAGTCAACATTAAATGTTGAATTCCTTTGCATGGATCCAAGCATATTAATGCAACCAACCGAAGCACCAATGGCTGGGGTGCCGCTCTCACGACGTTTACCTGTTGATGAAGTAGAAAAAGCAAGGAAAGCAATTAGAATATTCTTCCTCTTGAGAAAAACATGTCAAAAGTATTTAAATGAAACAGAAAACTCACTTCCCTTAACAAATTTTTCGAATTGCGTTGAAATTAACAACGTTTTAGATTTAAGTAATACAAGCTTTTCATAAATTATTCACAAAGTAATAACATTTTTTAAATTTTACAGATAATAAAGATTTGATTAGTTGTACAGTTGTAAATAAAAATCTTACTAAACAAAGAAGATTTCTTGTCATAGACAATCTTCAATTTATATTGGTGGAACCTGATGCAAAAAGATTAGGTTGGGGAGTAGCTAAATTTGTCGGTTTTTTACAAGATATTGAAGTTTCAAATGATAAGGAAGATTCGCGGTGTTTACATATAACTGTCCAAAGCAAAGGAGCCACACACAGTCAATCCCCAATATTAGACGTAAAATTTGTATTTGACGACCATATAAGATGTATGGCATCAAAACAACGTTTAATTAAGGTTGAACTCCTTGAGTAATTAACGCGAAATGAAAATAATTAACTTTAAATTTTTAATAGGGTCGTAGCAAAGCACGACAAAAAAAAATGTATCAAATAGCCCAGTTATTAGAAATACCTATTCATGGAGTCGATTCTTTGGCTTACAATACATCTGAAAAAGTTTTAGCTAGGGGACACACGCAACTTTTCTCCATTTCAAGTGGCCCTGGTTTTGCAGCAGCTTTAGGAAGAAACTGTAAAACTCTTAATAGGGGCGTGAGTCGAGTGCAAATTGTAGCCAATGGAAATCTCGAAAGGTAAGTGTTATAAATACTATATGTACATATTTGCGTAGATATTTTCATTTTGTAAATACACAAAATTATTATTATATTTTTTTTATATATTTTGAGACTGGTTGTGTCGAAATTTAATTTATCAATATGATCGATTTTTTTTTTTATTTTTAATAATTATTATAAGGCTATACAAACTTTAATATTATTATGCTTCTATACAAACTTTTTGAAAATATGCCTTATTCTTCCCTACCTTTATTTCTATAATAGAAGATTTACATAGCTCTATACATATTTCAAAAGCCAAGATTGAATAAATTTATCAGATGCTTAAAAAATTGTAATATCGACATTATTTTAATGGAATTATATTTTCAGATCTGAAGAAATACCTTTAGAAGATTTTCAAAAATCGCGAAGCTCAGGATCATCTCAATTTATGTCCTCAAATGGTCAATCATCCCGACTACAATCTCAAATTACTAAATCTGTACAAGAAGCAAAGGAGATAACAAATTCTGACCAGGATATTAAACCCAACACGGAAATACTTTTTCCTTCTGACGAAACATCTTTTATTGGTGAGGAACGTAACGAGTCAAAGAGAGGTGCTATTCAAGATGTATAATTCAGGTGTATAAAAAATATGTTGGCACCTTTTGACATTGAGTCATATTGTATAAATCTATTAAGTTTAAAACAATAAATTTGATTATTGCCGTATTGCTTTTTTTATAACTTTAATTAATAAAGAATTTTAGAGAAACGAAGAATTATTCAATCGAAAATCGTAATGACTGAGATATATGTTATACATTTTTGTTCAATCCACAAAAATTCTTTGTTATTGAACATTGACTTTTAATGTTCTGTCCTATAAAATTCAAGAAAGAATAACCACGCGATTGATACTTTCAAATCTAGGGTAAAAATATAAAGCAAAAAAAGATTTTTAAAATACAGGATTTTACCAAAACTTGAAGAACTTTAGGTATTACACTTAATTAACCTGCAGAATTAATGCGTTTGGTTCGTATGTGCTAATATTAAGAAATGTGAAGAAATTCAGTCCATTTTGAAGGTATGTTATTCTGATTACGTATGTACATATTCTGATCATGTATGAAATTATTTTGATATGTATGTGCGTATTTAGATTTTTATAAAAAACAACTAAAATTAGTTTTTATGTCTTTATTTTTACATAATCAGGACAAAAAACATTCCAGTTTTTTTCAAAAACCCATTCATTGTACTTTGTAATTACCAAAACTGTCGCCACACTACTTTAAAATTAAAGAAAATTTATTTGGTGGAGTCCATATTTGAAGGGGCGATGTACTCCATATTGTAATAGGCAAATCCCAAATCATTGTTTCAACTGGTATATCACTTGGCGCAATCCAGTTGTCTTCATAATTCGAATTTTCAGTTCCTATCATATTACTTGTAACAAATTCAAAGTGCAATCTCCATCGTACATCAACATCCTTTGTATTAAAAGTTGGGGTTACAGTCAAAGGAATTGGAATTATCATTTGAGTTTGAATCATAGATAAACAAAATTCATGATGATTTGTGTAAGTTGTTAACTTTCCAGGACCAGAAAACGTATTCTGGGAATGTTCTTGTACGTTCTGGTTTTCCCAATTTTCTAGTTTTTTCGGTTTATTGGAAATAAGTAATTCTTCACGTTGTAATTTAACGGAAAATTGAACGCAGCGAACTTCACATTCTGTAAAATCCATTGTGCCAACAATATCTTCTCCCAATTTAAAATCGTTTTTGAAAAGGCAAAATCGACCAACGTATCCCCTTTTGTTCGTAATTTTGTAAAATTTTGGCATACGACGGGCTGTTAAATTCTTTTTAAAAAAAGTAATAAATAATAGAAAAATTATAATTTAAAAATTAGAAATTCAGAATATATCTTACAGTTAAATGGTTCCAGGAAAGTTCCAACTCAGTGACTTCATTTTTATCTAAGAATGGGTTTGTTGGTTTGAAATTTTCTTGTGTTTCTACTGAAGTATATTCTTCACGTTTAGCAATAATAGAAACAGGCAATACTCTAAATGGAACTGCGAGAACATTTACTTTAGATTTTACTCGTTGTGTTGCAATTACCAGTTTGTAAAAATAATTGATGTTATACCCGCGATAAGTTGGAGGGCCACTTCTTGGTATAAATTCGCTAAAAAAGTCTTTAAAATTAAGAAACTTGTTTAAAATCTGTGATATTTTCTGTCTACAATATAATTAGAGTGTTTTTATTAGTGTTTAACACGAAATTATTGTAAGAATAAGAAGTATGTAGATAGGTAATTGTTTATGTATATATGTACATGTTTGTATATTTATAAAAAAAATACACATACATTTTTTGTTTTCCCCAATTTTTAGTTTTAAATCACAAAACAAAATTTTCGCTTTAGTTGACGTAATTAGATTTCCATGAGAGTTCATATTTCCCAAAGCAGTCACATTTTGATAATCAAAATCATCCTCAGTTTTCGAGTTCGTACATTTGTAACAATGTATCTGCACGGAACCCCAAGCCAAATGCTCAAAATCATTTCTAAAATGAAAGTTTTCTGTATTCAATTTTAAAAATTTATATGTATGATATTAAGTTTAGTTGTAGAATCTATCCCCTTTTCAACAAATATTACTTCAAACTATGCATGCATCTATTTCTCTATCAATTTAAACCAACTATTAAAAATTATTTCGGGTTTACTATATTTGTTAAAATGATAGGGAAAGTAAAAGATAAATACTCTTAAATACACAATACATTAAATACTTACGTCCCATTTAGGGTACTTGAAATATTATTCAGCTCAATAAAGCACTCTACTTTCTCACCAGTAACATAAGCAGCATTTTCTTTTCTTATAAGTTTAGCGCTAATTTCTATCATGTTTCCAAAAAAAATGGATTTAGATTAGATAAATTATTTAAAGTTACATTTTTTTTTCTATTTCAGAAAGCAAACTTTTTAATTTATGAATTTTTAACAACACATTAAGTTCGTTCAATTGGTTCGATTATGTATTTTACTACAAAAATCAAAAACATGTCAATCAAATACATTCAGACGTACAATGCCGCAAAAATCACAAAAGTTAAAATTAAATCTTTTCCTATTATATATATAATATTAAAAAATTGATTTCAAGAAAACCTTCCAGACTTTGCTCATTTTTTTAAGATTTTGACGAATGCTATATTATCAAACATATCTTAACAACGCTGCAAAATTCTAAAAACAATTAGCTTCAAGATACACTAAGAATTAGTATTTTGCATCAATTTCCACTTTGAAGTATGATTTTGAAATTGTCAATCAGAAATCCAAAATGATTTATATTGTTTAAGTCTAAAATGATTTATATTGTTTAAGTTTTGACAGCAAATATTTTGGTAGTTTGTATGAATTCAAGAATTAATAACAGAAAATACAAATTTTGTGATTCTTCATTAAAGAAATGTAAAGTTTTTTATTTACTTATTTATTCAATATACTTGTATAAAAAGTCATTTTTATTTCATTTTGGAATTCATTGAATTTTGGTTGTATTCAAATTTTTCAAAATTGGCTTTTTTGAAACTGTTCATCTCCTTTTTGACACAAAAACATGAAACTGTTCATGTCTTTGTGTCAAAAAAATTTTTTTTTTACGTCAAAAAGATTCTAATTTAGATGAAAAGGTATACAAAGGGAGATGAATGGGAGGTCAGAAAGTCCAAAGAATACAAATTAACAAAAGCCCAACGAAGTTTAATCAAATCACATAATTGAAAAAATTTTCTTAACAAAGAAAATACTATGTTAGGTACACGTTTCTTGACATAACATGGTACGTTCGTTTTCATTTATCGATTTAAATGTGTTTTTAATTAATGCAATTGATTTTACTCATCCCTGCTAGATTCAAACAGTAAATAAAACTAAATAGTAAATTTATTCTTTGTGGAGTATGTGATTTGTATTATAGCTAAATTTTAAATGAGATAAAAACTCTAATTATGTCTGCAAATTCGATAGAACTAAGTTCATATCGCGATCAGCATTTCAAAGTAAGTGTACTTAAAATTTATTTTAAAACTATTTTAAAATTAAATTTTTCAGGGTTCAAGGAACGAGCAAGAAAAGCTTCTTAAAGATACAAGTACATTATATGTAGGAAATTTATCGTTTTACACCACGGAAGAGCAAATAAATGAACTTTTTTCGCGATGTGGAGATGTAAGAAGAATAGTAATGGGCCTTGATAAGTACAAAAAAACCCCTTGTGGGTTTTGTTTTGTTGAATATTATACTCGAAATGAAGCTGAATTTTGCATGAGGTATGCATTTATACTTATCTTGATATATTTAATACTTCATTAAGTTGTCAATTTGCTCTTAGATATGTTAATGGGACAAGACTTGATGATCGGTTGATTCGAGTTGATTGGGATGCTGGTTTTATTGAAGGCCGCCAGTATGGTAGAGGAAAATCGGGTGGACAAGTTCGTGATGAATATCGAACTGATTACGATGCTGGAAGAGGAGGGTATGGGAAGCTTTTACAACAGAAAATTGCACCAAATACAGCTGCAATTGTGTAAATTGTCATCATATCCTAGTGTATCTTATTAGTTCATATTTTACAATAAATCTTTTTTATTTTTAAACGCCTGAATGGAATATATTTATTTCAACTTTTCCTGTACTTGTGCATAGAACCGGTAAAGTTTGCATATAAAAATTTATCGTATATATATGCGGATACATCCATCTTATCGATTTTAATAATACTGTTGTATTATTAAACAACGATTTGAAATAAAATTGACAAAACGTACAAAGCTTTTCACCGAAAAGTAATAAAATGAATTAGAAAACTAATAAATTTTTTTCCTTTTATAACAATCATTTTTATTAAAAATTCATACATAAAAGAGATATACATATATAGAAATTATCGAACTAATTCTGATTTTGGTGTTCCTAATAAAATATCTAAAAATTTGGTTTTGTCAATATTTTTTAACTTAAAATCTTCCCTTTGCGCAAATGTTCGTTCGTTTTCCATTTTAGCCTCCACCATTTTCTGTTGGGACTTAACAGCATTAAAAAAATGCACTACACCCTTAGTAGCAATTTTTTTCAAAACCTTTTGCGTGCTTAGGTCTTGGACTGACGGTTTTATTCTTAGTCCACGATGGCTTGCCTCCATGCTTTTACACTTTGATTCTGTTTTCACAACATTGGCCTTCTTCTCCTTGAATTCTTCTTCAATACTGGAGTTGCATTCAATTTTTCGTTTTCTAGTCAAAGTCTTCTTAAATTTGTCATTTGCTAATTCTTTATTTATGCAATCTGTCCAACCGAAATTCCAATCTTGTGAAGACTCCATTTCTGGTTATTTAAAGCAAAATTATAAAAGATTATACGATTTCTTATAGAAAGTTACCTTTTGTTACTGCCATTCTTTTTTTTATTTTATTTTAAAATAGGTTAATTTTCAATTTTCATGTAAATAAAAAACTTAGCATAATACAGCCAGGTATAAAATATTATATTCTGCTTGAAGTAGGGTTGCTTTAAACATAATAAATATTATAAGGTTTTTACCAGGGCTGCCACTAAAAAAAGTTAATGAACCAAACTTAAATAAAAAGGAGTGAAATAAAATACTTAGTTTTGTGAGTACAACACTTAATTGTTATCTAGTTTCGATTTTAGTTGAAATTTGTTACAGTTTGCATAAACGACAAAATTTTTACAAAATCAAAAGTCTGATGAAAGTCGTATATGTAAGCACTATTTGATATAACTCTTTATCTGACGTCAAATAATATAAATTATCTTGATGTGACAAAAATTTCAAGACAATTTTTTGCAAGAATTTTGATCAATGATCAGCTGATTTTTATTTTGTTTAATTTTTGGAGCAATTTGATATATAGCATTCGGATATGTAAACAATCATCATTCTTTATCGTAGATTTAAGCTTATATCGTGTCTTATATAATTAATTTTTTAGTTATGCAACAGGAATGGCAACGTAATATAATGTGGACATAAAACTTATAAACTGCGTATATACATTCTATAAAAATTGGAAATAATAGGTCTGTCTGGCGTTACTTTTCGCAAAAAAAAATAGAGCAACAGAAAAAGTTAAAAAAACGAAGTAATCATCAAATTTCAAATTATTTATTAAAAATAAACTGTACTTACCAAAGATGCCACTTACACATCAGACTAAATCTACGATTTAATATACGATTAAATCTAAAGCATTTACACATCAGATTTATTTTAATATCAAAAAATAAAAATTATTAGCTGACAAGCATTTTACATATATTAATTTGTTAATTTCAATTTTTCAATTCGCGTTTATGCAAAACGGGCCACCCGCAACACTTTCAAATCAAAACTTTAAAACTTTTTTAATAGATATTTCATTTTTTTAATAAGATTATTCGTTTTTTAAATTTTTTAAATTTTAGGTCAGTTATCTTAGCAAAAAATAATTAGTTTCTCCTTCAACAAGAATTATTACTCACTGTAACGGAAATATCTTTAATTTTTTTTTCAATAAAAAATGTTAAAATTTTTGTTTGGTTCTATAATTTGTTCAAGATGTCAAATTATATCAAATTACTTGCTCAAATTAGTGGTAGGAAATTTTTTTTGGTAGTTGAGCAAGTCATAAACTAGGAGGATGAAATATAATCAGTGTATTCATACAAAAACATGTCAAAAGTTGTTGGAATACGTACATATATATATGCATGTATAATAAATAACACAAACATCACACTAATAACTTAAAACGTCATACAAATTTGACAACTGATTCTTGTTATGCATTAGATTTTTGTTCTTATATTTCTTATTCTTATACTTAATATTCAACTCAATCTATTTGGGGTGTTTCTGCTTAATGTTTTGATAAATTAATTTTGAGGAACTTCAACTTAATTTTCTTGTTAGTATAATTTCTGCGTTTAATTTAAATATAAATTATTTCAGCTCTATTGCATGCTTTAGAAAGTATGGATTCACCGTATTATCCACTCAGTGAATCATGTGCAAAAGCTCTTGGGGATAAAATGTACGACAAACGAAAACTTGCCGCTGGAGAAATTGAAAAGTAAGATCCAATATACATAAATCCAGCGGAAACCGTTATAGTCTTATTTTGTTAAAATTTTTTTAGAACTGTTGTAGAACTAAATAACAAAAAAAATGTTAATCAAATAAAGAAATTAATTGAAGTCTTGGCAAATAATTTTGCGACTTCTAGAGATCCTAACCGTCGAAAAGGTGGCTTAATAGGACTTGCTGCAACAAGCTTAGGTCTCGGAAAAGTAATAAAACCACACTTACTTGAAAAATTAACTTTGCAAATCGTATTTTAGGATTCAGAAAAATATATCAACGAACTTGTTCCACCCATAATTACCTGTTTAGCTGATGCTGATTTACGAGTACGTTATTTTGCTTGCGAGTCTCTTTATAATGTAGTCAAGGTTGCAAGAACAGCAATCATTCCACTATTTCCTGATATATTCCAAGCTTTGCTTAGATTAGTAACAGATCCTGATCAAGCTGTAAAAGATGGCAGTGAATTGTTAGATAGACTTTTAAAGGTAAGACAAATGTAATTTATAATAAAATTTTGCATTTATAAAATAAAAATTACATGTAATATTTAAGGATATTGTTACCGAATCATCTTCCTTGTTTAATTTAAATCAATTCATACCATTATTACGCGAACGGGTATACATAAAATCTTCTTTTGGACGACAATATGTTATTTCCTGGATATCTGTTTTAAATGCTGTTCCTGAGATTAACATGGTAACGTACTTGACCGATATATTAGATGGACTATTTTTAATGCTAGAAGATAGTATGATAGAAATTCACAGAATGTAAGTTTATAGATTTTGTATTAGATAAATTTATGTGGAAATAACCACTATTATTTTATTAACAATGTTAGGTGTGAAACCTTATTAGCCCAGTTCTTAAAATCTATTAGACAAGATCCATCTTCTGTTAAAATAAAGGAAATACTTATTTGTTTAATTGGTCATGCCCAGTCTACAAACGAACTTATACAGGTTAGGAAATAATTTAAACATTTTAATTTTCAAGTTTTTCAATTCTTTTGTAAAGTCAACAGCAATTAACTGGATTAAAGAATTTATTTCGATATTTGGTCCAGAAATGATCCCTTATTATAGCGGAATATTTACAGCAATACTTCCTTGTTTAGCTTATGAAGGAGAATCAAAAAAAAGTATTTAATGTTGCGATAAATTATTTTAAAAGTAAGCTGATTTAGTGTAAGTACTTGTACTAAATACATTTTAGATATACGGGACTGTGCTCTCGCTGTTAACAAATCAATGTTAGAATTATTATCAACACGAGAAAGCAAAAAAGAAAATATTAAAAAGATCGATCTAGGTTCAGTAATGGAAGTATTGCGACAGTACCTCACCCACAACTCCGTTCATACCAAAGTTGCTGTACTTAAATGGATACATCATCTTTTAACCGAAATTCAAAGTGAGGTACAAAACGCATGTATAATAAGTATTTATGAAAGTTTTACGAAAAATAAAAAATTTCCTTAGATGTGCTCTCACGCTACTCATCTGTTTCCAGTACTATTAAATATTTTATCTGACAGCTCAGATGAGGTGGTACTTCAAGGTTTAACAGTTCTTGCTGAAATAGTAAATTCAACGCATATAAACGGTATAAAGTAAGTCCGTCAAAAGTTTAATTATTGATTTGATAAGTATTTTAGAAAGCGGGGACTTTAACAAAACCCACTACAGAAAATTTTTACTTTCGTTATCAAATTTATTTCACTCTGAAAAGCAGTTCTTGGAAAACCGTGGCAGTTTGATAATAAGGTAAATAATAAAGCGATCATTTGTATTTTGTAATATCGATCGTTACTCATCTTTCAAAATGACTAAATAACATAAATAGGCTTCATTTTGATTGAAAAATAAGTGTTCAGCCTTCTACTTTCATTTCTTTTACATTATTCTTTTACTTCCATTCCACCCCAATTAATTTTTTCTTGTACTACAAAAAAGTTATATATATTTTGATTGCTCTCGTTTTGTATTTATATATATATTTATTTTTATAATTAAAAAAAAAAACAAATAGACAGTTATGTGTTCATTTAAACGCTGAATATATTTATCGGACATTTGCTGAAATAATCGCTGAAGAAAAAACAAACATAAAATTTGCTTCGACAATGGTTCGATCGCTTAATATGATCTTGCTTACATCGTCGGAACTTTTTGATTTAAGGCAATCTTTAAGGGATATTCGAAATTCAAATTCAGCATCATTGTTTAAGTGTTTATACAAAAGTTGGGCACATTGTCCAATATCAGTTCTTTCCTTAGGATTATTGGCTCAAAGTTATCAACATGTCTCGGATTTGGTGGTTTTATTGTAAGTTATTTATTTAAAATATGTATGTATTAATATTATAAATATAACAAACCAAACTTTTTTAAAAAAATTGCAGTGGAAAAATAGAAATTACTGTAGAATTTTTAACAGAACTAGATAAATTGGTTCAGTTAATAGAATCTCCTATTTTTGCTTGTAAGTTAATTTCTTTCAATATACAAACCAAATATATACATACATATGTATGTATCAATTTTTTTTTTGTACGTAGCTCTTAGATTGGTTTTGGTTTCGAAATCAAATCAATGTGCGGATGCTCAGCATCTAGCTCATGCTTTGTTTGGTATATTAATGCTTATGCCTCAAACAGATGCATTTATGTCTTTAAAAAATCGATTGCAGTGCGTTCCAAATTATTGGGGTCAATCGCCATTGTAAGAAAAAATTAATTTTAGTTTTTAAAATATTCATACACACATTGTAAAATTTCATTTGCTTTCAAAAATTTAGGAAAGATGAATTATCTATTCAAAGTCAAAGCCAAATTGATTTTGATGAGCTGCTGCAGCACTTTCAGAAAATACAGCAAATGCATCGAGAACAAAGAATCACATCTAGAAAACGTAGTGTATTATTGTGGGATAGCGAAGTTAATAAGGAATAATAATACGTAATTAATGTGTTACCTATATAACACAAGATTTAGATTTTTTTTTTTTGTGAAGTTGAACTTACATAATTATTCATTTTTTCTATTCAATTCCATATTGTTATGTTAGCGCTTATTTGTAACAACGCTACACTTTGAAAGAGACATTTACATGTAAATGCAAATTTTTCCAAAAGTTAAAAGTAAATTATAGTTAGTTATTGTATAAGTTTTATAATTGTTTGATATCAATATAAAAAATACTTAAATATAATAAACACAAAAAATTAATTTCAAATAAAATTTTTTAATATATTTTTTTATAAAATAATCTACTTAAAGTTTAATAAATTTTGCTGCGCTTTGAAAATAATTTGTCAATTTTGGCAAAATTTTATAATGGTGTTTCAGAAGATTTGTAAGCATTTGAACCTTCATAATTTTCAATAACCAAACTTTTATATCTTCTCATAGCCACAAACAATTCTACCTCGCGGTCTTCTACTGACAAGATTTTGACTCTTGACACAAGTAAATGAGATGGATTCGTTTGACTGAAGCCTTTAATAATATCCACTTCGTCGTTAATATTCAACTGTAATACAAATTATATATGTTTATTTTTATTATATTTTAATTATAGAGAACTACTCGAACCTTACTTGAGCACTTTTTTTCAATATTTTTTTTCCATTAACTCGTATCTTGCTTTCATAAAAATAAGTCTCAACTTTACTAAAAGAGATAATTATGTAGGGTACCTACTACTAAAATCGGTTGAAAAACAATTATTGTAATTACTTCCTGGCTATTCCTAATCCTGCTTTTAATATTAGGTCTGTCCGCAGAGAATTCAATTTCGTTTTAACAATTTTAGAATCTTGTTCATCTGCAAAAATATTTTCATTTTTATCTTCTTCGTCACTGTCTTCATCTTTCATATGTGAAGATTTTTTTGTATATTTTGTACGAAAAAAATCTTTGGAAGCATTGAATGTTGTTATATCATTGTGCATATATAAAGAACTTTTGCCTTTTAAGAAAGTCTTATTTTTATATAAAATATTAACGGTTGAAATATTCCGGAACGCTTTACATTTTCTTAAAGAAAGAGAAGCAATTAATCTAACACTCATCCTTAATTTTGGATTCAAGCAGGATTACATTAATATGTACAAAAATACCATAACCAATTTAGATGATTTGATTAACCCTTGATATTATAAAAAATATGTTTCTGAACCATGGCATACATATCTAAACAAGCCAATGAATTGTCAATTGACAACTTTATGGAGAGTGATGTCATTTGACACGTTTGAATTCATTTTCTATTGTTTGGTAGAATTATTAAGGTAAATAGTAAAGAATAAAAATAAAGCAAGTTTTTTTTTAAAACACGCAAAAATTAAGTTTTAATAGTTATTCAAGTGTATTATAACAACTATATTAAGTGTTAAAAGTTATCAAGTAACATTTTTTTATAAAAAAATAAAAAAGCGGAAGTAAAGTAAAAATTATAAGGATAAAGGGAAGAAAAAACAGTGTTAAATAAATTCAGTGTTCAATGAATGCTGTAAATGTTTGTTTAGATCGTTGTGTAAAATCTGATTAACAAATCAGCACGAGTAGTAACTTGAAATGGGAAAATGGGGGCTTTTGAAACTTAAACTTCAACGGGGAAAATACTTATGGAACTACCACATGCGTTTTAAGATAAAATAAACGAAAATAATAATAGCGCAGCGTTTTTGATGATGAAAATAAGAGTTTTAACATTGAAATTAGAAGATGCAATTAATTATTTATTTTGCTGGTAACAAAATAAAAAAATATTTCGCTTAGCGATGATGTAAAAAAACTGTACTTCAAAATCAGATTATACAGAAAAATACGAATATTAAGCAAAAATTAAAGATAAATTAATAAATTAAAAAAAACTTTGGTATTTCTTTCAATATATTGTGTTATATAATTTTCAGTTTCGGGTCCTGTGACGTCACAAACAACTATCAATAATTTTGTATACCATGGTTCTGGACGTTGATTGGATTGACAGTTTGAAACAAATATTCTTTTTATCAATAGATTTACTACATTAATAGAGAGGCAGTAAAGACAATGAACATCTAACAAAAAGCAAACTTTTCACTTTGTGACCATGTGTAACACTTATTCACAATGTATTTAAACAAAATTCTTTAATTCTTCTTATTTACTGTTTACATATGTATACGACAAAATCTACAATTTAGTCTGAATCTAACGAAAGTCCCTAAGTGATGAAAATACATAGCATGTAAACAAGTAAGACTTTATGTCCAGTACTTCAAACTGTAAAATTTGACAACTTCAAAAATAATATATGTTTTCGGGTTATTCCGTATTTCCACGCAACATACTAAACATACATACTAAATTTGTAGTTTTGTTTCTGTATTCTTTTTTGAATCCAAATGGATTGACGAGCCAGAATTCGTTAAAGAAAATAGAACGAAGATGTAAAGGCATGTATAATTATGATTGCAATTTCGATATTAAACGGTAGTCGTACCGGTTCGTTTTTGTTATTTTACAGTACAATGCAGTTAGATTTGCAATTTGTTGCAAACACGCTCTTTATTACAATATTAATTTTTTTAGTTTTATAGCAATGTAGCTCTACGTTAATAAGAAGGTTCTAAAATGGAAGAGTAAGTATACAGGGTATTTCCCATAGGGTAGCAAATAATTTAGGGAATGGTTGTTAGGTGAGACATAGAGAGAGGGAGGATGTGTGTGGCGGTGAAATATGCGTTTTTCACATTCAATACGTTTTAAGGAAAATGTTGTATGGGCGTTCTTTAAGATCTTATTGCGGCGCATCAAAAAAAAAAATCGCAAATTTTCGAGTTTTTTTTAAAATAATTTCAAACAAAAGAACAAGAATTCTGATTTTGGCGAATTCTAAAACTGCGGCACAAATCGAATTATTTGTAAGACCAAAAATAAAGAGCAATCAATCTGCAAAACAAGCCACCCATATACTTTATGGATGGTTACTTTATGTCGTAAGGTTCCGAAGCTCAGCATTTATTTTTACGCAAGAAAAATCTAGTACCCTTTTTTTAACAGGCTGTAGCACACAAACTTGTATGTCTGTAAATAGCCTTTTGTGCAGCCAGAGTTTATAGTTCTTTTTAACGGCTCTACGTTAAAATCAGTCAAAAAAATTTGCTTTCGAGAACCCTATCTTCTAAACCGGTTGCAACAGAAACATAATGTGGGAGAAGATCGGCACTCTGGTATATGCCAGTGAGCCTCCATAGGGATTGAGTTAATATGTACTACATAAATTAGTTAATATTTGCAGAAAAAATATTTCTTTTGATAAATCACATTAATGGTGTAGCTGCATATTTTCAATACCAAAAATGTATACCTAGATACATATGTACAAGCATCAAAATACGAGGGTCACACTATTTATATTTCGGGTCCTGGCAATACTAGTGCTGCCAGGTGCAATCTGACACTTCCATTGGAAAGTTTGGCATTTTTTAGGACAACTTCACTCAGAAGGTTTCGTCATTCGAGCGCGAATTGTTTTGTTTACAGTGACTTGAAAAATTCATCTCGGTCAAAAAATGGAATTGTCCCGTGAAAATTTTCGTGCGATGATTTTTTACGATTTTCGGCGCGGATTATCGAGACAAGAGTGTCTCGATCAACTTGTTTCGACTTTTGGTGATGAAGCACCATCAAAAACCACTGTAAATCGCTGGTACCAAGAGTTTGGTTTCGGACGCCGTTCGCTCCAGGATGAAATTCGTGAAGGTCGGCCAATTTCGGTCGTTTTGCCGGAAACCATCGATGCTGTGCGCGAAATGATAATGATGGACCGGCATGTGACATACTGTGAGATTGAGGCATCCTTGGGCATTAGTTCCACCAGCGTACATAAGATATTGCATGAACATCTTGCCATGAAAAAGGTGTGTTGTCGATGGATCCCAAAAAATTTGACGATTGCACAAAAGAAGACTCGTGTCGATTGGAGCAAAGAAATGTTGAAAAAATTCAATCGCGGTGCGTCAAAAGACGTTTATAAGATAGTCATAGGTGATGAATCATGGATCTATGCATGTGAGCCCGAAACGAAACAGCAATCGACCGTATGGGTGTTCCAAGACGAGCCAAATCCAACAAAAGTTGTTCGTGGAAGAAGCACATCGAAGCAAATGATCGCGTTTTTTTTTGGTATAACCGGTCATGTGGCCACAGTACCTTTAGTGGAACGTAGGACGGTAAATTCTGAATGGTACACCACCATCTGTTTGCCGAAAGTTTTCGAAGAAATAAGGAAAACAAACAAGCGCCGGCGAATCATTCTTCATCATGACAATGCAAGCTCTCACAAATCAGCTGAAACAATGGACTATTTGAGCACTCAAAATGTCGAATTGATGGGTCATCCGCCGTACAGTCCTGATTTAGCACCCAATGACTTCTTCTTATTCCCTCACATCAAAAAAAAAATGCGTGGACAACGATTTTCAACACCTGAAGAAGCAGTCGATGCGTTCAAAAACTATGTTTTGGAGGTGTCTCAATCGGAGTGGAAAAAGTGCTACGAAAATTGGTTTCAGCGCATGCAAAAGTGTATTGATCTTCATGGGGAATATTTTGAAAAACAATAAAACCATTTCCAATGATAAATGTTTGTTTTTTATTGCTAGACCCGAAATATAAATAGTAACCCTCGTACAATGTATTAAGACAAATTTTGGAGAATCAAAATTTGTGAAGCATTTGCACCACTAATCGTTTTTGTGTAGCAGTAGATGCATTCGTGTAAAATACCTTATGTTTTTGGTTAATGCTTCTTAGGTCCAGGTCTCCATCTTACTTCAGCTTAAAAATTACTGCTGTGTAATGGTATAACACAATATGTACATACATATTGTATGTACATATTATAATTTTATCTTCGGTTGGGTATCAATATTGACCAAATTTAAATTGGGAACAAGAACATTCTACTAAAATTAAACAGAAACATGTGTTATATGTACATAAATAAAAATTTCACCTAACTTAGTTTTATTTCTAAAAGTTAAAATTATTGTTTTTTTAACATGACAGATAATATTCGACTACTTGTTAATGAATGCGATGCATGTAAAATGCTATTGGATACCAAATTTAGAGCAAGTTATGTAAATCGAACACCCAAAATAACTTGCATACATACACATAGTGTATATTTTGAATTAAAGTTTAAATGACTGCTTGAACAAAAATTATTTCCATTTTTTCTTTTTTACAAAAATCAACTTAAAATTAATAGACTTAACACATTTTATTGCAAATTAATTTAGATCCCGTTAAGACATGAAATGATTGTTTCTTAATAAATTTTTGTAAATACAAAAAATAAAGAAAAAGCATGATCACATGTATTTTGCATTCAAATAAAGTAATTTAATTTTTACTAAAAAGAAAAAATTAACAAAATAAGACTTGTTAGCAGCATAAATCTGGTAATAACTTTATGATCTCGTGCCTTTTGTAATTCATTTGATATTTAATAGTTCTATTATAAAAATAGCATATCTACTAAAATTAAATTTAATTTTCTAACCATTATTAAATTTAGAGAAAAATAAAGCATAGTTATTTAAATAAAGACGATTCATATACTCTTATATACATATATGCATATGTAGATATATATGCATTTAATAAAGTATAAAGGTACCAATAATAAAAAAATTTGTATTATACAAGAATTAAAGGGATGTTATGTTTTTAAAAAACACGAGATTTGGTTGATTCAATATTTGATATTTCACTTTAAAGGCTAGTTGTTAAGTATCTAAAAATTTCACTTTCCAGTTTTTGATGTTTGATTTTCGGCAATCTCTTTTTTCTTCTGCTTTTCTCGCATTAAATCGGCATCTCTAAAAAAAATCTATTGAGATTTTTATTAGATTAATTTAGGAACTATTGTACCTTGCCTTGCGTTGTTCCACAGTTAAATCATCCTTTCTTTTTCCTTTACCTTGTTCCTGTAGTTTTTTTTGGTTTTTTGCCCTTGCTAATTCTCGCTGATTTCCTCCTACAAGTATTTTTTAGTATTTTTTAGTAAATACATTGTTTTATTTTTTTTATTTAATACTTATGTATAACATATTATTTAAATAAAAGCTTTTTCAAATTTAATTCTGACTGCTATCGCAGCATAGAGAAATACAGGGGGTAAATTGTAGCTTTTGTTGTACCTTTACTTAGAATAGATGAACGTGGAAAATAAATTTAATATAGCGCGCTTAGCTACATTAGTAGAAAAACAAATTCATAAACCATTATCCGATTTTTAAATAAAGCCATAATATTTAAATAAGTATAAAAAGTATAAAAAAATTCAATGATATAAATTGAAATTTAAGAGTTAAAATTTCAATTTGTCGTTAATTCATTCATTATTCGTGAAGAATCAAAGGTCTTTTTAGCGAAAAGAAATTGGGTAAACAAAAAACACTTTATAATACTAAAATAAAGGTTAAATTTTTTCTATTTTTATTATTATGAAGGTTGATTTTTTTATACATTTTGGCATCTAATTAGAGCCTTATGCGTAAAGTATCCATATCTATTTATTAAATAAAGCTTATAATGAAAAATCGTAATTCATATGTAAATTAGGAAGCCAAAATAAAAAAAAATATAAAATTTTAATGGTTCAAGCAATTTGTAGTCTTGTGTGACTATCAAAATATGATTCATATAATATGTAAATTTGACTAACATTGTTTAAGCAAAAAACATCTTTTCAAATAGGTACAGATTAAACAAGTTCCACGTAAGATTAAGGCCTCATCTGAATAAATAAGTTATATGTATTATGTATGTATATTTACGAACGATAAAAAATTTTATCAGTACGTGTGTAATAGAAAGGTCCAGCTTAATAGTTTGGAATGTTTTTGTTATTTTTTTATAATTTTTTAGTAGTTTTAGAGAAGCTGATTATTTTCAATCTTGTGTTTAAACAAGTTATTCGATTTTTTATTAAAATTAAAAATTTTATTTCCATTTCTCTACAAAGAAAAATGCTTATTATACATAGTAGCTTTTGACAATAAAAAATTAATCATATTGTAGAAGAATTCACTTGTGTTTTGTAAACAAACGAAAAATCTAGACTTAATAAATACTATTCGTGCTCCTTCAATTTATCACTGTTCTTTTATAAAATGAAGTTTTACATAAAATTAATTTGATCTTACAAAACATTTAAAACGTGCAAATTCTAGTGCTATTTTTATATTATTTAGGCTGTACCACAATATTAATTTCTTACGTGTCATTCTTTTTCTTTCTGATTAATTAAATCCAATTTAAACAGTTAAGTTTAATATTTTGAGCAAAATTTGAGTTTTTCCACGCAAATTTTGTTATTTATCCGATTTTTTAACAAAAATAAAACTAGAAATAATTTTATTTTGCTCACTCGCACAGAAATCTTTAATACGTCTGTAAAACATAACAGTATGACTATGAAATGAATAGGCAACATAATCTAATAATACACAAGGTATGCTGCATAATTGATGACAGCTGCTGTCCGTCTTGATGAATGTGTGTATCGTTCATTGTTTTATACGAAACGACACAAATTCTTTTAAATTAACCCAAAAAAATATATTTTAAGTAGAAAAAATACTCAAACTTCCAGTGAAAACCAAAATAAAATTTTGCTGAAAATGAAACTTGGAATGATTTTTCTCGTAGGTATGTGCAATGCATGTACATGAAAAATTTCATTTTAAAATGTTGTCAGTTGAAAAAAGAAAAAAAAAATTTAATATAAAATATTATATTATAATTTTCTTAAAAAAAAAAACAAACTAACAAAAGATTATTTTTCAAAAAACAATATTCTCCCAAATGACGTCATTTCTTCAAACTAGTTAGCAAACCTTGTTATTGTTAGACCATGTGACTATAGGGTGATTGAAGTTTAAAACAGAAGAAGAGCGTTTTTCCGTGATAAAATGTCAGAATTTATATATTTAAATGAGACTGTCTATAACAAAAATATCTATTTCTGCCAGCCGCGGTCCAGAGTCATGCGAAATCAAACGAATCAGAAAGAGACCAGAGCCAAAGTGGTGAACGGTGACGCCACATGATTTCCATTACCATAAGACAAGAGTGGAGCGGCAAAATCAACTCTTCAATATTATGCATATATGCTACATATAAACAAATGATGCCAAATAAACTGCAAGCTTATTTTTGATAATTTTTTAAAGTTAGATCTTAAATGTTCGCACGAGGATATTTCTGAAATTTTTGGAAATATTTGGTAGTGAAATAAAGATAAGCCAAATACTTTTTATTTTCAAAAGAAAAAGTTTTAAATGTTAATAATGCATAATTCTGAATAATAGTTTAAAATTTGCTTTTGTTCTGAAAACACTTTGCTTTGGTTATTTTTTTTAGTATTTTGACCTCAAGCTTTCGCTTGATATATCAAAATGAAGGCTAGAATGCAATACACTATTTCCTGTAAAAAATACTACACTCATATCCTGGTACTCATCGCATGCATGGAGTGGTACCATCATGTCTAATTCCTATTCAGATGTTAATTAGGAATTGATAATTCTAAAATTTACGTTTTATTTTAATAATTGAATGTATACAGGAAGAAAAAAATAAAAAAGATATAAACATAACACACAATTCGAAATTGCTAATTATTGCTTCAAAACTTTCTTTGCTTTTATTCATATGTACAAAACCAATGCTACCAACCTAAAAACATTTTTTATTGCAGACAAGATTACCAGAAAGCAATATTTATTTCACGATAGATTTTATTTCACGTGGGTGACGCGACTCACAGAATATGACTGAATATATTAATTACATCTAATTATAAATGACGATTAAAGAAAAATTTATATTTACAGAAGGACCTAAAAGGCAAAATGTAACTAGATGTTTTTTGTTTATCTGGAATTCTATTACTCTACTCCAGAAGTATCATGCGTATTTAGCTGAAGAATTAGTAGTTAATTATAATTTAACGAGAGGCCCTTATAAAACAGACATACATATGTACATACATATATGCATTCTAAATAAAATAATTTCTATTTTGTTTTCCTTTTTTTTTAAATATTTAAATTTTTAAAAAAATCAAATATCATAAGTATGTAAATAAGCACAATTAAAAAATTTTATATTGAATATTGCTCCTTACGACAGTATCAATTGTTTCCCCTTCCTTCCCCTTTAACATTTGAACAAATTCCTATAACAATTAGCCTTGTTAGCCGTAAGTTTAACAAAGCATCCTAATTTAATATTTACATACATACTTTAAATGGTGATAATCCCGGAGGACTTAAGGTATTCAAATATTCTACTACTAGAATATTTATGTACTTCCAAACTTTGACTTTCAGAACTATCGTTATTTTTCATGGAATGAAATGTGTGAAAAGATGTTTTTCCGATTTTAGTAAAGATTCAAAACCCTTTAATTGAAATTGGTTCGTTTTTGGGACATTTAGAAGCATTAGCTCTTAAGAGAAATATCTTTGTGAATAACATTTGCTTCTGCACTTTAATGTATTCACGATTTTGTAAACAACGAACTTGATTCTGCTTTCTGATTACCATTATTTTCATAACATGTAACATTCCCATTCCTTTAACTGCCATCTCAACAAGACAACTTTTAACATACATATGTAAGTACATACATATTTATTTGATTGTTTAGATATTTTCAAAAAAGCATATAATTATTTAAACTGATTTTAAAAGACAGGTTAATAAAACGATTAAGGTTAAAAATTACATTCATACAAAATAAATTATTTCACTCGTTAGTTGGATTAATACAAATTATAAAATATTTTATTTTATTAAAATTTGTCATGAACTGCTTTAGTATTAAAAAAATTTTTTTTAAAGTTTGTTTAAAAGAATCGTTTTTATTAAAATACTAAAGCCGGCTATGGCATATTCCCATAAAACAGCTTCAATCACTCCTTCACGGTTTCTTTCCTGAGTTATTCACGCAATATTTGCGGACCTATCCCGCAGAAAACGGTCGCAGAACGCCCTCTTCGCTAGCACGTCGGCCTGACTCCTAGTACAAAATTATCTGGTTTTGCCCGTTTAGTTTTTCGAGGCAATCCCACAATATTTCGCAGGTGACTGAGTTATATCCTATATTTTGTCTCCAATAGTCTTCGATTTATTGGATACCGATGCCCTCAATTCATCGGCGTGCCACCAAATGGTGTTTTCCTATTGAATAATTAAGGAATTCTTCCCACCAATCCATCCGTGTACACTTAATAATTTAAGCTTGCAAAAAGAGGAACATGAATTTTTAGAACGCACACAGTTAATGCTTAAAATATGCGTACACATGTACATAGCATGTGCATATTAAATTTAAAAAAATTTTTGCACTTAGCGTAATATTATTTTGATTAAAATTTTATCACAATAGAGTTTAGGGAATTAACCTATGAATTCCAAAGCCTTGGGAAAATAACTTTAACTCAATAATTATTATTCAATTCTGTAATTCAATAATAGGCGAACTTAGGTAAATAACGTTTCAGGAGAATTATGCAGTTGGAATGAGTGTTTAGTAAAATAAAAATGCAAATGTGCATAAATTATATATTAAAGTTGCTAAGAAATATAAATAGTTTAATGTTTCATTTTCTATATTTTCTGCTTTTGACTTTAAAAATAAAATTTTGCTCTTAACAAAGAATGCATGGAGTAAACTTATTTTATTTTACCACTTCGATCTCTTCGTCCAGTCCTTGGGTGACCAGTGCAAGCATTTAGAATCAATGCGAATTTTCCTTTTGTCCATTGCTTTTTTGTGTTGATCAATTATTTCTCGATTGATGCACACAATATACTGTCCTTTATAATAATTAATTAGATTTAAGTTTTGTAAGGTGGAGATAACATCTTCCTTTTTTATGCTTGTTAATTCACAAATTTCATTAATTGTAATTTGTGGCTTTTCACCATCTGGACCAGGATTTTGGGTAATGAAGATATCTAATATAGTTTGAGCCCAATAAGATCGGTAAGAAAGTAATCCCAGATCTGATAATGGCTTTTCAGGCGAACCTGTTTTTCCTTCAAATTTCGATAATTCATAACTAAATTCTATTAAAAGTTTTCCATATCCCTTCCTTTGATATGGCGGCATCGTCAGTATACAAGCAACGTTGTAATCTTCAGTGCTTTCTTTTTCTTTGGAAAAGTACCCCACTATGTGAAAGCCTCTTGAATCAAATTCTGTCATAACATAGAATAAAAACGGATCTGTGTCATAATACAATGTTTTATGATCCAAAAATAGCTTCGCAAGAAGACATAAGTTTTGTGCATAAACTTTATTTTTCCTTCCATCAATCTCAAAAAACGAAATTGTTTGTTTTCTGTAAATTTCATTTCCAGGTGGGTGCTTTAAATTGCATTTGTTAAGATGTCTCTCTAAACATTTTTTACTCTTACGATATTTCAGGCAAAATTCACAAATATATATACATGACATTTGGCACAGCTCTTGAGGATATGGCGCAAAATACCATGGTTTTATTCTATGTTTTCCTAGTTCTATCATTTTAACATTTTTCATTCTGGTCACTACATCATCATGATGTGCAACCATACTACCAGATTGTCTTGGGGTTTTATCAGGAACATCTTGGGAAGATTCTTCATTCTCTATAACTATTTGAGTTCTACGCTTTCTGTTAATTTTCTTTTGTAAGGCAGCTGCCAAAACCGTATTCCCGTTAACGATTTCAGAATTTGTAGGACTGGCAGGTCTTGACACACTTCCGGGAATTGAAAGAATTCTTTTTGGCGTTGTGACGCCTGTACTTGCTGTAGTAGCTGTTGCATCTCTTCTGGGAAATTGTACTTTTCTGGTATCCAAATACTCTTCAGATACCCATTCATCTAAGCGTTTATTAAAATCAACATAGTGCACATAAAAAATTCTTCTACATTCTTGCTCTTTGACGCTAACGATTTCAGCTAATGGCCAGTCTTCCGTTCCATGCATTCTCACTGGTAACCTGCACCCTTCGACAAGTGCTCCAGTTGAATCATATATAGTTGATATATCATCATCATCCATTTTTAATAATTTTAAATAATCTTCTTTCAATTGACTTTAAAATTAATTTTGATTTAACTTATAATATTTGTGACAATTGCATATGAAAATCTAAGAAGTTTTTGTTTAACTTATTTCAGATCCTAAAATATATTTCAATACTAACATTCATTTGGCATCAAAACATTGAAATGCTGTCAATTTTTTAGACTTACCGCATATGTATTTTTACGCAGGAGTTAAATTTCATTTTCATTTTATTTTTCGTGATTTTAAAATTAAACAAAAACTAATAGGGTATAAAAGTTTATTTCTAAAATGTATTACATTCTGTTATATATATATTCTAATTTTTTAACACAAAAATGTTGTCATATATTGGATATATTGTATCTTTTTCAATGTTTTCCATTTTAGGGTAGTTTCAAGGTGTTATAAAGTAAAATTTATATTGAATATGAATAGTGGCCTGCAAAATCAATAGATTTTGGAAAGTAATAAACTAAATAATACAAATAACAGAAGAAAGTGCTTTAGTTTAATTTCAAATGTAAGGAAAAAATAAATTCAGTTAAATTTTAAGAAATAAGAAGCTCCGAGGCTTGATTTAAAATAACTTGATTAAAAAATTACTGTGTTATTTTTTGACAATGTCAAAGTATAAATAATGTTAAAGTTATTACCACTTGGCAAAAACATTAAATATTTGTTTTTATTTTAAGTTTAAAAAAAATTTTACACAAATTCATCCATTTTTCATTTTGCAATTTCTTTGCAATTTTCTCCAATTAACTTTTTTAAATTTTTATGTATTTTACTAAAATAGTGGATTACTGGAAATATTTTAATTTAAGTGCGTTTTTTTTAAAGTGAGCAAATGGAAAATTTAATGAAAGAGGTATTATGTAATTCACCTGACGTACGAAATTCGCATAAACTCTCAGACTATATTAATTCTATTAATTAGACTATATTAATTCAAAATAATTTCAACACGTAACACATGAGGTGCTGTATACATATACGACATGACTTTGTCTAACAGCAAATAATAGAAATTAACGTATTTTCATCTAATAGAAATTAACGTGAAAATTTATTTTTTGCGAAAGTCTTCCACACCGATCAACTAATTTTTATTTTGATTATAATTTTGCAAATTTCGTTAGATTTAACGAATCAGAAATACTAAAAGGAGCATCTTGAAAAATCAATGAAGAAAAATTTTTTCAAGATGTCTCTTTCTTTGCTCCGAGCATTGTCAAAGTCGTAACAGGAGCGTATTTATTTTATTTTTTTGTCTGGTTTCTACTATAAAATATGTGTAATTTGTAGAAAGGGTAAATTGAAAATTTTTTTAAAAGTAAAAACTAAAATATATTTCAAAATATTTTTTCATTTTAGATATTTATAAAAAAAAACCAAATTTAAGCAAAACTCTTTTTTTTTTTCTCTTTGAATAATAATATTTTATAAATTGTAACTAACTAAAAGTATTTTAATATCACAATATTTTATTACCCTCTAAAATGAACATTTTTCGTTAAAAATTTCTTATATTATTAGTTTTGTTTGACAATTTTACCGAATAGCTCTAAACAATATTAATAACAATAAATATAAATACAAATTATGAATTAATCAAAGCCCTATTGAATAAATATTTCTTTTAATTATTGAAATGAATATTATTCACATGTATGTGGTGTAATAAAACTACATATTTGTTTTCATAAATGGGAATAACAATTTAGATCTTTACACCTTTCCTTTTTCAACAGGTTTTTTCTTTTTTTCACTTGTTATATTTTTCTTTAAGTTCTTATAAAATAATATTTTTTTTTTAACATTTATTATTAAATATTTAATGATTTTTTATTTACAAAGTTCACTAATTTTATATGTAAAACCTTCTTTGTTTATTTCTTAAACAAGCGCCATGTACTTTTCTAAGAAAAAAAAAACAACAACATTTTTGGCATTAAATCTTAATTTCAGTTTGACAATATCTGAAGCAAAGAGAGAGACTTACATGAAGTTTTTGGCTTCACTATGATTTTTTTCAAGATACGATTTTTCAGGGAATGTAAGCGAGATGTAAACAAAGATACTTCTTCCTTTAACTTTTCGAATGCGTTCGATTTAATATTAGATATTGTCGTATAATATAGGCAGTACCTAATAATTTTAAACAGATATATTATGGATATGAACACAATCAAAAAGAAAAGGTATGTCAAAACTTACAATCAATGCAACAACGATATGTAATCATGTTAAAATTATGTAAGAAAATGCATCAATATCGTAATACTTTAAAGTTTGGTGTCCAAAACTGTCAAAAATACGCATAATATTAAATCAGCTGCGCATCAATTTTTTTGTGATTTTGTATTGATGCAAAGTTTTATAAATAGAAGCTGAGAAGTTTTTTAAATAGAAGCTGAAGAATAATAATATTGCAAGGTAAACGGTTCACATCGATATTACTTTCATTACCCTTACACTAGTCTAATGATTGCCTTACTTCTAATATTTTACATATATGCCTTGCTTAGAAGTATTAAATTAGAAATTAATCATAAACCAAGTTAATATTTGAGAGAACATTAGCAGATCATAACATTGTTTATATTGCGTTCATTTTTATGTTCGAACTACTCATAACTACCCTAAACCGAACAAAAGTACGCCACCTTGAACAAATGAGGAGATTATCAGATCACGTAAGAAATTTACCGTTAGATGAAAACTCTCACTTTTACTTTTATACCGAAATGGGCTATCCCATATGCTTATATGGAACAAATATAATATTTTGGTTATACAAAATATCGAAAATTTTAATTTTAATTAAAAAGTTTTGAAAAAAAGATTATTATTGATGAAAAAAATTTGTTAAAAATAAAACCTGTCGTAACTTAAGACATGTTTTTCTTGGGTATGCATATGTATCATACATGTGTATGTGACAACTGACAGCTTTAAGATTTTAAAAGTTTTTAAAACACTAAAATTTATTTTACAAAACTGGAAAAACTTTTAACATTGAAAAAATGATAACGTCATAATATTCTCTCATTTTTGTTCAAAAAATGTTATACCAGACACTTTGCATACAAGAACTTTGTAAAGTTTTCTCAAGCTTCATAAAAGTTTTTAAAAACTTTCTTATACCAGACTGACCTATTATTTCTATTTATTGTGTTTGTATTTATCATAATATACATAAATACACTTGAATATCTCTGAATGGCAAAACAAAAAGCCAAGTGGACCATATACATATGTATGCATATGTATTGCTCAGAGAAGGGTAAGATAAGTAATGGACTTAAGAGCTTAGAAGAGAGTAGATGTTCAGAGTGACCACATGCTCCTAACTATAGGCATAAAAATTCGCAGAACGTAGTAGATTAAAGCGACTTGACGTTCGCAAGCTAAATACAGAAGCTAGAAAGCAAGAACGTATCAAACTTTCAGCAAAAACTTGGCAGATGTCAGAATCGAAATCATAAGCAAGCACAGAACATATATCGTTAAGCTGCTGAAAAAGTCTTGGGGACCATTAGGCAGGTGACAAACCAGTGGATATCTGATGAAACATCGGCTGCTATAGAACAAAGAAGAAACATAAGACAACAACTGGTAAAAATCACTGATCAAAATTTTGAAAGACTCACGTGCCTCGATGTGTAGAAGAATATGAAAAATGACATGAAGTGATGAGAAAAAATTCTATAATAACATTGCAAAAGAAGCTCAAATAGCTGCAGAACAAAATAATGCTCGACTACTCCACAGAAAAATAAATACTCTCTTAAATAAGAACTACCGAAAACTGAAACCAACCAAAGAATAAGAATGGTAATTTGAATAGATGAAACACTTCGTAATAACCAGCATACATGTCAAAGGTAAAGAGCCCGAAGACCAATAACCTAATATTAAAGAAGGCACGACTATCGAAGAGTTAGTCGTATCTGAGAAATAGTTAAAGCAACTAGAAAGTTGGGGCAAAATAACGCAGAAAGATTAGATGGCATTCCAATGGAACTGCGTAGGGCAGGTGAAATCACAGTAGCCATTGCTCTGAAATTAAAAATAAAGAAAATATGGCTAAAAGAAGAAATCTCCATAAAAGGGAAGAAGGGAATGCTGAAATTGGAGAAACATTGCTGTGCTGAATAATGTAGAAAAAAGTTTGAAAAGAATTTTATAAATGAAAAGGCAGGCTTTCGTCAGAATTGGAGCTCTACCGAACAGACAAACATATAGGTTGATAGTTGCGCAATAAGTAGAATGGCGCTCCCTATGTGCAGATTTCGTTGGCAATCATACGTGACGTGAGAAAAATTGAACCCTTGCTAAACTAATACAAATTATTAAGGAGCTATACAATGACGCCAGATCAGACAATAGGAGTCAAACGAGGATGTCCGCTGTCTCCGCTGTTATTCATTATGGTTTTAGATAAAGGTATGAGGGAAACAGCATCACTACGCAGGTGAATCACCTGGCAGCTCGAATAAAAATTACAAAGCCTGGAATATGTCGATGACGTCATAATACTCGCTCACTCGGCCGAAGACATGGAGCTTATTATACCCAAATAAAGTGGTTGCGACTGTAGACAAAGTAGGCCTCAAAATATATATCAAAAACTAAGCTGATGAAAATTAACAATACCAGTCAGTTCATTTTCTGCATACGGGGTACCTTAATTGAGAAGGTATCACAATTTGAATCTGGGCACCAAAATAGCAACAGATGGGGAACTGCTAAGGATATAGAGAATAGGATTGCTGTGAATAGAGAATAGAATTAGACAGACTGTGGGCGCCCTGAATTCAATATTGAACGCAATGTGGATGACGCAAGAATATTCAACGCATGTGTTAAGTCGACATTGCTTCACGGGAGCGAGACGTGTTAGGTTTCCAGAACTAATATGCAAAAGATACAGGACTTCGTTCACAAATGCCGCAAAATCATATGTAGAAAAATCTGGTCAGGAGGATCATGAACCGAGAGCTGTGGTTGATGACGAATCAGGATCCAATAGAGACCCAAATAAAAGGACATCGGTCTTTTATTATAATATAATTTATTAAATTTGCTTTTATATGTCGCTTGTATCTTAAAATGTTATTAATTTGTGATACAATGAAATCGTTAAAATGTAATGATTTTGAAATAATTGGAGTTTTTAGTAGGTATGCAAGTATTCATTACCTTTTTTATTATGTATATATATCGCTTCTCGGCTTTATGACTGAGATAACAAACAAAAATACATATATATATACACATATATATATATTAAATATATTTGCTATACTAGTATATCTTTTGAATTTATAAATTTGTAATTATAAAATAAATATAAATAACTGAATTAATGTGGTTATAATTTGTGTTTTATTTGAATAAATTCAATTAAGAAATGTTACCTTTCGAAAATCTTGAAATTTATTTTGTACGTAGGTGAGCAGCATATTATTGCTATGGACACTTATATTGGACGCTTTATTGCTTCTTGATATTGTTGTGTGGCTCTTTCACTTAAGGTAACAAATAATTTGAGAGATGATTCTTTGATCAAATCTAAAAAAAAAAATTGTGAGAGGATGTGCATGTATATTCGTTTTCGAGCTACCGCCTGTTGGCAGAAAATGTATCAGATTTTTTCTGCATTCAGTGATTTCACTCTTCTAATTTGGACTCTAAAAAAAATTCGAAGCTGCATCACTGTTCATAACTTTCAGTTACTTTATTTAAGAATGCGAAATTGAGTAATTTGTTTTAAAATAATGTATTTTTTTTTTAAAAATACATTCAACTTACAGCAAATTTCCTAAAAAATTCTGCAGTTGATTTTTTGTCTTCATATATCGTAGTTTATATTGTGAATAGCTTACAATACATCAACTCTTGCATTATTATGATTGACATGTACTTAATCTCCTTGCTTATAAAACTACCTACAAATTTTGAGGAAAATTTTCAGCTGATACCTTACGATTAATTTTATTTTCCATAATATGATGACCCTTGAATGCATACATTTGATATACTGCTTAAAAACTTTTAACGGTGAATTTCATGCATCTTATAGGATAGATCGGTTAAGAATAGACCTGAACAAAAAATTATTTTCATTTTAATATAAAAAAAGCAAAAGCTTTTAAAGTTTTCTTTTAGTTTATTCATTTTATTGGCCATTAACCGATGGTAAGAAAATAAAAAGTTTTGGTGTTAAACGATAGCAATTTTGACTGCAGTTCATCACACTTAAATTTTTTTTTTTGTCAAAATAGAAAATTTTTGTTTACTTGATTATTTTCCTAAAAACACACTAATTAAAATAAATATATGTAGTACAATATAGGTAAAAATAAATAAAACTAGCAAAGATATAATTTTAAATATTTTATTTATTTTGTCCAACTGATGTCAACGTCACCAAATAAAGTGTTAAAAATGATTTTTTATTTGTGCTTAAATATAAATTTATTTACAAAAAAAAAAAAAAAATAAAAATGTTTTGTTGGAAAACAACGGCTGCATAAAAAAAATAATAATATATTGACGTATAAATTCACTATAATAGTAGTTGATAACATTTGATTGCAAATCTAAACCGATGACGTCCTTTTTTTGTTTTAATTTTACTGCATAAACTTATATTTCTTCTTCTTTATAAAGAATTTAAAATAAATATCCGATTATTAAGCAGTATTCTACAAAAGATGGCGTTATGTTGTCTCATTTTGTTTTACAATTTTGCGTACATAAGCTACCAGAATCTTTTTTCAGAAGACAATAATATTTTTGTATGTATAATATATTTATATATATATATATATATATATACTTATATATTTATTAATTTATTTATATATATATATGCTCATAAATTGATCTCTACAGGTTAGTAAAATGCTGAGTTATCTATTTTTTCTGTGTGTGTGTGTTTTATAAAAATTTTAAATGCAGTAGTGGTGTCATGATAATCCGAAATAACAACGGGAAATCCGAAACAAAACTTAAAACAAAAAAAAAAAAAACGAACAAATATTTCCCTATACTTCCTATGTATTATGTAATAAGATAAAAAATTCTAATAGATCTAAAGATTCTATTAAGATCCTTATTATTACAACCAAAAACCAAAATACTCTTAATTATTTTGAAACTAACCACGTGCATATAGTAAAGTTTTTAAAATGTTTTTTTTTCTTTTTATTTTTTTTACTTAACAATTTATTCTCGTTTTTTATCTTTCTATTATATTTTTTTACGATCTAATATAGAGCATATATTATGTACATACATATATGTAAATATCATATAAAAATTTTATTATTATTTTATTTTTTAATGCACATTTTATATTGATAAAAGTGAGCAAATTTAATAGATGTACGATAAATGTAAGGGTCCTTACTTACATATAATTACTTTAAAAAAAAAAAATTATAAATGGGTTATGGAAAGTTGAAAGTATTTCTTAATGTTTATAAAACTTGTATGATGTATGTATGTAAATGTAGATTAAAAAAAATATTTATTATTTATGGAGGAAAAAAAAATCTCTGTAATTAAAATTCATATTATATACTATTGTGTTATTCTTATAAAAATGCTTAACAAAAAATAATTTAACTGCTTAAGAATTTTTTATACTCTATTAAAATTATTAAAAAGAAAAAAAAAATTCAAAAATTAAAAAATAAAAACATTAGTTTTTTTTTTACCTTTTCGGATTATTATAACACTATTACCGTGTATGCTAATTTGATCAAGAAGGCAAAATGTATTAGACATTATATGTAAATATAAATATTTTATATATTATTCGTATATAAGTATATAATACGTAATATAATCATACAAATTTATATATATATAGAATGTATACTATTAATATACTCATAAATTATAACATATTTCGATATTCGATACATTAATTTTGTTATATAATTATTATATAGTTGCGTATACGTTTTTTTAAAACATATGTATACGCTTTTTTAACATATTAATACATGTATATATATATATATATATATATATATATATATATATATATATATATATATATATGTATATATATATATAAATTAGAAAATGTAATTTTACATCCACATTTTTTTTTATTATATATAAACCCTACTAAACTGAAGTACGTAATTTTATTGTAAGCTTAATTGGAAATTTATTAAATTATTTTTTGTTTCTTTACTAAATCTTAATACGATACTTCATTTATTGCAAATAGTATACAATTTATTTATTTATATCTCATTTATCATTAATTATTTATTGTAAATAAGATCAGTCAAACGTCTGTTGTTAGTGATAATTGAATTTATATCCTAAATACTTTTTTAATTTAATTTTTGTTCTTATTTTAATTATTAATTTTATTTGTAATTATTATTTCAATTTTTTAAAAATTTTCTTTTGTTTTTAACTAAATACATTACAATATATTATGTTTTTATCTTTTATTATTTTTTTTTTTATTTTTTCTTTTATTTTTAATATATATATATATATATATATATATATATATATATATATATATGTACCTTTAAAAGAATGTGTGTATTGACATGCTTCTTTTTAAATTTTGTTAAATTTTTGATCCGAAGAGAATATTTTTCTATATATATGAAAATGAGAAAATCACTCTCATTTAGCGCCCAGAGTAAATGTTTTTGTTTCTTTTGTCAAATTTATTTCGAATATTTAAATTTTGGATGAAATTATTTTTTTTATACATTTTTAATTATTATTAATTTTTTTGCATTTTTTTTTTTATATTTTTTGTTTTTTAGTAATTAGCGTTCAATACTGCTTAACTACCATAAGAATAGCACCTATTTACTTTTTAAGTTTATTAAAAAAAAACTTATTTTAAAACAATGCCTTAAATATTTTTATATATTGTAATTAATATCTAAAAGTAATAATTATAAAATAGTAGAATATTCTGTTCTTCAAATACTTTCATTGTATTAAAAATTACAAAAAGTTTTGAAACATTCATTTTTTTTTAGTTTATTTAAAAAAAAAAAAAACAAAATAATTTATTTAATTTTTAACAAAAACTTACAAAGAAATGTTGCTATATGATAAAAGAACAAAAATGTACATATAATCATAAATGTGTGGCATTTAAAAAAAAACGTAATGAGCAAAATGGTCGTTAACATATTAGAATTTTTCAAAAATTGGGTGTTTTGCACTACATTTTATTTTATTTTTATTTTATGTTATTATTTTCTGAAATTGCTTAGTGTGATCAAAAATTAATTGTATTCACAAAATATATTTTAAATGAAAAAATATTATTTTTTTTTGTTTCTTTTGTTTTTTTTTATATTGGTGTTTTTTAAAAGTTATTTTTGTTTTTTAATAATCATGATTTATAGTCTAAATAAAAAATTTTAACTCCATGGTGGATAAGTGTCGGTATACCACTGCTCTCCGTTAGTTGCTAATGGCTGTTGGGGTAGAGGTTGACTACCCCATGAACTACTATTTCCTATCAAACCGCTTGCATAACGTCGTTTTGTATCTCCTGGATTTTGGTGACTTCCATCAAATTTACGTTTACCGACTACTACTAGTGCTTTAGGAATTGAAAAGAAAATAAATTTGATAATTTCGAAAAGTAATTCATTGATTATATGTAAAAAAAAAATCAAATTTTACAAATTAATTTCTAAGACAACAAAAAAAAATAGAACAGTATTTTTTATGTAAAAATATAGTGTAATAGAATATTATTGAAAAAGTAAAAAAAAAAAAATATTAAATATGCCTATCGCCAGAGATTTATAAAATTCATAGGATAAAATTTTTCAAGAATTACACCCAATTAATAAATTAATAAATAATCCTTAAAAACAGATTTCACACCTAAACTGATGCTTTCATCTTTTTTTTAAATTAATATATGATTTTTTACATTTTTTACATATCAATGTCAGATATTAAAAAAACCTTGTAAATATTGTTGTACGATATAATAAATTCTTTATATTTACGATAAACTGAAAAATTTTATGTAATTTAAATGATATCAAAAAAATACCCCAGAATTTTGGTTGGTTCAGTTTTAAAACATGATTTTATAAGTCATAGGTATGCGCCTATACTTGGAATACAAAATAGCTCGAATACATAAATTAAACGATTTTGAATATCTGGCAATATTTCATATAATTCAATTCTTATTCGTTTCAATTAATTATCCACTCGGTTGTAAACTTAAATTATAATAGGTTTAGAATTTTCGGAAATTTTTTATAAAATCAACTGATAATGTTTTATAGATTGTTATCATTCGATATATAGTCGTTTTTTTGTATTATATACATATAAGTAATGATTACCTCCAAAATACTTAATTTGCATATTTGAAAAATTCAACGTCATAAATAATTAAAATAGTATAATAAATTTGAATTTTTTAGTTTTGAATTTTATTTTTTTCAAGTTTCTTTTGACACAATTATTCATGGATTTTCATTGCAATTTTAGGAATTGGCCGTAATGGATACTGGAATATAATTTAAATTATACTTTTATTAAATTTTCATATGATATAATATTAATTGTAAGCAATAATATTTAATAAACTTAATATAGAATTGAAAACTTTTACTATATAACAACGTAAGCGTTTTACATTTTTTTATTCAAATTTTTTTTTATACTCTAGATTCGTACTTTAGGTAGTAAAATTATGAAGAACGTTGAGAACATTCCGCTCTTGAGATATTCTATCTCCGTTTGTAATAATGAAATAATGAAAATAAATTTTTCAAACCGTTTTCAATTTCTTTTAATACAATAATTGCAAATATATGTAAAATATATATAAATTTTTTCAATGAATTTTTAATAATATCAATGTACATTTATATAAAAAATTGATTAATACAAATAGAATATTATTTGAAACAAAATCACAAATAGCAATATTTTGTGGCAATAATTTTCTTAAATTCTTAATATTAATTTAAATTTTAGTATTTGTCATAATAATATGTCTGATAACTATATAATTGAAAAAAAACGGCATCAAAGTTTTTAAATGAAAAATTAATATTTGCTTATATACGTAACAATAATATATTTTTTAATTAAAAATATTATCGTTTTAGTATTATTTTGAATAAAATCGCATTATTTTTAAAACTGCCAAAATAGGAAAAGTGTATTGAAAACACTACGTGTAAACGCTATAAAATTAAAAAAAAAAAAAACAAAATGTCAAATAAATTGCAAAAATCTTTTGATACCGAATAAACGACGTAATGATGAAATTTATAAAATTTAAAATATTACCGCTCCCTACTACCTTGTGTTGTTTTAACTTTAAATGCCAAACTTATGATGGCTCATTAATAGAAGATTTTTAAACGGAATAGAGGAGTTTCAAATAAAAGAATTTTAGTTCATCATTAAATGGAAACTGTATTTTCTTCTTTGCTTTTTATATTTTTTTTATTTAAGATTTTAAGAAGGTAAAACTTTATTTTATTTTTGCCGAATTATATTGGTCTTTTTTTTTTTGTAGGAAAAATAAAAAAATGTTTGTACATTTACAGAACAAAAAATAAAATAAAAGGAAAATAAAAAATTTTAAGAAATGATGGTATGAAAATAAATTCAAAAAATATTAGAAATATATATATATATGTATATATTGTATGTATGTATTAAATAACAAAAATACCTTATGTTAAAATTATGCAGAATATTAACTTTAAAAACAGTACACCAAAAAATTTTATTAAAAAAAAATAATACAATTTTAAGCAAAATATAATTAATATCGCATTCAAAATGAAACACGTAAATACAAGATTTATATATATATATAAGTATATATAGATGTATTATGTATGTATATAAATGATACGATTAGTATTAAATCATAAAAAAAATAATAATTTTAAATGAAATTTTAATTTGCTTCGTTTTTTTTTCTTTAGCAAAGCAAAAGGGTAAACAAGTTAAAATATAATTAAAAAACCCTTTATAAATATTTTAAAATATGACAATTTTATAATAATTATGTATGTATGTAGGTTACTTAAAAACCAAAACAAAAAACAAAATATATAGCATTTGCAATTGCAAGTTTTTTTGTGTAAATCTTATCTTTTTTATTCATTGGTAAACTATACATGTAATAAAAATATTTTATTTTATTTTTCGATTAATATCTTAAAAATTTAGATGTAAAATTCCATTTTCAGTCACAAAAAAAAAATAAATTCAAAGAAAAAAAAAGAAATATAAAAAAATAAATACCAAATATTATTAAATATTAAATGCAGTGTGTAAATTTATAATTAAAGTCATAACATTCGTTCTCTTGTTTTATTATTTATAAGAATTTTTATTTTTATTATACTACTTTTAAGTACAAATATGTATGTATATAATATACATATATATATATAAAATGTTATTCAATTAGTATTCAACTATATTTTAAATATAAATTTATATAAAATATGATTATACAGTAGAATCTAAGTATGAAATTTACAAAATGTTAAGTTTCTTGGCAAAAAAATATATTGTATTAATGTAATTGAAAGTGTTCTTAAACTATTATTTTAGAATTAAGTATATAATGTGAAAATTATTTTTTTATGTATATATATATAAAAAACGTGTGTAAATTTCAGCAGCAAAAGTAAAAAATTTCTTTAACAAAACCAAATTTATATTAATATGTAGCAAAACTTATTAAAAACTAAAAGAAAGATATTTTTTTTAATTTAACTACAATTGTATATAACATAGGTAAGAATATTAGTCATATAATACCGTAAAGATGTTTGGATAAATATTTTTTATGTAGAATGTTGTATAAATTAAATGTTAAAAAATTTATTTATTGAATTGAAATTATTTTATTTTCTAATTGTTAATTTTGAAGAAAACAATTATTAAGTGTAAAAACTTAATGGAATTTCTTAAGTTATAAAAGACAAGTTTCGCGACCAGATCGATTTTATATTTTTTGGAAATTTTTGCAACACCCTAGACTTTGTTTTAAATTATTTTTATTGCGAATGTCAATCAAAAACATTATAAATACATTAAATTATTGTAACTAACTTCAACATTTTTGAAGCTAGATGATTAATTTTTTAAATATTTTTGTTTTTTAGTCTAATATTTGCTTTGATATAATAAACGTTTTTAAAAAGCTGAAGCTTAAAATGGAATTATTTTTCTTTTTTATTTGTTACATACTTAATTCAAAACTTGGTTATTGGTGGTTTTAGTAGTTTTAATGCTTTTTGTTTGGTATATAAATTTTGTAACCTAGGAAAATTTATGCATATTATTTCAAATACGTTATGTATTATTGTGTATGAATAAAGCGCTACTGTTTTACATAAATGAGTATAATTTATATATATATATATTACGTAACAAAATTATTCGCATATATGTATTAATATATTGTAAGTATACTGCACATCTATATTATCTTACAGCGAATTTCAGATGCATAATTTATATACATTTAAATGTGTACATGTGTATGTTTTATGTATGTGTGTTGTGTTCAATAAAATTAATAAGAAACTATATTGTAGTTATATATATATATGTTTGTATATATATGTTATAAAAAGATGATAGTATATATTATATACACACAAAGCCTCTTATGAACGTGTTTTTTTTTTTTAATGTATTCCTTGAAAACTTCAAATAAACACCAAAACTAAAAAAAAAATAAAAATATGTTTTTGCTCTAAAAAAAAAATTCGGTTCTTCTGAATCAAAAAGTAATGAAAATTTTGCATTTGTTTAACGTATATTTTCTTTAAAATTATATTTTTGTATGAAGTTTTTGTTTTCTTCGTCCAACCGCAGTTTTTAGTCATCTTTTTTTGTTCAAGATTTAAAATTTTCTAATGCAGTTTTAGCCAAATTGTCAAATATTCTTTTTGATAATATTTTTCATACATCATATGAGGAGTAAAACTAACATTCCATTATGTAGGAGATGAAAAGTGTTTGTAAAATAAAAGGAAGAAATAAAATAGCATTCAATAAATTTTTTACAGTTCGAATAATTCCAAGTTGTTTTAAAATAAGTCTTCTTATTTTTTAGATTTCATTGCGAAAAATTATAACAAGGAAAAAAAATATTAAAAAAAAAAGTACAATTTTAGAACGCTCGGTCGTTAGAACGTTATGAAAATTTACACTCATTCAAGAAATAATTTTTGGTATTTTTTTTAATTTGCTTTTACTTCTACTGCTTTTGAATAATAATAAAAATATTTTATAGTTCTATAAACCAAAAGTTCTTAAAACACAGAAACAATTATTGAAAAATTTTACATGCAAAAAAAATTTTGTTTTTTGAAATAGCAAATTTTTACGTCTATTACAAAAAAATCTATCGTAATTGTAATTTAAATTATTACAGCAGTAAAAGAAGATTTATTTTTCTTTAAACTCATATATAAATTAATACATTTATATGTATATATATATATATATGTATATATGTATATAAAAAAAATACATGAATATCCACCTTTGTTTTCTTTTGTAAAATTGAAAAAATTTCCTTAATAAAAAAAAAAGTTTTTTTTTTGTAATCTAAGATTTTTTTTTATTACAATTTTTTTTTTATATTTTTTTTTATTTTGTAAATTGTTTTGTTAACATTTTTATCAGGTTTTTGTTTTTCGTATATACTCGTAAATTTTTAAGTTTATTTTTTGTTTGTTTGTTTTTGTGATTGAACTTCTCACCTGGTAAATTTTGTAGCGGCTTGGCGCGTTGGATGCCACGATCTTTGGGACGAATTTGTCCCACCCCATGGACCCCCCCTGGTGTTTCCAGAACCCCCGCGGTGGCCACTCGATGAGATGCCACCGCCACCACCGCCACTGCCGGTGGGACCCCCAGACGATTGATGTTGCCATGGAGCCCAACGACTCGGCCACGCCCCGTGGTTCCACGTCCAAGTCCAACCCCCTATTTTTTTTTTTTTTTTTAATTTCATTTTTTTTTTTTACGAAAATGTTCATTGATTGATGCATTTTCAATAAAAAAAAAACAAATTTGATTTGCAAAAATAAACGTGTGTTTTTTTTTTTTTTAATACATATTAAGATTTTCATATTATTTTGATTCAAGAAGCATAACCGAAAAAAAGAAAATAAAAAACGAAATTCGTTAGAACATTATATAAAAGAATTAAATAAAAAATAAAAAAGTATAAAAGCTACATTATATTTTGTATATTTGTATTATAGTTATATAATTAACAATATATTTTAATATTAGATATATATATATGTATATAAATAAGATATATAAATGTATATATGTAATTATATTTAAACTTATTTATGTACATACTCAATGTTTTATAAAAATGTACATATGTATACCTTATATAGTTATATACACTTATTATATATATACATATGTATATAATATTAATAGGTTATATTAATTATTGATTTAATTAAGTTGAAACTGAATAAAACGTAAAAGTTCAATAATATACGATAAAATAAAAAACAACTGCGTTTATTAATTAAAAATATTTATAACTGCTTATATTCTATAATTTTTAAGTTTTTCAAGTGCGTGCACTCACTTTGATATACGTCTTATATAATAAAAAAAAAATTCTTTGATTTTTTTTTTCAAATTTTATTTTATATACTGAGAAGTATAATTATTAGCGAAATGAAAATTTTGAGTAACGTTCTAATCTTTTTTTAAAAAATGTATTTTTTTTTGTATAGGAAAAATTTTTGTTAATTGAAAAATAAACCTAATATAAATTGAAGCTTTGAAAATACGTATGCAATAATCCAGCGTTCTAATATACAACATTATTACATGTATATTTATACGTATATACTCATTATATTATCTATTTGAAAAAATCACTTTTTTTCGATTAAATTTAATTGATGTAAAAACCATAAGCCAAATAAATATTTATTTTTTCTTATTTTTAACTGTATGCAATGAACTCAAAGTTTAAATTGAATTTATTGTTATAAAATTTAAATATTTGTTGTGAATATTTATAAAATACAAAATATTACATAATTTAAATGAAAAAAAAATTTCATTAATTTGTAAATGAAATTTATTAGGCGAAAACATGATAGAAAAATTACTGTGTGGAATAACCTCCTTATTAACAAATCACCTGTGAAATTTCTTTTATTTCAATAAAAAATATTTTTTAAAACAATATATAATTATTATTTTAATTTTAACTGAAACTAAATATAAATTAGTTTCAAAAAATAATTAAGAATTAGAAAAACATAGACTTTTTAAACACATTGATTGGCTATATTGTTTTTCTAAACTTTCGGACATTTTTTAGAAACAGTATTGAAATTGCGATTCGGTTGAATTTTTTTAAGGAAATGATCCACAATTGTAATACTGAACAGTTTTTGTTATATATCGTAATATATGTACGTTTATGTAAATTTCAATAAGCATTAAAAATTTTACAATAATATTTTGCATTTTTGTTTATTTTATTTATTTTTTTATTTAAAGCGATAAATTACAAGATTAATTTGCCTGTTAAGCTATTTATAGATCAACGTTAACTATTTAAAAAGAATAATTTTCCACATTGTTAGTTTCATGATTCCTTTTAATTGACATTTTATCACAAAAAAAATTAAGATAATATAATAGTATTATTTTTATTAAATTATATTATACACATACATAAATATTTATAAAATAAATAGTGGGTAAATTCAAAAATGAATTGATGCACCAATCACCTTCACAGTATCGATGATTTTTTTTTCAATTTACCCTAAATATTATATGTATATGAATTAATAGAAATTAATTATGTATATAAATATTATTTTTCTCATATAAGTATATAATTAATATAAAACTTCTACAAGCACTTTTAAAGAAGGATTCTTATATGGATATTAAAAAATTACTATATATTATAAAAAATTGTTTTAAAGGGATTTTTATTTTAAATACACTATATATATATATATACATATATATATATATATATATATATATATATATATATACATATGTATATATGTATATATATATATGTATGTATATATTTAAATTAGCTTTCAAGCATATAAGTTATAAGGTAAAAAGTTTTTGTTTTTATTCATGTTTTTTTATTACATTTAAAATATTAGTAATATTATTTTTATACAAAGTTTGTTTTAGTACAAAACCACATACGTAATTCTGCCAAGCAACATAAATTTAATAAAAAAAAAAAAGACAAAAAAAAAATTAAATAAAATAAAAAAATATAAATAAACATAAATACCATTAAAATAAAAGTTAAGCTGGACTTGTGCATTATAAAATTATAACAAAATTTTAATTTCTAGTAGGACAGAATAAAAGAAATCCCGTTCATTAAAAGCTCGTAATTTTTGTACATATGAAATTTTTTTTGTAATTAATTTTGATTCTCGTTTTACCTCTCTTCCTTATTCTTATATTGTTGTATTTTTAAAGTTTTCATTTTAAAGAAAAAAAAGAAAAACTTTTAAAATATTTGTTAAGTTGTTGGTAATTAAAAAAAAATAGTAAAATTCATAACTTCTCATATAGTAAAGTTTAAGAAATCGTTAAGTTGAATTAAAATTCATTCTTTTTTTTTAATTCTAAATTGTTTCGATTTTTCTGTTTTTGTATTTTAAATATTATGTAAAGTGAAATAAAATTTTAAAGCATAAAATAACCAAAAAAATAAACAGATGAAAAATTAAAAAAAAAATTATTTTTTTTTTTGACAAATTTAAAGTAATAAAAAAAAATAACATAACATTATTGATGACCCACCACATTGTTTTTAGTAGTTCTTTGTGGTCCACCAACGGGCCCTCCGGATGGTGATACCCCACATGGTGGATAATCAAAAAAGTAATCTCCTTCAAAAGTACGATAATAGTCTTCATAATATGATTCATTGAATCCACCACGATAATCCGAATAACCATAAAAGTCGTAGTCATAATCTATAAATTTGTTGAGATTTCTATTGTTTGCTTTTTTTATTGAAATTTAAATACAATTTTTGTTTGTTTCTAAAATATTATTTATAGTTATGAATTTTAACTAATACAAAAAAAAAGAACATCAAAAACTTTAATCTTTTACATTTACGATATTACAATAGAATGGAATTCATGTAATTTGTTTTGACTACAATTAAATTTTTTTTGTTTTTATTTTTGTTTTAGTTTCAGAGATTACAAAAAAAAATACTCTAATTTAAATTTCAGAAATCCAACATGCTGTTATTTTACCAATTGTTTTTTTTAGTGGTTAGTTAGTTTATTCTTTTTTTAGTACAAAGTTCACATGATGATAACAGTATTGAGTTACCGAAATTACATTTATGTAGTGCATATTAAATAATTGTATAAAAAAATTATTGACAAAGATTTCTTTTTTAATTTTACCGAAAACCTTTAAACAAGATTTATCTATGAGATCGTCACAATTTTGAATTATGAAAATCGAAAACAAAACTTTAAAAAATTTAATTGCCATTAAAAGTCAAATACTTATAATAGTTTTCAATTAGCATTAAAATTCCTAATGGTGCGTAATGTAAAAGTAACCAAAATTGAAAATTTAAAGGTTTACATATTCTTATGTAAGGTGTCGTTACCGTTCATCATTATGTAAGCTTTGTAGAAAAAAATGTTATTGGTTGATATACAAAGAAAAAAAAATAACTTGGTGGTAACATTATGTATATATGTATATATATATATATATATATACATATAAACATATATATAAACATATGTATATATATATGTATATATGAAGGTTGTAATATAAAAAATATTTAATTTATAGGCTCTTTACTTATTTTGTGATTGAATTAAATTAAGAAAAAAAATTGGATTTTTTTACATTTAAAAATATTAGTTTTTTTTTTTTTTTGGTTTTTTAATTTATAACATTATAAAATGATTATTTTTTAATTTTTTAAGTTGGTTCAGATTTCTCCAATGCCAATATTTTATAACGTAAAATTAAAATATATAATTATATTGCACTTAAATTCCAATTGTATTCAGAAATTATAAAATGCTAATTTGGGATTTCATATAGTTTATACTTAAATTGTACTAAATATATGTAGGTACCATGAAATACGATTTATTTCAACAAAATAAAAAAATACTATAATTCAAAATAGAGAAATAAAATTTAAGTTTTTAATTACAAAGGGTGATTTTGTGTTCGATTTTTCTAGTTTTTATTTTTGACACTTATGCGTAATTCTTCACAAAAAGTTATTAACTTAAAATCGATCACCATAGAGAAATTAAAGCCCAAAGAAATGATCCTGAATTGAATCTCTTGTTTATATCAACAGGCGTTAAAATAATTAGTGATATTTCAATATATGTATTTAGTAATTTATATTCAAAAAGTAAATAACAACGATTGATTTATCAATTCACTCACAAACATATACAATTTTTCTGTGTTTTTCTTTTAAGCATAAAAATCAAACACTTAAAAAATCACCCTATCTTTATGATTAAATTTATAATAATTAAATGGAAAATTACAGTTACGTTACAATTTTTTATACATGAGTTTACTGATTTATGAGTTCTTCGGAAATTTTTTATTTCATGGTTTCATAAATTCAATTTTTTTTAAGTACAAACTCTAAACATAGGTACACCTTAAATATTACATAGAAATTGAAAACATTAATATTTGCCTAAGTTATAATCAAAATAAATTAAGAATTTTATTGAGGAGATTTCCAATTTCTATATAATTTTTACGTTCATATTCTGGAAGAAGTATGTAGGATCATGTTTTGAAAAATAAAATGATTTTTACATACATACATATTAAGTATGTTTTCAAATTATGTGTACAATTATATTTGTATGTATTGGTTTGTGTTTAAATTAATTTTTTACAAGCTCCAGAATATGTATGATAGTTTGTAATTAATTTTAATTTGTTAAGTATTAATTTCTTTATAATATTTAAAAAAAATGGCTAAAAATTCTTGAATAATTAAGATTTTGATTTGTTCTTTAACATTTTTGCAATTAATTTGACTAAAAATTTTAATTATCTTACCAAAATAAATTATCCGGGGTCTCGTCTTATACTATACATACAGTATACATGATATACATGCATGTATGTATAAATATTCTTAAAACAGTGCATTTCATTCAATTTTTCGACAAAAAAAATAAATTAAATTTCTTATATTATCAAACAGTTTACGCCATCTTTTTATGCAGAACAAATGTACATTAAAAAATTAGAAGTAAAATTCTTTAGCCGTTTTTTTCATTTTAATATTTTTTAAAACTTATGATTACATAACAATAATAACGATAATAATATTATTATCTTATTGGAACTTAAAAATAATTTTTATATATTACGTTTTATATATATATTATGTTTGTATTAGGGTGAGGTGGGATTGGTAAAATATACCTACTTTTAACATATAATTTAGTTATTAATTAAACATGAATATTTAAATGAATGTATATATAATATATACTATATCACATATATACTATATATAACTATCATTTTAGTATATTATATAAATTTGAATTTGGGTGCTTAAAATAAAAAGTTGGATATTTTTGTATGTAAAAATCTTGTGAGAATCATGATTTTATTCGCCATTGCTATATTTATCAAAAATAAAACTTATTAAAATTTTGATTTAATTCACACTGGGCTTTATTTTATAAAAATCATCATAATAATATTTATATGAGAATATTTTATTTAATTTAAAATTTTTGTTAAAATACAATTTAAAATTGATCAAAGTTTTTTTGAGAGAAAATTTTGAAATAACTGTTGTGATATCAAATGTTTACGAGCGTCTTTTATTGTCAAGTCAAGTGTGTTCGAGTGTTTTATAAATTAATAATGTAAAGTAGTATATACGTGCTCTAAACGCGAGTAAAGTATATTTAAGCTTTGTTTAATTTTGTTCATCGATAATTATATTTGATAAAACCGCTATTTGACTTTCACAACATAAACTAATTTCAATTAAGAGAAATTTAATACGCCACATCTTCGTCATATTCATCAAACATTTTGTCTCTGTTTAACTCTTGAATTTTCTTCTCAAAATAGTATGATCTCTATATCATATAAATTTAGATTTTTCTTTGAATGACAAAATAAACTTGACATTGTATTGTCCGATAATAAAAAAAAATTCTTATTAAATAGAGCCCAGTGTTACCATAATATAATTTTCATTATTTACAATTTTAAAAATTTAATCTAAATTGAAAAAAATTTAAATAATATGCTATATATTTTTATGTTAATACAACTAAAAAAAATTTTTGTTTTTGGTGTCTACTTATATTTGGTACATAAAGTTTCAGTAAAAAAATATTTTTCTATCTATTAAAATTTAAGATTTATTCATGCAAAACTAAGTGTATAGTTAATTTTTGTTAAGTATACGGTTATTTTAAATGAAATCTACATGCCAAAGCAACAAAAATATACAAGATTATCAAAAAACAAATATAGGATAGAAACGATATTTATAATGCAAAAAATTCAAATTATATTACAAATAATCGGTTTGCAAAAAAAATATTAAATTAGTTTTTTTCATACTTCTAAAATGGAAAGTAAAAAGGTGTGATTGAGAAGTAGCAAAAATAAAACTAAAGATTATAAGAAATTAATGTTTTCATGAAAATAATACAATTGACCTTTTCCCTTCTTTAAACCAAATCATACATTTATAATATTCAAGTCTATATATATATATATATTTTGGCATAAAATAATGACTAAATGTGGCAACTATTATTCAATACATATAAATTAAAAATAAAAAGAACAATAAAATAATAAAGATGTACAAGAAATTTAAATATTCCTGATAAAATAAATTTTTCTAATTAATTTTTTTTTTTTTTGGTTTGTTAACGTTATTTACAAATGAAAATATTATATTTTTACTGTTTCTCTTATTTTATCACAGAACAATTTTAATAAAACCTTGGATTTAACCTAAAACTAAAAAAAAAAACATTTTTTTAATTTACTTGAACTTCACTTACCATAATCACCGCGTGTAGCCATTGGAGTTCTTAATGGTATTCTTGGAGCTAGACCTCTTAAAGGTGTTCCAATCGGCATCATAGATGGATATGTTGGTGATATATTTCGAGGAATCGGGATATCTTCAATCCTGCATCACAAATTAAAATTTTTAATAATACACAAAATATAAAATAGAATTTAAAATAGAATGAAAGAATAAAATTTAATTTTTAAATAAATTTAAAAGTCGAATTTTTATTAAAATTCATTATGGATTTTTTTATATCCAATCTCAAATGAGAGTATAATTTTATTTTTTTATTTATTCAGCAATATAATTTTTATTGCGTAATAAATAAGATTGCAGATTGGTTTGCATTTATTAAAATAAACGCTCTATTAGTCTTAGGTTTTTGCTTTCATAAATGTTATAAGTTTCAATGAAATCGAAACTTAAAGGTTTGAAAAAACTTAAACTTTGGGGAGGGGATGAAGTGGAAAAGCCTTTTTTTGTAATAAGGCAAAACACTGCTTCAAACATTTATGAAAATCCGGTTTGAGATAATAATTATTATGCAAAATCAGTTCGACAATCCAAAAAGTTTTTATGTTGTTCAGCCCTTCATTTTGAAAATTTTCAAACGAATGGGCAGCTGGACAGATTATTAATAATGAAATTAATAATTAGAGAAATGTGTTAAAGAATGTTCAGAAAATGCCGTAATAAAATAATCATAATTTAAGAATAACGTCATAAATAAAAGCAATAAAATTGTTAAGAAATTTAATTATAATTTACCCTACTGCTCCGATTCGTCCCTGCATCATTTGCATCATTCTACGTTCTCTAGCTCGTAAAATTTCTTCTTTCTTTTTTTTATCTGAAGGGGGTTTTGCTAAAGACACCTTTAAAATATAAAAATATTTATGTTTTTCTCTTTTCCATAATTCAAAAAATATAAAAAAATTACATACTTCTATATTAGAATTACCAACTTCTTTGCCATTAAGGTTGCGCATTGCTATAACAGCGTTATCACGATCTTCAAAATGAACAAAAGCATAGTCCTTAATTTTTTTAACTCTTTCAACTTTTCCAAAGTTTTCGAATTGTTCCTTATTGTTTTAAAAATTTTAATTTTTTTTTTGCAAAAAATTTCTTTTTCATATTTTTATATTTTGTTTTTAAACAGTTTTTTAACACATACCTTTAGTTTTTCTTCACTAATATCTTGAGTTAAATTTCTAACATAAAGAACTTTGACTTTGCTCATTGTTTGTTCATCCGGTTCTTCTTGTGGATCTGCCCAATCGACAATAATATCACATCCCCAGACCTAATTTAGAACGAATTAAATATGGTTTGTTTTAAATTAATTGTATAAAATTGATAGACAATATTATTTATTTATATTTGTTATACTAAATATTAACAAATATTTTTGTAGCTAAAGTTAACCTTCATAAAGTTGGGTCAAACCAATGGCAACACTTTTTTTTTGAAAAAGTAATAAACTGCTTTTAAAGTCCATTACATTATTTAAACTTCTTTTACCATTGTGTATATAATTTATAGCATAATTATAGCGACGGTATTTTAAATAAAAAAACTTAATACCTACTACCGTTCCTCAAAAAATGTGTTTGTGTATTTACAAAAATTGTCTTCCGTGTATACTATAACCCATATACACAATGCATTTATTCATTTACCAAAATATATCAATATATTGCATGCTTTTAGAATGAACAATGGATAAAATTAACAGAAGCAGTAGCATAACAGTTGGATGGAGAGTCAAGTTGCTGAGTTAAGATAAATAAGTATACTTTTTAATGTCACATCAGTCACTGAATATTCAAATTTTAAAAATTTCGCGAGTCGTTGACTTGGAAGGGTGTCAAGGTGGAAAACAATTTTCTTCTAATGGATTAATATAAAGTATTTATTAGTGTCTACAACTTGCTAAAATTTCAGACTCTTACAAGTTGCCGTTTAGAAAAAAAACGATATACAAAATTTGAGAAAAAACCATCAATTTCAACGGCCATTTTATCTTTTTGATATCCAATTATGAGGTGTCAGGGTAGGAGAAGCGTGTTATTCCTTCCTGCGTTTACAGAATTTGAGAAATGTTTGTTGTTTTGAAAACAAAATCATAATCAAAAAGAAGCATGTTTGGCTCTTTGAGGAATTTCAACTTTTGCAAGGGTTAAGACATGTAAAAATTTTCAGCCACAGTAATAAGTTTATACTAAAGATCTATTTGTGACAGTGATATAAATATGATGATAGTTTGTTTAATAAGTAAATCTTCTCAAAGCAAAAAAAAAGCTCACTCTATTATTATAAGACACACACATAAAGTTACCTTTATCCTTCCAGTTCCAAGTCTACGTTTTGCTAATGAAGCTGCTTTGTGTGATTCATATTCCAGAAAACAGAAGCCTCTGTTCTTTTTTTTGTCATCAGGAGAACTATATATTATCACTTCAATTAGACCGGCTACGCATTTTATTTTTTTCATTAAAATAAAATATTAAAAAATTAATTTTAATAATTATTAAAAATTGTGAAAAAAAAACAATAATTAAATTTTTATTTTTATGTTATAGAATTGAAATATAATAAAATTCAAGATTAATCTTTTTAATGTATGCTCTTTTAATGTCATTTAACCAAATTCAATGCCAAAAACGCAATTTTTTTTATTCTTTTTATTTGTTTTTTTTTGTGTTTTTTTGGAATAATTTTCGAAAAGGAAAAGAGTCAACCAACTTCAATGTAATGCTTTAAATTTTGGTAAATTTTTTATTTTAATTTTGTTGAAGTCTTGGTATTAATTGCGCATAATGACCATTGCAGACCATTTCACACCAATATAACCACCAAAACTTTTTACATATACATATTCTTATAAAAATATGTAAATAACTTAGGCCAAATTCATATAAAATTTATTTTAAAAATTTGATTTGTATATTTTTTAGTGCTCGTTAAAAAAAATAAATAATTTTTATGTACATACATTAATCTTGTATAGACGGTAAAATATTATTGTGTTAGGTAGACGCTATACATGGAGGACAATTCGCTATAAATTATTTATAAAAAATTTTTGAATTACCACAAACGATACTATAAAAAAAACATTATTCACATTATAAAAATTAAAAGAAAGCAAGAAAGTGTTTTCTTCCTCCAGTCATCACATACTAAATAAAATTTTTTAGTTTTAATTCACATATTTATTCTTTTTTTATGTTTGATTAAATTGAAAAAAATTTTTTAATAATTATTTTTTTTTTTTTGAATTAGTTTTTTAATAAATTTAAGCATCAAACGTAATATTATGTGGAAAATAATCATAAATTCATTAAAAGTTCGATTAAAATGCACTTAGTGTTGTCGCATTTCTAGAAAATAATGAGTTTCATTCTTAATTTCTAATTTTATAAAATTTTTTTTTCTTATAGTGTGAGTCAAACACTAATATTGACTCAATAATAAAACTGAATATTTTTTATTTTTTAAAATGGAAGAACAATAATTCTTTTTTTAATATTAAAAGTACTCCTCGTTTTAGTGTTTTTGATCTGCACTTATTGCATTATAGAACTAATGCCAATCTTATGTATAAAACACTAAAAAATTAATTTTAGGTTAGGTAAAGTGTTTTTGTATTTAGCACATTGTCGTTCATTCAATAAAAGTTTCGTAAAAAATTAAAAATAATTTAAAATAGTTTGTAAGAAAATTTTACAATTTAAGAAGTTTTTCGAAAAAGAAAAAAGTCATAAAATAAACCTAAAGTCTAATATATAAATTTGTATTATATAAATTAAGTTTATATTTGGGTACGGAAATCGTAGACTATTTCGGGGAACAAGATTTTATATATAAATGAAATGTCGGAATAAATATTCAATATGTGTTTACTGTAAATTTCTGTTTAAATAATAGAAATTTAAAATTACATACGTTTTACAGTTATTAATATGTATAGCTATAACTAGTATGTATACCTGTATATATATGATAACATTGTATATTCTGATAGACTTTTTAAATGTGATTTCAATAAATGTATAATTTAGATTATTTAATAATATTATTAATATTTTAAAAAGTATAATGAATAGAACTGTAACAGTTTATAATATTTTGTTGAGAATTACCGTTACTACTATTTGATTTCCAGCTTAATTTGAGTATAAGTATTTTATGCGTACTCTATTTCACTGTAGCATTTGAATTCAACATTTCTCCATTCAATTGTATATAAATAATGCTGTTTAATCGAAGTTTTTAGTGTCCAAACATATACCATTGGCGAAATAAAAATAAAATTAAAAGTAAAAATAAATTTTCTTTGTTTTTACTTTTATAGCCAAATATTAACAAATATTATTTTTATATGAAATAAATTTTATATAACAGTAAAATTTATATGTATTCATTGAAATTTTGCGAATTTGGCAATTGATTTTGTTTTTTGGTAAAATTTTTAATTTTATAATAAAATAGGCCTGATTATTACAATAATTTATTAAAAAATATATATGTGTGCTTAGTTTAAGTATGGTCAAAAACATTGAAATAACATTCAATAGAATAATTTGTAGTTATTTTTAAAAAACAAAATAATGCTGATTTCAATGAAAATTTTTTTCTAAATGAAAAGAAAAAAACATTTAATGTTTTATGAAATCAGAAACTACAAAATTTTTCGATTACAAAGTTACTCCGTTATTTGACGATATTGAAACTAAGCCGTACATATAAAATTATAAAACTACTTTTAATAAAAAGTAGTTTATTATCAATCACATAATGCTATTATATTTCAAACCAATAATCATATATGTTATATAATTATATATATATATATGTATATAATATGTAAAATATACACATGAAATACCAATTTTATGTATATATGTAATTAAGATAATTTTCACGAAAATATTTCACGCCAATAACTCAATTTAATGATGATATAGGTGACAGAATCATGAAAATTGTCTTAATTTAATTTTGATTTTTTTAATTTCAAATAATAACCAATAAAAAAAAACATGTTAAAAATGAAATATAAAATAATTTTGACAATGAAATTTTTAAAGGGCTTAATTAAATAATTACATTATGTTACAGCCAATCAATTAGAAAAAAAAAATAAAAAAAAAAATAAATCCAATTGCATAAAATGAGAAAAATTTATAAATGTGTAAAATTTTTTGATCGCTTCATTTGGAAAAAAAAATGTGGAGGAAAGGTCTACATCGAGATTTTTTTTTTGGAATTTTAATTTTTTCTTTATATGGATGACTTACGTGCGTGTTTTGAAAATTCCTCTAATAATTCGTCGCGATCTCTATTCTTTGGTATATTTCCGACAAATAGCCGGTGATTGTTATACGAAATTGTAACACCAATCTTTTTGCCTTTCCGAATATCGAAGTCATTTAGCTGGAATTAAGTTACAAGTCACTCAAATTCCTTTTTTGTTTGTTTTTTTTTTTTGTATATTTTTTTTGTATAAAGAAAGAAAGGAAACTGAAATTCTTATATAATTTTAAGTTTAAAACAAATAAACCAAGTTAAAAGTAGTGAACTTGGGAACAGATTTTTTGTATTATTCAAAATTCGAATTTGAAAAAATTGATGAACATAAAAATAAGAAAGAAATTAAACAGAAAACAAATCAAAAACAAAAAAAAACATTTTTCGGTGTAAATTTTAACTTATGAAAATATTTTTGATTTTAATGGTAATTAAGTAAAAATTGATGGTGAAATGAACATTTATAAACCAATTTGATTTTTATTTTAATAAACGCTAACATTAACTAAAATTTCTTTGGTCTATGTGTTGGAGATTAAAATAAATTTCTAAAAATATTCTACTATTTTTGAATTTTAGAAAATACTTCTTAAATCTATTAGATCAAACGGATTTATGAATCTTTTAGTTTTTGTTTATATGTAATTGCGTTTTACTTATGTTGTAAAATTAAAAAAAAAAATTTTCGATTTTTTAAAGTGTCAAAAAAACATAGTTTCTTTTATTAATTGTGAGTAATCAGTAAGTGATAGTGATAACTGGTAATAATCTTTAAAAATTCGATGTTGTTATTGTAAACACAAACCAATTTATACAGATGAATCGTTTCTATAATAAAGTTTTTGAAATTTTTACAATAAATATCAATATCACTTACAGTGATTCGATACTAAAAATAAGCTTAATTAAAAACTATGTAATAACTAGTTTGTAATCACTTGCATTTGAATACTATTTGGTATTGAATAAAATCTTTGTTATGATAATGGATCAATATAATGTATTATGATGAGAACAGTTATTACAATTTACTATTTTTGTCTATATATTTGAAAATTATTATGTACATATGTTATTAATTTATGACACTAACCCCTAACTTCCTATTTAATAAAATAATGAAACGGAATGAAATTTTTTCAAAATATTTTTTTTTTCATTAATCAGTTAAGAAACTATAAGTGTATCATGTACATTGTACATACATATATACCATTAAGTGAGTATGCATATGTAGATGTATTTCATCTTGCGAAAAATAAAATTATGAATATGTTTGGAAAAACTTTGTTATGTAGTTCTTAATATGTAAAATTAATGTTAAAAATATATTCTTATTTTGAAATTTAATGTAATTTTTTCATATATATGTGTATTTATTATCTAATACAATATGATAAGTTAACAATGTTGTTGGTGCTCATGAGAAAAAGTAAATGACAAAAAAAAAAATATATGTGGATACTAAATGAAATCGATTAAAACTACGCAGTAACTAAATTGCATTGAATTGCATATAACTATGTTAAAAATCGATTATATATTTAAAAATAATCGAAAATTTATCATTGGGATATGATTTTAGAACAAAAAAAAATAACCTAACTTTTTCATGTAAATTTATTTAAAAATTAATTTTTAAGAAATTAAAATATAAATAATCATATAATTGTATACAATCAAACAATTTATCAGGAGTTACAGCATGAGGATTTAAAAGAAAGAAAATTTTTTATTCCTTTAAAATATTTTTTAATTATAATTTTATTTTCTTACATATTTTGTCACACCTAATTAAATGACTGGAGGCATTTGAAATCAATATTATATTGTGCAAGAATGATGGACAATTAACAACTAAACATTTAAATTAATAAACATTTATTAATTATTAACAACACATTAATAAGGCAATTATTTACAAAAATATTAATAATATCTGAATTCAGAGGAATTTGTGTGTTCATAATGGTACTATTCAGAATATTATAGAATTTGATTAGAAACAGAATATATTAATTAATAAATATATAAATATATACATATGCTATAAATATATACATATGCTATATAAATATACGTACACACTCTATATAAATTTTAAAATAGTCTGAACCTTATCAAAATAATAATTGAAGTATAAAATTTTGTTTAATGATTTTGAATTGCAAGTGCTAAGGTTTTATAAAATTAAAAATATTTAATTAATTCTATATATAGTTATACACACCAATATTGCATTTTGGGAACCTGTTTGATTCAATTAACTTAAGTTCGATTACACTTATATAGCTTTTCAAAAAGTCTCGATTTTTTTTAATTTTTAATTTAATATTAAGAATTTCGTAGAATATTTTTTTATTCCTATTTATGTTTATGTAATTATATGCATTTTGATTTTTTATAATTGAATTAAATATAATATTATTGAAAAATTCTGTAGTATTTAAAAAAAAAAATCTGACAATAAATTCATATTTTATTGTCAATAATAAAAGCCCGTACTATTTACTTTTTTATTTAAATTTAATAAACAATTTTATAAAACGGATTCATTATTATTGGCTACCGTTATACGAACAAAGATACGCCATAATTTAATAATTAAAAATAGTTTTTTATTTAGAAAAATACATGCGTCAATTTGACAGTACAGAATTATTTTCGGAAAAAATGGCAATTCTGTAGTGTAAGCTAAAGCCCTTTTAAATTAAATTTTTTGATTGGCATTCAGTGTTAATGTCATTGTCAATATTGTTTAGTTTTTTTTTTATCGCAAAAGAATATTAGATCGATGCTCTTTGCTTGATTATTTTGTACAAAGACATAAGCGAAATTTATTTTTTTTTTAATTCTTTGCTTTGATTTAAGCGTTTCAAAAAATATTTAATAAATGTAAAAAAAAAATCAACTCATTTGGTTTTTAAATGGTGAGTATGAAATTTACCTGTTAGTTTACCAAATTCATCTAATATCTCCTCTTTGCCTTTTGATTTAGGTATGTTTCCTACAAAAAGGCGCAGATTCGGAACACTTATGTTAATTTTTAAACATTTTCCAGGTTTTATTTCATAGTTATCGAGCTGTGGGTGTTATGTAGTACGCAAAAAATTAATACGAAAAAAAAAGATGAAAAATAAAAAATAAAACAAAAAAAAACAAAAAATGAAAAAAAAAAAAATAAAAACTTAAAAAAAAACAACAAAAGGATTAAAATAAAACAAAAAAAAATCAAAATATATAAAATAAAAAAAATCAATTTTTAAAATTATATTTTTTTTATGTTTAAAAAAAACCGGAAATCCTTTTTAAAGGCAAAATTATAAAAAATTACAGAGGAAATATTTAAAAAATCTACATTAAAGATAAGAGGCTGGGAATTTTAAGAATGCCCAAATATATTGCATTTATAAAGAAATTTCAAAATAGTTCACATATTAGACGTAATTTTTGTAACCGCGTTCATAATGCAATTAAATGCACTTATATAACATAAGATTTTTTCATAATCAATCATCAATAAAGTGAAAAATTTGAAATTCATTCTGTTGAATTTAAATTGAATTGCAAGTATTATTATTATATATATCAAAAATATATATAACTAAGCATTTTCTGTTACAATGCCATTCATTTACAGGCGTTATCAGTATAGAAACAGCAACATTATATTTGATAACAATTACAGTAATATGCAAGACAAGTCGCTAAGTGTAACACTATCATTCCTCTTATTTACTTATCACAAGTATGACACTTTAACACTAAACTAATAATATAAATATACATTAAATATTAAAAGATCTTATCAACATGGCATTTATTATATTTAAATATACTGTTGAATTAGAAATATATGCTTGCCCTTTTAAGTATAACTTAAGTAAACGAATGATAAATTTAATTTTAAAGATAAATTGAACATTTATACAGATTTACGGAAATTATGTAATATGAAAGAGAAAAATTTTTTATAATAATATTTATCGTATATATTAAATTAAATATCGTATTTTATAAATTATTTCATCATAATAAATGCTTTAACCTCTATTAAAAAATAAAACTGTGCATATATTTTTGGGCGTAAGTCTTTTATAAAGTAATTATTAAAGATTAAAGAGTTTTTTACGTCTAGATGAAATTTAAAACTTTAAAAAACTTCTTTAACAAATTTGTATATGTTATATAGATAAATTTATGCTTAAAATTTGAAATGTTCAAAGTTAACTTTTCAATGCAGGATTCAAAGAAAGAAAAATCGTGACTATAAATATATACAAATTTATTCATTAAAATATTGTAGCTGGTTACAATTTAGATCATCCATAAATGTGAACTATTTGAACTGCGAAATTATACAATGAGAACAGTAGTAATCACCCACCATAAAAAAAACATTTTGCCAATTTAAATACTAAAAGAACTGCTATAGTTAAGAATATAGAAAAAAGAAATAAAACAAAAATAATAATAATAAAAAAAAATTACATTATACAGAAATATAAAAATTCTTATACGAAGCACACGGTTTTTGGTAAGATTGCGCAACCTCGGAAGTGACATAGAGTGAATTTTCAATAGAGAAAGACACAAAACAAAAGAAGAACAAGAAATCAAATCAAAGAAAACAGGGAAAATTTTTTTTTTTATTTTGTTTTGACAAAATGAATAAAATGTAGAACAAATTTCTCTCTTAGGATATAGTCAAGGAGAAATAGAAAAATTAATAAACACTTTTGCTGTTCTAAGTGTTTCAACAAAAAATTTCAGAATTTTTAACACCACCATTTTAAATAACATAGTCAGTAAGAACATAAAAATCACGTTTTTCTTTTTTAACTTATTTATTATAATCTATGCATATTTGTGAAAACCAATTCAATATAGAAATAAATCAAAATCTTTCACATTACTAAAATATCAGCATTAAAAAGCTGAAACTGAAACAATCTATATTAATTCTATAAGAACATTATTTATTTATTTTCTAAATTTTTAAAATTATTTTTATGTTTTCTTCAACAATTATAATTTTATTTTCATTAGTAACAATAGTGAAATAACGGAGATTAAGCGAGTTCTAATTTTAAAATTAAATTTAATAATAAAATAATAAGAAAATCAAAGAACATAAAAAACTTAAAATTAGAATTATAAGACATTTAAATTTTAAGTTAAACAATGCCAAGAATTTTTAGTTAGTTTAAAGTTTCGCGAATCTTCTAATTATATTCTAATTATCTTCTACTTATACCCTGTACTCGAATTTCTTAAAAAAATAATATTAATTTAATGTTATTAAAAATATATGCATAGTTTGACAAAAAAAAATTGGTTTTTCTAATTTATTAGCCTATTAAATGGAATTTACTGAAAATAATTTTTTTAAATATTATTAGAGGTAGAAATAGCTTATTGTTTATCACATTATTTTTCAATTTGACTAATATTTTCGTATGAACTCAAAATTTTAACAAATTTTTTTAACGCAATACACAAATCATTTTATGTGGTTATCAAAAAAGGATGAAAAAAAAAAATTTAATTACTCATTTGTTAATCACATTAATTATTTGATAATTTTAATTCTTTTTGTAATTTTAGTTTATCACTTGCATATTCTGTTAGACGCATTACTTATAGATGATGAAAATTATCAAAATGTTTATGCATTTATTTCTATTGGACACAGACGAAACAGATGAAATAATTTTCATACCGGCAGGATTCTACAAATGACGTAATTTCAGAAAGAATTATTAGTTCTGGTAGATTGTGTTTAATATCCAATGATCATGCTTTTAGGTGAATCATTTAGAAACTCTAATGGCATGTTTTTAATTAAGTAAATCTGTATTTATTTTTTCAGTTTCTTAAACGAAAAATAAAAACCTAATTGGTAAATTTTAAAAATTAAGTTTTTAAAAATAAAAAGGATCTTATAAAATTTTACTAGTTAAAGTGAAGAACTTTATCCTTTGATATTTAGATGATTTTAATGACAATTTTTTATTGTGGCACTACCAATAAATACTAAAAAAACCTTTTTATGTTCTTTTCACGTAATAATTACGATTAACGTCTACGACTAGCTGCATATAGAAAAATTTTACTTTATCGCGATGCATCTATAACAGAATATGAAAGATTATTTAGTGCTTTTGTGTATTCAAATTTCGATTACATTACAAACATTAAGTCATTTCATGCCCTACTTATTTAATTGCACATTAAAGATAGATGCTGTACAAAGAGGAGATTGAATGCGAATTTGTGTAGAATTTTTTCTTGCGTAAGGGTCTTTAAAAATATGAAATCTTTTCTATAGTATTCATATATAATTCTAGTTTAGCTTAATATCGATATATATATATTTATATATGCATTTATATACAAATAATCGATGAAATGAATTTATGTACATTATGTAAATCTTTTGTATATAAAAATTAATGAAAAAGATCACTAAAACAACGAGAAAAACAAAAAAACTAAGAATACTAAGAATATTTAAGACTGACATATAGATCTGTTAAAATTAAATGTAATAAATTTACAAACCACCATGTGTATTTAGGAAGCTAACCTAAATGAAACATAAAAAAAGTAGGATAGATACAAAACTCAACAGCATGGGAAATTTTTGCTTTTTTTTTTTGTCTGTTTTTGTAAAATCACTTTGGCCGAATTATTTTTATTTTGCTTTTCTTACTATTTTTTTCTTCTAATTACATACACATTTTATACTTTCTTTAGATTGTGAATCCAAATTTGTTTTAGACCAATATTTTACATGCTAGTTGAGAATCAGGAGAAAACATACTAAATGAGAATACCATGCAGTAGAGTTAATATTTTAAATAAAATTTTTTGTTTTTTTTTATGACTATTTGTGATGAGTACATTTTTATACCTCTCTAACTGCATTATTTGCTGCCTCACGATTTGTAAATGTTACAAAAGCATAGCCCCTATTCGTTCCTGTCATTGGATCCATCATTAATCTCAAGTCCCAAATTACTCCACATTTTTCGAATAACGGTATTAATTCATCTTCAAACATATCTTTAGGAATTTTTCCACAAAAAACTTCGCAACCATTTCCTGGCGGCTGACCTTCCCAATTAGGAGGCGGTCCACCATACTTGCGTTGACCTTCAATTACAAAACAAGAAAAATTAAATTTTATTTTAATATTATGATGAATTTGTTCTATTATTTTCATAGATTAATTAAATAAAAATTAAAAACCATTGTATATGGACAATATAAAATTGGTTTCTTAGGAATCAATCAAGGAAATCAAGTAAAATATTGCAATAAAGGCAAACAAAAAATCTATATAGAATTCCCACAAAATTTGTTGTATGCTACATAAGAAAGAAATTTTGTGTTTTTTTATATAAAATCTAACAAAATTCAATTTCCAGAATTAATTCATGTTTAGACGTTTTATACAACGTATTATGAATGTCAAAATTCAAACTGAAGTATTCAAGTTTAATTGAGATAAGTTTACTGCATTTTGAATATCTGAATAAATCGGAATAAACAGGATTTCTAACTTAAATATAAGTCAAACCACGCCGAACCCTCGAACAAGTAGAAATACTTGAATTTTTTTATTAATATGTTACATATTATAATTTTATTAAGCTATAAAAAATTATTGCAAATTGACCGTATGGGAATCAAAATTAAATCATTGAATGAGGTGCTTACATAATGATTGAATTCGAATGAAAGCTTGGTGTATTTAAATTATTAAGTAATTATATTTTCCAATACGAAGATACATTTGCCGATATTATTTTTTTTTTATAGCAATTTGGAAATATGAAATTTCTAATTTTGAGAGGTTATATTACTTGGAAGACTATGTAGGAGAAAAATTATATGAAATGTGGAAAAGAGGCTTAAAATAACAACTAACTTCAATGGCTCTTTTATCATAGTAACGCACACCTTTGTTATTTGGCAGTAAAACAAGCAAGTTACTGTAAAAGAAGCTATTTTTACTGCATTTGCAAAATTCACAAAATATTTGTGTTTTCAATACAATAAAGAATCAAATATTTAAAGAGAGGGAAAAGTGGTCTTCTAGAGAAACGGTTTCTTGAAAAAATCTATTTGAGTATGTTTTAGCTTATTAACATAAAAGTAGTTAAATATTCGCGCCCAAGCAAACGGACAAAGTTACTCTTAATAGGTGGATTTTTTTCAGTTTTTTAAGAAATGTGCGAAAAGGTGAGCAAATTCTACTAGTAGTTACAGATTTAATAAATTTTTTTCATGTATTATATAAATGAATAAGAAAAATTATATTATAAAACGCAACAAAAATATTAAAGTTTCGCAAGGAGTTTCCGTCTTGGCACTCAAGCTTTTACTTAAAATTCAATTTCGTCACTTGAAATTAAAGCCTTTAATAATGTATTGAATTTGATGGAAACTATAAGCCCAACAAGAATTTTAAGAAATTTTTCCCAGTGGTAACCACATTGTAGTCTACATTTCCCTAGCATTCCTCGAATTTGTCTTAAACAATTAAAAACTTGAACATTGACAATAAATTAATGAAAATACCTGTTGTTACATCTAAAGTGTATCCTGTACGATCTAAAATTTTTCTAATTTTTTCTTCATCGGGTCCTTTAACTTGCACAGTCGTTGACGGTGTCGTAATTCCTTGTTGATTAGCTCGACTTTTTTGTCTATATGTTTTCATAACACCACATAAGTAGGCTGATTTATTTGAAACATGCTCTAAATTAGACTCAAGGAACTGACTTAGTACATTTAAAGCACCATCTACTGGGAATTCTTTTAATGCATCTAAAGCACGTTCATCTAGTTCACTATGCGCTAATTTACCAGTTTTATAGATGTCATCTAATTTTTCAGCAACCTTTGGAAATATTTTTTTTTGTTTGGGTTTTTACAAAGTATTTGTAAATTTTTTTTTTAAATAAAATTATATTTGAATAAAAAAAAAAAAAAGTTTTTTTAAATTTTATAAAAACCTTTTCATCTAAGCCATATTCCAAAATTTTGGGATAATCTTCAGTTCTTTGTCCATCTCCTCTATCATCAGTTTTTAAATTGGTTGCACCTTCAATTATTTCTCCATTTCCTTCTGCCATTTCTAAAAATAAAATTTAAAAGATGGTCATTAGTGATTTAAGCCAATAAATATCAAAACAAATTTAGGAATAAACAATAGTTTAGAAAGTTGCAATATTTTTTAATAATTATAATTGGAGATGAACGCCCAAATTTTTTTGTTCAATTACACAGACAGAATAGAAATAGATTTTTACACAAAACAGTAGATTCGCCCAGCAAAAATAGGTAAAGTACTCGAATAGGAAGTCTCAATAAATTACGTATGTCTTTAAAGGGAATAAGGACAATCTGCAAAACTCATCTAGCCAATATAAAGTTATGAACTGATCAAGAAAAATATACGCAAGTGTTTGTACTTTTTGACCCAATTAACTTTAAACATGACCGTAGCTTCTGTTTGTTTAAACAAATTTTCGTGGAATTTGTAATTTTTTATCCTCGTATAACGACGATGTCTCTAAAAATTTTAACAATCAAACTAATCAAAATTCAACTTGTATCGCATGCTCTCTCTTGATGAGTTTCAAATCCATTTCGAGTTATTGTTAAACTTAGAAATTCATTTGTACAACTCGATAACCGCATCAAAAAAATTTGAAAGAAATTTCTTTTTCAATTAAATTTTTGCATATGCACTCCTTTATAAGAACAAATGTTAATATTTGTTTAAAAAATTTTCTTTTAATTCAATTAAAAGTGGCCCTACTAAATTTTATTGAAATATTTTTTTATGAATTTTTCTTTTTTGGAACTTTCAATCAATTATTAATGAAATAGCCAATAACTATTACAGCACATTTATAAAAGAATATTATATAAAAAAAAGTAGAAAATCCTGAAAACAAAACAAAAATTTGGAGTGACCTCAATTTTTGCATTGCACATTAAAACTTTAGTATTGCGAATTTTTATTGATTCATAATTTTCCAAAATACAAACACACAAAATTTAAGATATACAGATGTACTAAATGGCATGTTGATTCAGGAATAGTTCTGGCACAATTTTATATTTGAGTATCTTACCCAATATTTGAGTAAATATTGAAAGATTATTGAGTAGCTTAAAAATTCAATAGTCAACTAGGGTTTTAAAAAATTTTTAACATGTTTTAAATTTCTTATAATAAGAAATCGAGTGTTAATTAAAATTCTATTATAAGCTAAACTGATTGAATTTTAAGATATTATAAATATTAAAAAGTACTGAAAAATTTTAAAAGAATTTATGCAATAAAACTTGAAACACTTATGATCCTGCTTGCCAAATTTTGGGACTCCTTTTTAAATTGCTGTTAACCGACTGCTATCAATGAAAAATTTTATAGCCTATAAATCGTTATACGTTTTAACGATCTATTAGTACGACAAGAAATAATAAAAACACCACCTAAGCTGTTAACAGTATGTTTTTCCATTGTAAGCATATCTCGGCTTATAAATGTAATTTCACTGATATTTTCACAATTTTGTTACTTGACTACTAAAAATGCACCAAATGAAAAGTGCGTTTTCTGAATTTAACGGAATCTATAAAGTTTTTTGCTCGCATGAACAGCGGAAAAAATTGATTTTATCGCATATAAATATAATATCAGTTCCCAATTTGTATGTACAACACAATATCTCGTACACCAGGCTCAGATAAAAATAACAAATTTAGCGCTAATTTCTGCAATTGATTACGGAATGACAAGTTTCTTCCAAATCTTTGCTTACGCAGGGCAAATATTAACAGTGTTCTCTTCACTATACGCATATTACTTCGATTAGTTAGTGTTACTGCATCATTTAAATAGCATTCGGTGTGAATTCTAGCAATTGTTTGATGACTCTTCAGAATCTCAAATCGGGTTATTTGACCTAATAATCTTGTCACAATTTTTGTCTAAGGAAGAAACCACTCTTTCACAAACTCCTTTCACAAAATATTTTAGAATAAAACAAATCGAAAAAAAAGAAAATCGTTCATTTGAATTTCTTAGAAATTTTCAATTTTAAAATAAGAATTTACTGAAAGTCAATTGAAAATTTCACTATGTGTCTTAAAAATATTTAAGTATAGGATTAGTATATATTTTCGAATCTTGTTGATAAGGCATAATCCAAAAATAGTTATGTATCACTTATCAGTAAATCCAGTTACTTCGAAAATAAAATTGGATTCACTTTTAAGAAAAATTTTGTAGCATACTTTTAGGATAATTACATATATGAAACAAAATATTGAACCCTTGAAAATATCAGCGAACTGATAAGAAAACCGCTTTTTTTTAAATGATCTATAAGAAACTATATTGCACATGGCGTAACTTGTGCTTGACTAATGACTATCGAACAGCCAAATTTCAGATTATCGAAAATAATTTAAATTAAATTTTTTGGAATTTATAATTATAAGCCCATAAACGCAATATATCACAACATATACAGCGACAATTGCGCTTTATTTGTGTTCATAAACAAATGTTAACATATTTTTTTTAATGTTTAAAATTAGTGTGATAAATATGGTGAAATTAGTGTGTGAACTGCAGTAAAATCATATGAATTTTTTTGATTTTATATAATAGATAAAAATATATTGCATATGCAGCACGTTATGTTTTAGCAGTATTGCGTTTCGCAGTTATTGCTTGACAATATTGTTAAGAATAATGATATTATTCTTATTTTTGCAGAAATTATTGGGTGCGTTCCATGCCAAGCGTATAGGTATATGTTCTATAACTATACCATGGCTATATAATTAGTTGACCATATAGATTTAGTTATATGCACATTAAGCCCATGAGATACTTAATATTACACCAAATTTTACTTATATTCAAAACAAAATATTTTCCTCTGGTACCGGGGATCGTTTTATATAACTTCAAAAGAACTGACCCACTTATAAAATTAAATATACAATATGGAATATTATTTTTATTGTCTATGTGTTTAACTAACTGTTATACATTATGGTTAAATTAGCACACTATTAATTAATTAAACATCAATATTTTATAACTTTTCCAAATTTTTCAATTTTTTTTTTGAACAAATAAAACTAAATACGTGTAGACACTATCTTATAAAACAAAAAAAAAATTAGAACAAATATTTAATAGAAATTGGAACAACCTACATTACGTAAATATGTATGTCTATATAAAAAAATATAACTTGCAAAATTAAGAGCAAAAAAAAAGAAAACTTTTGATGAAAATTTTAGAATAATTTTGGGTCACTCAATTTTAAATCTCGTTAAGACTATATAGCCATATAATAATCAGACAACTGGATATCAAAAGAATAATTTATTACAATTTTCCTTACCACGCACACAGGCACATATCTATACACGTAATATGTTATATGTATGTGCATATAACGTGTGATATCGTTAAGATGCGGCGTTGATGCATCATAAAAAAAAAATTCTATATGAAACCGGAATTTTTTTACATTTAACATTACACATTTTTTTTTCTATCTATATTAACAAGAGAAAAAAACAACTAATAAAAGTGCATATTGTATAAAAATAAGTACATGTGTTTGTATGTATGCGCGCAAGAAAATTGTATTGCAATTACTTCTGTAAGCATGTCCGTATGCATGTATATAGGTTGAAAGCATCTTTTATTTTTCATCAAGAAAAATATTACAAATAAAAGAAAAAGAAGAATAATAGCATTTAACTACCCTTAATTCTTAAATTATTTGTAATAATCATAATGTACATACATACATATATACAAAATACATGTATTGCAGAATATCAAAGACGAAAAAAATGAAATTCCGTAAAATGGAAAATTATATAAGTATGTTAAACATACACAATCAAAATTTCAATATAAAAAAAAAAATCATGTGCAAAATTTAAAATGCATTTCAGTTTATACAAAGATAAACATAAATGCATATACATGCGTTACATACCTATACACGCGTGTGTTTGCATGGAAATGCATTTTTAATATTCTGTTCTCTAACAAAATTTTCAAAATTGAAAAAAATTAAAATTTAAACTTACGATAAAGCCGTAAAAAACAATTATTTTTTTTATTGTTGAAATGAAAACTTTATTTTTAATTTAAAAAAGAGTTTTGTAAGACAAAATTATTATTAAAGGAAAAACCTTTCATACACAATATCAAAAGAACGAACAGACAAACAAACAAACATAAAAATGAAGCAAAAAATTTTTAAATTGCATTCAAAAATAAAAGTAGTAGCAAAGTACAAACCATGTACATACATATAGGCATAAATTCTAAACATGTACACATATAAGTACATATATAGTGTATTTAGATATGTTCCTTTGTACTAACATTATGTGCAACCTATATACATATATATATGATGTACATATGAAAATCATAAAAAATTGCATACGAGTATTTTATTTAAAAGCAAACTGCTATCCCATAGCAACATCAAACACACAAGAAAAATAAATGTAATAACACTATAGATTTATAAAGGGAAAATATCTTTATACAATTACAATTACATACATATCCATACATATATTGCATATATACATTGCAATGTGCAATACATACAGTGTACTATGGATGCATTTTCGTATATATACAAATATAATTAAAGCATATTTGAGTAAAATATATTAGTACTTATTTATGTATTTTATAAATGTGTATGTATATCTGTATGTATTTATGTGCATCAAATATATAAAATAATTAGGTACTCTTAATATAACCGACATTTTTATATTATTTAATCGACTAATTAAAACTAAGTACATACATAATATTTATCATGTAGACATACATACTCACTCTTCTAATAATTATTTCAAAACCAGGAAAACAACATTATTAATAAAATCCTACATATATTAAAGTAGACCGAACAAACAAAGTATATAAAAAAAAAGAAGGACAGAGAAAAGTAAAAAAACACACTGCGGCAACAAAAACAACAACAAAAACACAACGACGTCAATATAATAAAGAAAGAAAAATAACACTAGCAAGACAAAAATTATTACATGGCAACCCTTAACTCTATACGAGTATTAACATTAAGTAAAAAAAAAAGAACAACAAAAAAAATAATTACAACAACAATTTCAAATACAGATTGAAATTTTATTATTGTACGTATGCAATTTATTTTGTATTCAACATAATGACATTTCCAAAATGAAAAAAAAAACAAAAAAATCCAGGACATTAAGAGAGAAAATTAAATAGAGAAAGAGAATGTGTTTTTATGTAAAACACAAAAAAAAGAAGAAATTCATTGAAAAATCCAAGTTATTTTTGAAACAGAAAAAAAATTGTGTCGGCCGGCAAAAAATTTGAATATTGATTTTTGAATTTTTTAAACTACAATGGAAACTTTATGATTTTTGAAAAGGAAACCGAAACTATTTTACAAATTAAATATAAAGGCAATAAGTTCTATGAGCACACACATATTTATTACTATTTATGCTCATATATGTACTCGTATGTAAGTCCTTTGATTTTTTTCTCTATTTTCTATAAAACTTATTTATACATTTACGTATGACTGTCCGTCTTTTTTTAATGCACGATTATTTTTTATTTATGTAAGAAGAATTTAAATTTCGTACGACACAAATATAGAGAGTCATACAAGAAATCAAGTACAACATTAAAAAAGAAAATCGTTTTTTTTCCCAAAGTCCAAATATTTAAACATTATTAATATGTGCATATATACATATATGTATATATATTTACTTTACAAATACAATTTTTGTTTCTTGTAGCCATTTCTTATGTATATTAAATGCACATTGGTATACCTGAAAACAACTGAAACTTATGTACATGCATATTTTTACATTCATATATATTATTTGTATATACAAATATAGTCCTTAAACATAAATACATAAATATACATATACATTTATGTACATATATATTTGTAATGTGGTTTTTATATTGGGATTCAATGAACTTTAAGACAAGAAAATGTATAGAAAAAAAAAGAGTTTTGTGTCGTCGATACTGCCGTCGTCGTCGCCTCCTCTATAGCAATTTCACATTATTCTCATCGGAAAGAATGAAGAAAAAAAACAAAAAACGAAAAAAATTTATAAATCATGCTTTTTACCCAAACATTAAGAAAAATAAATTTATTTTCTTCTTTGTTTTTATATATGCAAAAACGCACACAAACACACACACTTATTGTTATATAATGCAATTGTGCATTTAATGTATGTGGAAAACGAAAAATGTGCAATTGCATCTTTTTGATTTTTGTTTTTGTTTTTCTCTTGCATTTTTATGCTAAAGACCAGTTTCACCGGACGCACGTCTTTTGTGCAATGGTTTCAATTAATATGGAACTTTTTTCCTGTATTGAAAAACACAATCGTTTTCCAGAAAACAAAAGAGAAAGAGGATATGAAATTTTTAACGATATTTTTTTTTATTATTTGAAAAAAAAAAAGGATTTTTTGTTTTGTTTAAAAATTTCCTTGCATTGTGCAATTGTGCAATCTAATATGCATAAATTTTTATAATAATATAAAAGGAAAATTAAATATTCTTACCCTACAAATACTCACAGTAGATTAAGATATTTGCAATAATTGATAATAAAAATTGTCATGTATATATGTGTGTGTGTGTGTGTATGTAAACGAAAGCATGGCGATTGAAGCATAAATTTTTAGTTAATCGTTCAAATTCAATTTCAATGCGCTTTTTTCTTAGTTTTTTTGAAAAAATAAAAACCGGAACACGAGTGCAAAAAAAACAGACGAAAAAATTTTTGAGAGTATCGCAGGGGTTTTTAAAATTTTTTTTTGTTTCAAAGCCTTTTTTAGTTTCTTGAAATCGTTTTGTTTTTCCTTTTCTTATTGCACTTTTAAGCTTAATATAAAAAAAAGCTAAATAGAATAAAACACATTGAAGCATTGGAAAAAATGCACATTTTGTGTACATACACTGACTTGTATAATATACATTGTATGTGTTTATTTACGTATCCGTGTATGTATGGCGTAAATTTATTGTGTATTGTTTTTACTATTATTTATTAAAATTTATTTTTTTTCTTTTTAATAATTTTATTTAATTTTTAATATTAACTCTTAAAATGTAAATTTATGACATTAAAATTAAAAGAATAAATTGTATTTTAAACTACATAAAATTAAATTCAAATTACACACACACACATACATTCAATGCAGAACAAGATGCATATACATACAGATATTTGCATATGAAGAAATAGTTGAAGAACGAACATTTCATTTTTTAGAAGCACAATATTTTGCTATTACTAGTTTTCATATTTGCTGTACAAATTGACAGTTGCAGTTAAAAAAAAAAAAAGAAAAACATCAAAAATATTTACATGTAATAATTGCAGTACTTTTGCACAAGTACAAAGAGCTCTTTTTTATGTACATGCAAACATAAATATACTTAATGTGCATAAATTTATTGTAAATGTGTTAATACTTTTCCTATATTCATTCACACGTTCGCTCAAACATATTGTGCATCTACTTCTATACGCAATTTATGTATACAAATTTTAATATCATATGAATATAAGAGTGCAAAAATTTTTTTTATATAAATATTACTTACAATATGCATACATGTACACATACATACATATATGTATATGCATACAATGGAATTAAATTAAAATTTATGCACAATATATGTTCACATACATAGACACAGACTACATTAACATTATGCAGTTTTTCAATTAAACAAGATGGTGGACATTAAAATCAAGAAAAAAATTTTTTTCTTTTTTTTTGCAAAATGCATTTTTGTGTTTCTTAAATTTCATAATTTAATTCAAAATTCATAATAAAAAAGTAAAAATTAATTTAATCTAAAAATATAGAAATTTATTTTACCTTATTATTTTTTTTTTAATTTGTATTTAGTTAAATTTTAATTATTAAATTTTAATATTGACGATTTTGATATTTTCTCTCTATATATATATAAATTATTTTTTTAGGCTACAATTAATTTTGGATTAAAAATTTTAAATTTGAATATTAAATGTAGATTTTTTTTTTCTTTTTGAGCATGAATATGGCATTGATTTTGTGTGATAACAAAAATTGCACAACACCGATTTTTTTTCTTATTTATTTTTTTTTTGTTTTTTTTTTTTTTTTAATTTACAGACGGGCCGGGCCGGTTTCATTAAACATAATCAATTTTTTTATTTTTCCTTTAATTTATTTATTTACTATTACTTTTATATAACTTGCATATTTTTTTTTTTGTATATAATTTTGTATTTCAAAAATATTCACAGAGAGTTTCAATATTTAAAAAAAAAAAAGAAAAAAAAACAGAAATTCTTATAAGCGATGCAAAACTAATTTTTTTTTTTTTTAATTTTAATTTAACATTAAATTGTACTATTAAAATCCTTAAAATATTTTTTTTTTGTTAATATTTTTATTTTAAATATTTGAAAATTGCACAAAAAAATTCACATTCAACTTTAATTTTTTTTAATTTTATTATTTTGTTGTATTATTTTTTTATTATTATTGTTATTATTGTTACTGCTTTAATGAAAGTATCGAAAAAAAACGTTCTTAATAAGTTGTAAGGCAAGAATGTAGTAGAGACCATAAAGATCGCAATAATGCAGTATTTTTGATTCCGAATACCAACAACAAAAATATTCCTTTTTAGATTTTTTTTATACTTAAGTAAAAATTTCTTTTAATTTTAGTACTTTTAATTTGACAATATTACGACAGAAAAAAAAAAGAAAACAAGCAATAAAAAATTTTAATATTTTTTTAATATACAATAATTTTTTTTATAAAAAATTTTATTAAAGACTTTTTTTTTTGAAAATAAAAAAAAATAATACACTGTATGTCGCGGTGTAATATGGCGGACGCTACGTCACCGGCTGTTCTCTGTTAGCTAAACCACTTAAAATTTCAATTTGCAACCGATAGTATTTCTAAGTGTGGAAAAAGCTTTATACTTTTAATATCGTGTATTTTTATAGATCTACATGCATATTATATATTTATAAAAAAATCTTTTTATATACATGTAAATATAAAGAAAAAACAAAAACAAAAACCGACGAAAAGTTCATTCCCTATTTTTATTCATTTTATTCGTTTATTCATTCTGTTTGTGTTGTTGTTGTTAATTTGTTCTATATGATTTTTTTTATTTTGTGTTTTCTATATTCTCTATATGAATTTGTTATTTTTTGCAAAAATATGTACATATAATTGCAAAATACATTCAAAGTACGAGTATTTTGTTATGATTGTATTGTTAAGTATGCGAATGTATTTGTAAAATATTCTCTCGCAAAATGCGAGAAAAATGCTTTTGCTTTGTTTGCAATATGTATTTTGCTTTGTGCATTTTTATTATTAATAAATACTGTTACATTGCGCTCCGCTCCTTGTGTCTGCTATGAAATTGAGAACACAACATTTTTTTTTGTTGTTTTGTTCTTTCTACTTTTGTTTCATTTGTTTTTGTTTCCTTTTGATTCTTCTCTTTTTTTTTTTTTTTACGTCTTGGCATGATATCTACTGTACTGATGGTATGTATGTAGTTGTGCATGTAAATCCCATAAAGAAAGAAAAGAAGGAAAGAAAGGAATAAAAAGGAAAAAAAACTGTCATATTCATACAAAACAGACTGGTCTCTTGCAGACTGTTCAGAGTTTTTGTACTTATTATGATGAAATTAAAGAAATTAATAATTATATCAAATATTGTATTGTAATAAGGCTGCATATGAACTATGTGTATATGGTAATAAATTTAAGTATACTTTAAAGTTGTATACGTCTATTGTATATATTTATGCACATATGTACACGAATGTATAATATAGAAAATTTAGAACCAGAATACCAGATATCCATGGATATTTTGTATTTTATACACAGTATGTACATCTATACAATACCAGTGGAAATTTGACTCAAATACATTGAAATATAATACATTTATATTTCTTATAGAATATACATGTATGTAAAGATATATGTATATACAAGTATAAGGAATAAATTTTTATAAATTATGTAGTTTTCATTATAAGTATGCATGTCTGAATTGAAAAATATGGCAATTACAATCAATTCGTTTTTAAATTTAGGTAAAATTATGAGTTTTTAAAAATTATGAAAATTCTTTTTGGATTTTTTCCAATTTATGCACAAAGATTCGAAAATCATTGTAATTTATAATAATAATGCTATTTATACACATACACATATATATATACGTACATATGTATGTAGTTTAAATGTATCAATCATCATGAAGTAAATCCGTATTTTTAATTTTCTTCAATTTGAAACTAATTATCAGAAAAAACATATTAGCAAAAATTAACGTTCATTATACATAAGGTAATAAAAGCTAGATGCTTATGTACAGGATAGATTCGCATACATATATTTTTGATATATGCATATCCATAGAAATTTAGTACATACTTGTGTATAGATTTGATTATATATATAATGTGCATAGGTACATAGATAATGTAACAATGAAGTGGAATTATATACAATATTATGCTCGGATGTCCATATACATAATATGTACGTATATTCTAATATAAGTGCATAATTATGTATGATGTCCGATTATATACATACATGTATATTATTCACTTTATGCACTTAAATTAATTTTGTATACATATGTATGCATATAGGTATATAGACATACATATATGTACGTTTTAAAATACATTTTAACATGTATAAATTTTAAACAAAATAATAGCTACTAATATTCTAAATTTATAAAAATGAAAATATAAATATTCATGCATGTATATATGTACGTATATATAAATGTACATGTCTATTATGACAATAATCAAATAATCCAAAAAATATAAATAAACAAAAAAAAATTGTCAAACAACAGACGAAATAAAAAACCGGAGAGCAAAATTTCGTCAGCAGAAACAAAATAAATAACAAAAATATTGCACATAAACAACTGAAAAGACAGAAAATGTCGAAAAAAGAAAATAGCAAAGCACATTTCTGCACAATTTTTTCTTTTCCTTTTTTTTTATTGTTTTTCTTTTTTGTTTGGTTTTATCTCTAAGCATTTTTATTTTATCTATATTTTTTTTATTTTTTGTTTTTTTAGCATAGAGAACATAGAGAAAAAGTCAATGAAAGACACCGGCTTTCAGTGACTTTTTTTACGTTTTTTTTTTAAAAAAAATAAAAACAAAAAAAGCATAAATTTATATAGAGAATAAATAACAAGTGATAGATATATATATACATATATTTCAATACATGCATATTTATATACACATAAGTACGTATGTGGCCATGGATATGCTCATATCCTACACCTATATACATATATATATAGGTATATAATATGCATATATCCGTTGATAAACTTGCATAAATGTTTGTATGATTTGTATAGGAGGGTAAAACAATTTTTTTTGCTCGTTGCGTTGCCGTCGTCGTTGCATTGACGACCGACCTTAAACCGAAATAAAAACAAGAAAACAAAATAAGAAAAATGTATATACATAATGCTTTTTTTATAAATTTTCATTTAAAAAACGCTTCTCTGCTGCTGCTGATGCGGTGGTGCGGCTACTGTGTACAGAGATGCTTTTGTTCTGCTTTAATTTTTTTGTTTTTTCTTTAATTTTTATTGTATATGTTATACTTCAAATATGTTTTGAGACTACATTAAGAATTTGTATATAGTGTATGAACTTCGTGTCTTGTGTATACATATATATATATTCTTTAATACATATGCATAGCTTTACATGCATATGTATTATTTATCTATAAATAATTGTATGTGCATTCATCTATATCTTAAATATTAAAAAATGAGAATAATATTGCATTTTTTTTTATCATCGAGTTCCAATATTTTTTCACCAACACATATTTCATACTATCGTGTATAACCGCATACATATGCATAAATAATTGGAATATTAGTGTATTAGTTTGCAAATTTTTAACTTAATCATTAAGAATTCACTTTATTCCTACATACATATATATATATGTATATATGTACACATATGCAATAAAAGATATTTTATAAGTAAAAATAAAGCTTTTTTTCGAATCTTTATGAAAGTCTTTACTAAAAGCACCTTGAAATGTCGTTCTCGTCGTCGTTGTCGTCGTCGTCATCGTCGTCGCTTTTGTCGATGCATGTATGTATAAACAATGTATGTAGAAATAATAGATAAATATTTTCCATAGAGAAATAATGTTTTTGATCTTAATAAAAGGTACATTGCAAAAAAAATATACCGACAGATATATGTAAGTACATAAAAGTACATACACATACGTACAATTTTGTATATCACCAAAAGTACACATTCTATGTACATACATAGATACGTGTGTACATTGACTGCATGTAAAATTATGAATATTTCTGAAAAACAAACGTTTTATGTAAAGAATATTAAAAGAACCCATGAGAGCGTTGAGAATTTGAAAAACACCAAAAATAAAAAATCAAAGAATAAGAAGAAAAACGAAATTAATACCTTAAAAAACTTTCAACTATAGAATTAAAAAAGGAAAGAAAAACAGAAATAATAATAACAAATGAATAGAGAAAATTACAAAAGTATAGAAACAAAATAGTCAATTCCTACATTCATTTGAAATTAGGATAAATTGTCCTTTTTGTTTTGTTAGTGTTATGTAATTTTATTTTCTATCTTTCTATTTTACATATTATTCATATGTATATGTGCATGTAGAAAAATATAAAGGCTTAAAAATGTTGATTTCCTGTTATACAGACTTCAAATAATAGGACACTTTGCTGTTGTTTTCTTTTCTTATTTTTTATATTTTAGAATTTGTTTTTATCTATGACCGGTATGTGCGTACGTACAGACATATAATGTAAGTATGTATATGCATGTGTGTATAATATAATTCTCGTAACCTGTACTTATATTTTAAATATTTTATTTTGGGAGTACAATATGTATGTTTGGAAGTGTATTGTTTTAAAAATAGGGTGCCATATAGAGCTTTAAATTTTTTAGAGAAATCCAAAAAAAAAACAACAAAAACTATCCACATTCACATTTACACAAAACATTTTGTATTTGAGGACAAACACAAGTAAACATAAAAATGTTTGGATGTCTAATAGAATGGCCAAAAATAAACAATTATTCATTAATGAACTAAATAGAATTTTATAAAAAAAAAATTTTTAAATTGAGTGCAAAGACACATTTTTAAAGTAATTGATTACAGACGTCTATATCTCAACATAATTTATGCTTTTAATTTTCAAAATTTATAATTATATGACGGTGAATGTAATGACATGTGTATACGTAGACGTAAGAACAGTTTTTCTAAAATTTTAAAAATTACATACACCTTTGACATAAAATTAAAACGAAAATCAATATCAAAAATCTGTAAAAATTAATATTACTTAATTTATTTTACTCGCCTTAAAGCAATACAAAAAATCATAACACCCTAATACTATAATAATTAATAAGTACGTGCATGTGTTGGTATTAATATAGAAAATCTTGTAAAATTATTATAATTTGAATATTCTTTTAACAGATAATCTTTGAAAATAATAATTTTAATATTAAAGTGTTATTATTTGCGACAAGAATGCTTAATAAGGTACCAAAATCTTATTATTTTTGCAAAATGCAAAATAGTAAATTTGTCTTATATAGGCAGACACTTCTGTACCAAATACAACTTCTTTTAAGGGTACATACACTTTATGATTTAAAACCCTTATATACAAATGTATTATATATTCTACCTATTATACTCATATAGGTACAATGACTAAAAAGATTTTTATTCTTTCATTTAAAATCTTATTGAGAAATTTTGATATAAATGCACTTTTTACAAGTCTTTTTTTATTATTTGTTTA